ACCGCTGCCCGCGCACGTGTTCGCGCACGTACGTACTATACCAACACTATAGCTAACATGACACCTGAGAGCCTATTATATTTTCCCATTCAGCGAAATTCGTAATTTTTCTAATCATTCTTATAATTTTGTTAAAATCGTTTCCGTGAAGACTATCTGTGCGTCAGAGGCAGTGTCCAAAGTGGTCTCAGTTATATTATGAATTATCGAAAAATACATTTCTTTTAATTCGTATTAGCACTTCGTAAATAAATTAAATTTAAATAAATGAAATGCTTAGGCCTTTAGGTGACATGTTATTTTGCACGAGTACTACTGATTTCACTGCTTAGCTGTCATTTTAGTACTGACGGCAAATAAAATAAAGTTCTTTTAATATTTTTTTGGATTCGTTTGAATGCTATATGTACATATATTCTATTTTTGGACTAATTTCTAAATTTTTTTTCTAATTTGATCTTTTTTTATTTTTTTTTAAATATGACGTTAACGATTTGTAACGGAACGTTACCACTCTAAAAGCGTCGCCATTTTATGATTTCAATTACAAATAGCAGTGTGCCGTATTCCATTATATCCTCTTTATGGCACATACTTTGTATATAATTGTTTGTTATTTATTTATAATTTTTCGAAGTACTGTTATTGACTGCATGCATGCTAAGTTTATCCATAGATAGTTTTACAATGAGGAAGTATTTAAAAAAAATTAGATCCCGTAATCAAACTAGATGCCGCTACGGTACTTTCATGATTTTTCCGTGACAACCCTTCCGGTTTTCTTTCATGTATAAAAGTAAATTAGTTTACAAAACTTAATAAACAACTCATGTTTTGTTTGTAATTTTTCGTATTTGTATTATATCTAAATTTCGAACTTTGCAAATTTTAGTTTTTTAATATGTTAGTTAAAAGGAACGGAAGTGATTATCTTTTGATCCATTTGTTTCCTGCAAAAATCAACTTTTGGTAGAGTCGCCATCTAGTGAGGTGTATTTTAGTGCTTTCTTTTTTTTTTCATAAAATACTTCCTCATTAGCAATCAAAACTTTTTAAACTTTATGCTCGTAACTGATGTGATGATGTCATTAGTTAACTGGATCTAGTTAATAGGGCTAAAGCTGATTTTTTTTTATAAACTTACTTCAAAGTGTACTTTTCTTTTATAGTACAATAAAAATATTTCATATTCATAACTATGTTCGTCCTATAATTTTATTATATCGATTCCATGAATGCATTTCAATTGAACTTTCCAACTTCTCAGGTCAACGGGAAACCGACCAACATAACTGGCCGAGGAGGTCGCCGCCACGTCATCTCGTGGATGGACGCCCCTGACGATCTCTACTTCAGAGCCAACGAGGCCACCAAGTGAGTGCATTACAAATAAAATATCGTAGTACTCTATCATAATCATGGATAATCTGTCAACATAATTAATATATTATTAGTTTTGTAGTTAAGTATCAGTCGATTAGTACAAAACAGAATTAATTATTTTTTAATGACTTTTAACATGTCAGTTCTCTCGTAGCCTAATCTTTCTGTTCAACTTAAGTTTACACTTTTACAGAGTAATCATTGAAAACCAACCATCATATTTATTGAATGTTATGAATGTGAATCTTACTATCTTTCAAGAGAAATAGAGTCTAGAGACTATAGTAACAAAATGCTATGATGGTTTGTCTAAAGGTAGTTAAATGTGGTTGGAAATATACAAGAAAAATAAATAAGAAAGAAAGATAAAGGACATTATTATATTATACATAACGCTCTGTCGCGTACGGGATAACTAGAACAATTTGGCCAAATAGATATTTTATATTTAAATCCAAATTATGAACAAAAATCACAACAATCAAAAGTTTTGGCAAAGGTAGAAATATGTTTTCATTGCAATTTTTTACTTTTAGCATAAAATTAGGCATTACGAATGTGTATACGGTACTGTACTAGGGATACGGTACTGTCGGCCTAGCAGCAGCTTCGACAAAAGTTGCCGTGAGATCTAATAACCGTTAACATGTCGGGGTTGGTACTTTATCGAGTCTCTAAAGATGTCTGACGGCGATGTGGTGTGGTACCCAGGGCCGCGCGGCGGACCCTGAGCTGCGGCGAGCTGCGCCGCGGCGCCCGCGCCCCGTGGCGCGCCATGCGGGCGGGCGCGGGCGCGGGCGTGGTGGCGGGCGCGCTGGCGGGCGTGGGCGTGGGGGGCGCGGGCAAGGGCGTGGGCGCGGGCGCGGGCGCGGTGGGCGGCGCGCCGCTGCAGCTGGTGATCCTGGACTGACAGGAGCGAGCGCGCCCGCCGCCGCCGCCCGCGCCGCCCCACCCCTACACCATGGAGGCGCTGCTCGGGTGAGCGCGCCCCCCACTTGTACATTCGCGTGTAAATAACGCCCCCGGCCCCCGCGCCACCCGCGCGCGCACCCTCGCGCCCCGCGAGATCGAACGAAGATTGTATTTTTGGTAATCGAATCGCCGAGGACGGATACTGTAGATAATATTTTAAACTATATTGTTCTTATGTGGTTTGATCTGGCGTCGAGCAAAATAATGTATTTGATACATAAAACGATATGTAAGTCTATTTCATTCGGAGATTCATTGTAGGATAATTTACAATTTTTTTCATAAATAAAGCACAAATCGAAATATTGTTTTGTTTTATTTGTCGAACTACGACTCGAGGCCCTCGCTCGCCCCTGTGAGCTAGATTAAACTGATATGAAATATCAACAATTTTTTTGATTCGCCTCTGTTTTTTTGTCGACATTATATTTTTTTTAAAGAAGTTATTTGAATAAAGATTATTTTGAATTTGACTTTAATTCATTAAAAAATTATACATAAAAAGTCAGTGTAATACTTAAACAAAAAATTCCGAAATTTAAGCAGCAAAACCATTAGAAAGAAATGAGTAATTTGAATTTGGTTAAATTTATGCACATCGTGTAATGGTCGCGTATCTGAAGTCGACATAATTATGGTTGACGCAAAGGAGCCATTAAAGGTAAGCAGAAGAAAAGTAAACATGTCCACCGGTCTTACAACAGGCGCTGTAGAATTTCGAAATGGACTCATTTTTATTTATACTCCGCTAACCCTAGTCACTGTTATGAATGGTAATTGTATAATTAAATGATTAAGAAGACATAGGTAAGGGCATTTAAAAGTGATTATGCCAGAAAAATGTAATTACAACATAATATTGTATATCTTGGATGTGCTTTTAGCAGCAATGGTAGATAAACCATTGATATAGAAATGAGAGAGTGCTGGTAACAGTTCGAATGGATCGTTCGAACTTCTCAACAGCAACACTATACATAACATGACTAGACGTCTCGTTTTTCGGTTGTTTGTCCCGGTCACCTCGAATATTTCCGGGACGCTAAAAAGTCCCGTTTTCCGAAAAAGTGCGTTTTTTGTCGGCTGCACACTCGAAAGTGAGAATTATGTATTTAACAGTGCATACTGCGTTAGCTTGGACATGTAGAAAGAGTGAAAAGACTGAATACAACATGAACGCTAGGACACAACTTTTACTATCAATACAATCGCGTGTAGTTGGAAGGAAGATGATGTCAGAAGCCATAAAAACCGGCAATCTCGTTTTATTACGAAAAGGAATAAAAGTCGAGGAGGCAGAAGATAAATATATTCTAATCTAATCTCTGCCTACCAACAAATGTATTTTGGTAAGAAAGTCTAACTATATCGTTCGAGGCAAATTACATGGATGAAAACTTGCCACTTGGTAGTTATGCCACTGAAACTGAGTCTGGTCAAGTCAATAGCCTGGCAGCGCTACCCTCTTAGATTTCGAAATGAATTCTTGACCCATTAAGTCTTCTGTTTATCGGTCGATCACAGCGTACACGACTCTGCTACCTTTACACCTATTTACATTTAGTTCTTAAAGCGCTCACTAGTGACGCGTTAGCGTAAAACTTACACTTACCACTCGGATCGTGTGACGATTCAAAAGTACTTTACCATGTTGCCTCGCCAGTCTTTCCTTTCAAAGATTCGTATATAAGATAGTTCCACGTGCGAGTGCGGTATCGAAGAAAGTACCACCAATCACATCCTCTTCAACTGTCTAAAACAACCTTTATATGAGCAACTTTCACCTAAAACCCCACGTCCCTTTAACCTAAATTATATCTTGTCTATTTCTAATATATCTATCTTTTTGTGTCTTTATAAGAATGTAAAAATATAACATACTTTTTATTTAATTTATTAGTAGAATTTGTGACGTTTGCTTTGTGTTGTCCTTTTAGATGAGCGAAGAGTGCACTCAAGGAAGAAAACTAGTAAAAATAATTACTGAGTAATTTCACAAGTGTCTCTCTCATACGGGACGTTGGCAGAATTTCTGTGTAAAACGGAAAAGGCCATTAATTAAAAAAAAGGATTTTAAATGAGTTTAATCGAACAAAGAAACTTTTAATAGGAAGTCGTTATGAAGGAGAGATAAATAAAATTACGTAGTTGCAGAGATAAACGAATCTGTGACGCTGCTGCCCAGAGGCCATTCCGGCAGCGTCACTGCTAGAAATTTATACATATAATAAATTAAAAAAAACTGCAGGTCATCATTTTATCTTCTATTTATCTCTGTGGTGCATAGCAGTGATAAATAGCTTAAGTAAATATTCTTAGAGATAATAAAGAAACAATATGGCGCTGCTAGGCTGACGTCAGCCCGGTAGCGTCACTGAGACTCGTTTATCTCCGACACAACGTAACTTTGCCAATTTGCCATTTACCTTCGTAACGGACTCAAAGTAGCTTAAGTCAAACGCAAAAACAAGTTTCATGGAAATAATTTCGGCAGATGGTGAAACCACTTCCGTGGTGGTAGAAAGTACTATAGATAAATCCGATAAGTATCATACCAGTGCAAGTAAGACTAGAACGTCAAGTTTTAACTCGTATGCTCGTAGCATAAAACTAATAATGAAAGATGCACCCCAAAATAAAAAAGCATTTTTGAAAAAGTTATATTTATTCGAGTACATAACTACATCTTAATATAAATGGATAATAACTATTTTTTCTCGTGATAAATATGTTTAAGTTGATTTAACATCTGCCTCCATCTGTCTCACATTATCCTCTATCACATACTTCAATGATTGTGGTATTTGAGTAGAAAAATACTTTTGACTCATCAACAACAATAAAACAATGTTGCTGTAGAGAGGAACCTATTATTCACTAATCTAATGTAATAATCTTAAAATAAGCACATTAAAGTACTATCCTACAACTTTAATGAGGTAGTGTTTAGTATTAATTTAGCATACCTACGTGTATATGTATTGTTACATTAAATCCGGACAGTTTGTTTAAATTAAGAAGATACATACATTATATGTAACGAAAGGAAGAGACAATATACCTACACTAGATTTGGAAAACCTCAAAAAAGTTGTTGGGTCGTTTAGTTATTCTAATGGCACACTAATGTACTTGAAGTTCGTGTTAGTTCGAGAGCTATTTATGAATATTTAACAAAACTATGTACAGTCAACGGCACGTACAAACACGCCATATTACAAATTTCTCTAAAACTATTTAAGTTTTAATCTGTAGTTGTTTAAGTTCAAAATTGATTCCAGTAATTTTAAACTCATTTAGAAACCTGATATGTTATTATGTGCGTAATAATAATACATATAGGTACAAAAGATGAGGCTTTTTACTTCATATGGAAAATAAATATCCTATAATGTTAAAAAAAAACAAGAAATTAATGAAAGTTAAGATAAAATATTCATGAAAGCTCTCTAATTATATTAGTACACTATAAATATTAATAAAATAAATACATTTTTGGTCAAGACAACAATTCGTAATCTGAATAAATTTCATCGAATTAAATTCCAATCGTTTAAAGAAGCATCACTCAAATATTTCCCATTTATTGTAACATAGATTATGACGTTTTATATTGCTGATAAGCTGGACGCTTCCGAGAAACCACGGTGGAAGATAAAAAAGGGAAAGTTTCTTAAGCACTCCGCTACTCCAATGTGATCTTACAAAACTAATATTTATTTACTTCCCACTCTCAACTAGCAGTCGAGGATATACACTTTTCTCCGTAACCTCCTGTGCCAGAAAATAGTGGAAAATAAATAAAAATCTTTAATACTTCGCTTTCAAGATCATAAATAAATTTTACATTCGTAGATCTGCCTTTTATGGATGCATTCATATGCGTATTCGATACGATTGGAAGAACATTAATTGATATAAGTCGACAATACTTTACTTCAGGATGACTGTAGGCAAACATTAACATACCCTATTTATGGAACAAATATTTTTTACTCTCATCATTATTTATAGACGTATACTCTGTACCGAATTCTCTAATTATTAAAAGGAAAAATTTCATATCGATGATATCTATCCAGAGCTTTCATCATACAAATTATATAAGCAATTAGCAGCCTTGATTATAGATTACTTTCGTAAATACAAGATAAAAATAAAGGTTCCATCCCATGCTTTGGCAACATTGAAATAATGTTGTTCGGCACCTAACTGTACTCAGAAATTAATTGAGCAGGATCTATTACAGCTAAATTTACTCTAGTCAACTTTGTTGGCGGACAAAATACGTTCATTAGCCGAGTAGGCCTTCGAATACAAAACTAGTTTATACAATTCCAATAATGATAATATTACATCAGAAGTCAGTCCCTAACCGTTCATTACTGTTCTTATAATACATAAACCCATACTTGCAACTAAACGCACTACTCTAGGTCTACTTAATCTCAGGCCTACCAGGTCGCGAGCCGTACCATACATTCCTCAGCGGCGCGGCGGGCGATGAGTACTTACATTGGCTCCATAACTATTACAATACACCCATCGTCGCCGTAATTCATAAAATACTCATTACAAAAATACTGTACAATCATAATAATTATCTGTAGGTAGTAAAATTACCGAAAAATCATGCGCAGTTTATGTTTTTATATAGTTAACGCCCGAACTTCCGTCAATAATACACCATTCACAATATTATGTACAATGTCTTATTTTAATATACATGTTACATAAACACACATCCAAATTTGATCCCAAAACTGTAGTCTTTACCTCATTTTATTTTCTAAATTAAATAATGAGATCGAACATAAACATATGGAATTTTGCAATCGAGTAAGACAATGATATTTGTTGCAGCTTTGATTAGTAAGTATACGATAATAATATATAAATAGTAATATATCTAGCAGCACATATTTATCATAATATATTTTAGTAAATTTGGACGAAGCCTGAATATTTCTCATTTTAATTTAATCATAAATATGTTTGTTGTTAAAATCTTAGTTGTCTCAAGGCACTGAATGTTAACAATTGATAACTGTCTTTGTTTTTAAGATTGTCTTAGTATATTATCCTAAAGTTAATAGCCGATATTAAAATATTTAATTCGCAGTACAAATATTTTGTATGAAAATACACACTTGACTCTGCATACATACACCTATACTAAAATATAATATTCCAGTGTAATATACATCAGTTTGTAAATAGATTTTCAGAGAATGTAGGAAAATCACAACGTATACATTAAACATTTGTTGCGACTTTTCTTAATTTGTATCATTAGCATATTATAAGTATGTAATTGCAGGACGATTATGAACAATGGGTTAGGTGGGATTTAGTTTTTGGATATTCGACCGCGCCAATCTTTCAGTGCAACAATGGAATGTTAATAGGACACCGTTCAACAATAACAATACCACAAGTTTTCTGTTCGAACTTGTTCAAGTAGGTACAAAGTATACAATGTAAATAATAATTAATATTGCAGTTTTAACACTACATTCGATAAATCTTTAATCGTGCGACGTTTCGTCGGTACGCCGGGCACGATAAATAACGCGAAATGTACATCGGCTCCTCGACAATATAGTTCGTGTGCTCAGTCTCACGCGGCGGACGCCGGCCCCGCCGAACGCCCGTTTCAATGCTTCGATAGATTCAATGGCAAATCTGAAACAGCAAAAGGGGGGCACAGATTACCAAGTGTCGCCTAATCAAAACATATCAGGGACTAAAGTAAAATACACAGCTTTTCCAAGGCATACCTATATATATTATAGCTATTTATGTACAAAGGCTATAGGAAAGTACAATATTTGCCTAACTAATGGACCAAGTATACGGGGTTACGGGAGTACCTCCAACCAATTCGAGTTTAATATAAAACAAGTGCGAGTCGAATTCGCGCACCGAGGGTTCCGTACAAACCTGTAGGTACATTAATTAAAAGGTAGGTATATAAGTAAATCTGTAGATATATGAGGCCTTTCTCATAGTGTAGTGTAGTAACGTTGAAATTATTAAAAATATTTTTATTATTAGATTTCATAAAAAAATTACGGAAGGCGCAATTTCTCCATTATAAGACGTGTTATAACGTTGCTTCGTACTAAATTTTGATAACCTTGCGAGTTTTGAAAATTTTCTGCATAAACGGCTGTATCTTTTGATTGCGTTGACATAGAAGTTTGTTTTTTCACAGCTCCAAAGGACAGTAGATCTGAGTATTTGATATAAATTTCAGCTGGATAACTCCACACGTTCCTGAGAAAAAGGGTCTTAACATAAGGACGGACAACAAAGTTATCCTATAAGGAAACCCTAAAATAATATCCTAGATAGGTTAGCATCCAAGGTACACAATATAAAATAAACACATCGTCTCACCTGACGTGGGTTCCTCTTTAGGTATGTGGTCGGTAAAAAGCGGGTGCGCGAGGGGAACCCAGGGGCCAGGGGGCACCGCGGGCGCCATCGTATAGTGCACCCACGGCGCGCGGTACAGCGGCGCCGACACGTATGGGTACCCGTACATGTACGGCACCTCGCGCCACTCCTCGCGCGCCCCGCGGTACCCGCCCCCGGGGCCCGCCCCCGCCCCCGCCCACGCCCGCCCCGCCGCGTACGGAGATGCCGGCGCCGCGTACGACGCTCGGTACCGGGCCAGCTCCGACGGCGGCGTCGGCGAGTCGCGCGTCATCGAGCCGCTTTGCCCCGGCGAGCCCATAAGCGTCGAGTATCTATATCGGTAGTTGTCCGGGCTCGGGCTCAGATCGGGCGAGTTCACGCTTGACGGGGACTCCGTCTTGAGCGAGGGAGGGTACGAGTGCGGTGAACGCTTCGCCTCGGGCGAACGGCGCGTCGGACTCTCGTCGGGCATGCTCAGCAGCGAGTGTATGCTGTAGCTGCTGACATTCTTGGACACGGGCTGCTGCTCTTTGCGGGGCGCCGTGCCGTTGGGTGGACGCGTTGCTTCCGCGGGGGCCCGGTGGGGCGTGTGGCTCGGGCCCGGCGACGGCGGGTATGACGCCGTGCTCAGTGCCGGCACCGTCTTGGCGCGCCGCTTCATTCCCTGGTCTTCGAGGCTGACGCGTTCGAGTTCCCTCAGAATTCGTTTTCGTGGCGAGACCATCATGTGCTCCTGGCGACAGTTCGCAAGCTTCGCGTTTACGGGAACCGGGAGGGACGCGATTTTCTCTCGCAGCTTATCGATTGTTCGCGTCAACTCCTTTCGCCTTATCTGCGGCCTAGTCTTCTTGTAGACTCTTAATTTACGATACTGATAAGGCTTTTTGAGCTTCATGTGATAGTATTTTTCTCTATCGAAGTCGTTCCACCTATCGGGCGTAGGGCCGTCCACCGCATCCTCGCCGGTTTTACCGGTTTTGTTTTCGAGTGATTCGACGTCGCCGTTTCGCTTCTTATCGCAAATTCCGTTGGTTAGCGTACTTTTAGCGGCGCCGTTCATAGAGTCGAGGCCGACGCCGTCATGAGGTCGCCTCCGTTTGCGGCGGCTACCCGTATCGATGGTCGCGTTATGCAAGGTGCTAGGGCGGCAGTAATACATGGTTAGCTCTTTGGAGACGTTCCGGCGGGGCGTTGCCTGTTTCCAGCAATGATCACGCTGCCAAGGCGAGGATTGCACCGAACTGTTATCGTCGGAGACCGAGAGGGAGGCGGGTGGGAGTGCGGTGGGCGGAGTGGGCGGCGCAGCGGCGGGCGGCCAAAATGTCTTACGCGGTACCGATACCCACCCCGCGCGCTCACCCTCGCGAACGCATCCACGCACCAATTCCAAGATAAACTTCCCATCTGAAACATTAAAATTTCTACTATGAAAGACTGAACTGTTTCTGGTACAAATATTATTATATCTAAAAGAAATATTCCATTACAAATGTTGTAAACCCAGTCTGATTTTGAAATAAAAATATTTTTGTTCTTTTTCAATGATTTTTTTATGCACTTATTATAAACCATTGTGAACCTTAAATTAAGCTTTCTTATCCCCATATACTAATATTATAAAGAGGATAGATTTGGTTATTTGTTTGTATTTTAAAGTATTGAGTAGACTCCAAAATGACTAGAGCAATTTAAAATATTCTTTCACCTGCATAACCCAACATCTGCAAGTGACATAGGTTCTATACTTTATAAGAGTGAAGTTGTGAGAAAATAACTAGTAATATAATAAAAACAACTTTACTACAAAATGTTAAAACATGTAGAGCTATTAACTGCCATTACTACAGTTTAGCATTGAATTGATACTATTGATAAAATTAATTATACTATTTATTAGACTATTTATTTTTATTATTCATATTGTATATTCATTATCAACTAATAACATTATTAATATGCCATTAGTGGATAATAAAAGAATTATGTTTTTATTATTTTTAATTTTGCAGTGGAACATTTTCCACTATAAATGTCATAGTATAATTAAATATTTTTTCAATTGGACTTCTCTGTATGAACTGAAATGGAGAGATATAAACTTTTTTTGCCGAGTTTCTTGCAGGTTCTATGCAGTATAACAACTTGCCAATTCTGAACTAAAAATTTGTGAACTGACAATGACTAAGTTTTTACTTTTAAAAGTGCTTGTAACAGCTTAGAGACTGTACAGTCAATTATGCTATCACATAAGCTAATTACACTTCAATTGGGAAAGCTGATTGATTCAATGTTTTATCAATGTTTGAGAGCTCTAAAGTTCATAGTTCAAGGTCAGTTGCTGCTAATAATAACAAAAGTAATTTTCATGATTATTCATCATTCCTAGATCTTTAATACAGGTGTAGACAAACGAAAATAAATAAATTTTTTTTTGGAAAACTTTTATGCTTATAATATTACTTAAACTTATCATGAAAAAAAAATATTTTATGCTCATTATCACGTAACCATAAACAGGGCATGACGTCACGCCCTTCTTAATCATATCAGAACATAAAGAATTTAACCTTATGCATACATAGAACAATCTCTGCTTCAGAGTGCCCTGACTTCATAGCAATGCCATGACAGAAATTCCACAGGGAAATTTTAAAATTAAATTATTTTTAGAATTTAACTTATTATAATATTATTTCATGTATATATATTTCATGTATAACAAAAATATAAAAAAGTTGTCTACACCTCTATTTAGCTACTTATGGACTTTTAACAATTTCGTAATCATATTTTAACTCTTTTAATTCTGTTTAAAAACCCTACTATTATTATTCTTAAAACAGCTTCCTTGAATTTATTTTCTATTCTTTTTCATAATAATTGATATTTAAGCAGATGGAGAACTAGATATATGCCCACTCATATTTCATAAGACTGCATACTATACAAACATACTAATAATAATAAACTTTATTTGCATTTCCAACAACACATTCCTAAGTGATTTATACCCAATGTACTTATGCTTTATTTTCTAGTAAAAGAAAATTATGTATTAAAAGGGCATACTTTGGTAGAGTATAATCACTACTAGAAAAATCTTTCCACATTTTGTAAAATTGTAGTTTATAATAAATTTCATGATAACAATAAAGAGAATTATGTAACCAAAGCACTTGACAAATCAAAGACAATAAATTAATTGAACATACATAAATGCTATCAAGGTTAGTTCAAACACCATTAGGTGCAGTTTGTATCAATATCTTATCTATTGACATTAATTAGTTAGCATACTGGAGTCCATATCAAGTTACATACACCTGCTTTAAATATTCATTTATAGTGTTACAGGATTTGAAACCATAATCACTCATTAGCATTGCTTGTATTTCACTTCAATAAACTAGTTTTTTGTAATCAAAATATAATTAGCTAACAGGACAAATTATCCACTTATCCTGTTAAACAAGTAATTAATTATATATTACATATTTTAATCCAATCAAATCTATTAAAATTCAAAAATATTTGATGTATTCAACCCAAATATTATCAACAGGATATTTATTGGTGTATGAATTAACACTCATAATTAAAGTAAGAAAAATAAAAGAAAGAAAACATATCCAAATAGGAAATTTGGACAGCAGATAAGAGCTCTAGCCTCAAAGACTTTTATTAAAATTATTATTCAAGAAAAATTGACCAACACTAGGACAAGTATTTATTTCCACTAGGGTGGCAACAATTCCTTACGAAACAACAATAACACAGAGGCTGCATTCAAACAATTGGCAATGGCTCAGGCAATTGTGCCTGTGTATGCTTATCAGAGCATGAATAACTTTCTAGTATTCTTAATGTTAACAATCTTCCAATACAAATTGCTTCATGACTACATATTTACATGGAAAAATCTGCACCATACTGACCTTTGAAGAACTTGAGCCGCCCACCAGTTGCTGCGAGGGGGGAACTCTGCACAGGAGTTTCTTCATTCACACCTTTGCTACTACTGTTACCATTTACGCCATGTCTTCTGTCTACTTCTTCTGTCATTTTGGTACATGTTGTCAGAGTTGTGTTTGGTCCTTCCTGTATATGCATTTCATTTCTGACCGCTCATACAGCCAACAAACGACACTTTAGTCCGAATATTCTCGCCATGGCGCATCGAGCGTAAGAAACGGAGGCTCGTTATCCACTCGCGGATCCCAATCGACATGCAATATATCCGTCAAAGTCTTCATTCTAAGGCCACCTGCAGATTACAAACCCGTCCAAAACTAAAACGTATAATAAACACATACCGACACGGTGACTACTGGATAGAACCAATGTATCTAGCGAATCCTGTTTACGGGAGCACTACTGTTACACAAGCTAAATAACCACAAAACAAATCCACAAAGCCGGATTCCCGAATAAAATCGGGGTCCACGACACAATTCAATAAAAAAGCTGTTCGTTTTTCAGTATATAGTTCATTCACACCCAGCATCCATTTTGATTCGTTCAAAATCAAATATGATCGTTCTTTTTGTGGTGAAATCAGAATGCGTTGCTAAACGCCTTTTGATGAGTGTCAAACTTACAGCACATAACTGTCAATAGCCTCGATTAATATTTGATCCTAGGTCAATATCAATCACTTTTATTTACATTAAAATTATTATTTACAGCATTATTTTCATATTTGTATGGCTTAAAATCAGGGACGTTAAACTCAGAACAAAGTATTAGGTTCTACAACGAAATAAGATGGTTAATTTAAATTGATCGATATCCGCATACGTTTGAATATAATATGTTATTTTTTAATTTAGTCTCATAATATGGACATTAGTTGACCACTCACGCGTATAGATGGCAATAGTATCGCTATTATATTATTTAATTGAGTTGTCACAAAAGAACACTCATAAACTTTACTAACAATGACCTTTTTAGTTTAGTTTCATTATTATGGGCTACAATGTAGCCCTTCTTTAATTTTTTTTTCTATTTGGTACAATTTTAGCTCTAACAGAACTTCCATTTAATCTTTTCTTCTAAAGAATTACAGAAAACTTTAATATCGATAAATTTGACACAAATAAAACTACCTTTATTTTTATGAAATCGTTATCGTATGAAGGTACAATATTTGAAAAATGGTATTAAACACGTTTGAATAGAGTAACACTACAAATATATAAAAAAAAACACTACCAAAAACGTTTTATTTAAAATGTCAAAGATTACAATTTAATGTCATGGTTTCTGAGCTGTGAACGTTGCGTTTCTGCTGTTTTTAAGTCTTAAATTCGTGCTTCTATGTAAATCCGTTGAGTCGAGTTCTCTCCTCCGGTAGTGCTACAATATTTGATTGTGAAATTGATTTATTTATTGTGAGATAGGACTCTTTATCACTTCCATAATGCCATCTGACAAAATGTGTTGTGTACCTGGGTGCTCTGAGGCTCGTGGTGGTTCGTAAATGAATTCCATTTAAAGATTCTATTGCTAAAACATTGTCTCCGTGCTTATTTCTACATAATTGTATTTCTCTCTTGCAGTTTCATGTCCTGTACTCCACTTGTTTCCTCATCCAAAACAAGAAACAGAGCGTTTCGAATCTTGGAGATCGTCTGTGGGTGGACATATACTAGATTTACCTGACGAATTTGTTTATAAATATCGTCGTGTGTGTCATGCACATTTTGAGAAAAAATTTCACTGTCGGAACAATAGGCTTTCTAACATTGCAATTCCAACTCTGAATGTGCCAGGTAATTTTTTTAACGATATATTATCTAAACTTTAGGAATTACATATTTATCTTTTCCTCATTCCATTAATTTCGATTGAGATTGACTGCTATTTCAAACTCGTTATCCATAATAAGTTTGTATGTTCTTAATTTTTCAAGAGACTTTTGTTTTCAGTTAAACACATACCAGATGTTGAGCAATCAAAGGAAAATAAATCTGACGGCCAATCAACATCTAGTTGTAAGTAAATTATTTTATGCTAATTCTTGAATTTCAATTTCTGAATCAAAACGAAGTACATTATTATTTTCAGATAAGTGTCAGTCAAGAAAACGACCATTGAGCTCTACAGAAAATATAATTGAAAGTCTACCATCCACTTCAAAAGGTATTTAATTGTAATGTATTGATTTCTTATAATTTCATGCGCTCTATTCATAAATGAAACATCTTTTAAATGGTTTCATCATGTTTGTATTGAAGTTTCAGACCCTTTACAGGTTCAGTGTTCACATAAGATTAAGCTATTTATTGAAAAAAGACAATGAAACCATTTAAAGGCTGTTTCATTTAATTGTAATGTAGATTAATTTCAATTGCACTAAAATGACTAACTTAACAATTTGTATTAGGATAATATTTTAGTAATATGGTTATGGATAAAGGTTACACAGGGTCTATAGGTGGGTTAGAAAATCAGTATTTTCAACACCAGTACTAGTGCTGAAACGATTACAATCACGGTCAGTCACGGGGTAGCTGTAATGAAGTTTTTGAGGTTCAATTTACACTAGATAAACACTGGCTTATAAATGTTTAATGTTTTTAGTTTATATTTAACTGCTATTGCAACTGCCATGTGATAAAATAAAATTTATTTTAATAACAAATGGTGAGCTATTCCAAATTAACCCATATTATCCCAAGACTCTAAGATGACAGAAAATTAATTTTTTTTTTAGAAATATCTAATAATAAGAGTTCAAAAGAGACAAAAATATGTAATTTATGTTTTTCATATAAATGTAGACTGAATTTCAGGACCGCACCTTAAATGGGGCGCTGGGACAATATGCCTACGGGTTTTGTATGGAATATTAACAACTCACGGTACTTTTAAAGTTGTTTTATTATTGTTTAAAATGAACTACATACATAAAAGTATTAAAAAAAAGAAATAAGATCGTTTTGCGCTGAAAATATAATAAAAATATGCGTAAAAATCATTTTATGGTGTGAAAAATTCGAGAACAATGTTGATGCAAACCAACTTCACATTTACTGCATTTGAATTTGGTGTTCTTGTGACATTGGCGGCAACGAATTTGAGTTTCATTACGGATTATGTAGTGTCCTTTCTCATCTAATCTTATAGAATCAGGCAGTTTGTTCTTGGTAGTCATGGGTAACTTGGTACTAAGTCGTTTAGGAATGGAAGAAGAGGCTTTACCGAGAATAAGATAAGTTTGAACTATGTATCTCGTAAAAGACAGAAAGTCGTGACTATCCTTAGCTTGGCCTGCTGGTGAAAGGCGGTAAAGTTGGTATGCGTTATTAACACAAACGTTTATAGGAAACATCATCATTTGCCAATACCATCTTTTTAGTCTTATGTCGATTCTATATTTGCCTACATTCTGGTCCAGTCTATCCACGCCACCCATGAACTTGTTATATAATTGGTAACAGTGTGGCTGATCGACTTCGACTCTTTTGTTATTGCACCATCTTTTCACCTTCCCAAGCGGCTCAACTCCGCTTTCAGTCGATGCTATTGTCACGATATTGTTGTCGTTGTATCGTACTAAAGTTGCATTGGTAGTCGTATCGGTAACTTGATCGTAAGAACCCCTTGGAGTCTTTTTCATTATTTTCGCGTCTTTTATTGGCGCGCCTTCAACTCTATTGGCACGAAGAGTCCCAGTAATATCATGACCTAATTGTCTTACTTCGTCAAGTAATCGTAAAGACGTAAAGAAGTTATCAACATAAAAACTGTAATGATCTTTTGGTAGCTTCGAAATCAAATTCATCACAACTGAACCACCCACACCAAGACTTGGATTTGTATTACCAGTTTTGGCTCCCTGGTAAGGCTCACCATAAACTAGATAACCGAGTCTTGTGCAGAGAGACCAGATCTTGTATCCGAAACGGATTGGTTTGCCATGAATGTGCTGCTTGGTTCCGTGTTTACCGAAGTATGGCACCATCGATTCATCAATTGATAAATGCTTATCTCCAGGGAAATACTTCAACCATCTTTCATTCATCATATCCCAAAGTGGTCTTACCTTAGCAAATTTATCATCGGCAGGAAGTTGGGTATTATCACAAGCATGATAATATCGCAGAATTTCCTCAAATCGATTACGAGTCATGCATGCGGCTACTCCTGGATGATGTGTATCAACACTCTGATCCCAGTACAACCTATAGCGTGATACGCTATTGTAACCTGACAGAAGTAAAATTCCTATAAAGTTCTTCACTTCTTCAGTGGTGATCCGAAAGTTGACCTGCCCCTTAGCAATTGCATTCTTTTCTGTACTAGATCGTAACAACTCATAAACATCACCATCACAAAACATCTCAAAAAATTCTATAGGATTATCTTTATCTAAAACAAAATCTGGTACAGTTGACTCTCTTTCCGGTTTAGAAGTTATATCTTTATGCCTCCATTTTCGATTCACAATAGTCTTCCCTTTCTTTGCAGGAGGTTCTTTTGATGTTGACGTAGACGGTAAACTATTTTGATCGTCGTAATTTGCGCTTGGTAATCCATAAATGGTTTCAAGGACTCCTTCTGCTGATGGAACACGACACCGCACCTCAGCTTCAGCTAGCAATTGTCGACGAGCAAGATTACTAATATCTCCTGAATCTTCGCTTCCACTGTCTTCATCGCTCAAATCACCGTTTTCAGGTGGTGTAATGACTATGTCTGCTGATAGTATGGAGTTATCATCCTCCAAGAATGATATAATTTCATGAACATTCAGTCTGAAACAAAAAACAAAACAATGTATAAACAAATATGAGAAATAAAACAATTTCATGTCATAACAAAAATACTTTGAAGAAAACTTCCATAGTCACCTGTTCCCAGCGCACCTTAGATGGGGCGGTGAATAAATTTCAATAAAATGTAAATAAAAAGTAAACATATTTGTTTTTTCATAATGTAGATAAATCACTTAAACATTTATCAATAAAAAAATAGTAATAGAATTAATATTTATAAACAAATAATATTATTATTACTTACCCTTTTCTCGAACTCATCTTGACCTAATTTCACGAAACTTGACTACGTTTTGTATCTGAACCAAAAACACGTAAACTTCAATTGCACAAATAACACAACACAGTCAGTTGTCTAGATTATAATAATATTCATTTGCAGTCAATCACTTGAATTTTACTATTTATTTGAGGGTAGAATATAGATGCACCTTAAATGGGGCGCTGGGATAATATGGGTTAAGTTCTTATGTAAATAAATATACTATGGATTTTTTTTTCAGATGAACATACAATAGCAATTGATCATACTAAGGAATTATTTTCCTTAACTAAAGAACAATCAACATCTAGTCGTAAGTAAACTTTTTATAACAAGCTTTTTGAAACATTCTAAATTAAGATTAATTATGATATATATAATACTTTCAGACAAAATTAAATCAAGAACAACACTGTTGGGCTCCGAAGAAAATGTCATTGAGTGTATACCATCTACTTCAAAAGGTATTTTATAACTTATAAATCTCTGTTATATAATACAAACATAGTTTAAAATTTAACAAATGTTCAATAAAAGGAATAATCATTTCATTCATACTCTATTTCACAGTACTCAAAATATTCTCACAAAAATCAAGCTTTAACTTACTGCTTTAATTCTTTTCTTTTTTCGTTTAGATACAAAAACAACTTTCAAAATACAAAGCAAGTCACTTGCTGAACTAAAATTATACAGAAAACTCATTGCCACTAGAGCTAAGTTGAGAAAATGTGAAAATAAAATAAAGAAGCAGGCAGCAGCTATTAATACCGCAAAAAATATTATGGCAAACTCTTCAGCTCTAAAAGCCTTGGAAAATCTCCCCAAAAATGCGAAAATTCTCACCATGCTGCAATTACGAGAAACGAAAAAGAAGGGTAAAGGGAGACGATTCACATTAGAGGAAAAAATTGTGGCTTTATCACTATTAAAACAAAGCCCTAAAGGATATAGGTTTTTAAGAAAAATCTTTGTGCTACCAGCTCCTCCAACATTAATAAAACTAATATCTGCAGCCAATATACAGCCAGGTATAAATAAAAAAATTTTTTCACAGATGGCAAAAAAGGCCCAACATATGAAGCCATCTGACAAACTTTGTGTTTTATTATTTGATGAAATGGCATTGAAAGCTAACATCACATACAATGAAAGATTAGATAAAATTATTGGCTTTGTAAATAATGGTGAGGAAATCACTAAAGAATTTGCTGACCATGCCCAGGTATTTATGATTCGGGGCTTGGTCAAAAATTATAAGCAGCCTATTGGCTACACATTTTCGCAGTCAGCAACAAAAGGTCCCGAGTTGGCCAAACAAATAAAGTTATTTATAAAACAAATATCGGAAGCAGGTTTTACAGTGGTGGCGACAGTCTGTGACCAAGGCTCTGGCAATAGAAATGCAATAAAATATTTAATACAAGAGTCGAGAGGTATGTGGCTAGCTAGAGGAGAAGAGCCAAAAAATAATATATTTTTAATAGACTCGTCTGAAATCGTACCTCTTTATGATCCACCCCATTTGATTAAGTGTGTGCGAAATAATTTGCTGGTGAAAAATTTAATGTACAAAAAAGAAAAGGAAACAAGAATTGCCAAATGGTCTCATATAGAATGTCTTTATGATAAGTGTCCAGCATTCGAAGGGATAAGATTGATGCCCAAACTTACAGAGAACCATGTAAAGCCAGCCAAAATTAGCAAAATGAAAGTGAAATATGCAACACAAATTTTTAGTCAGACGGTAGCCTCTCATATGGGATTTCTAGCTGGTATGTATTAATGTTATTTAGTTAGATGCATGCATTGACAAAAAAGGGAAATTAGGTCATGAGTGACAGAGTTTTTAACAGTGTGATAAAAGAGTGATGTGGCATGAACGAAATATCTTCTTTGACAAAGATTGAAAAAGGGATGTTTAAATGGTTTGGCCACATTGAAAGGATGAGTGAAAGGAGATATATAAGGCAAGTGTGACAGGGCATACTGGAAGGGGAAGACCTACGAATGTACCACGACCAAATCGCGGACGTATTAAAGAAAGGCCAAGTCAAAAGTACACTAAACCGCGGCGTTCTTCAATGAAAAGGTCGATTCGTGTGGAGGAGGCGAGAAAAGTATGTCAGGATCGTAAAGAATGGAAAGAAGTGGTATCTGCCTTCCCCGCCAGGAAAAATGCGTGACAATATAGATAGAATAATAGTAATAACAATTATTTAATGAGAATAAACTACTTACATTTTGATATTCTTTTGGCCTATTAAGTACCAGCTTGTCACAAATTGAATGATTGTTTCCTAGAAACATGTAATACTTAGGACAAAATATTTTAAAAAGAAAATAAATAAATTCTCTCAAGCTTAAAGAGTTGTAATCTTGAAATCTCTTGACACCAGATTAAATATTTATTTGTTATATCAGTTCTAATATTAGTGAGTTATGGGTACTATGTATTCAGTTCAATACGTTATAGATTTAAAGCACTCCCAATAATAAAACATCAAAATTTTTAAATCTTTCTTTCTAGTTTAATAAACGTACCGGTTCTTAGATTTTTTTAGACGAAAGATAAAGTATTGATTTTGATAATTTATATTTTAATAATAATATTTTTTTTATTTATTTCCACCACAAATAACATTACAAAAGGATTCTTTTTGATTTTGTTTCAGATAATGATGTTATCCCTCAGGAATGTAAGGACACAGCTTACATTTTGCTATTTTTTGACACATTATTTGATACCATGAATGGCAGCTACAAAAAAAAATACCGATATGCAAAGCCGGCTCTACAACCTGTTACGCATACATCTGTTCACAAAAAAATTTGGCAGGAATCAAAAGAAATGTTAAAAGAAATGAATTTCATTAAAGGGGATAAAATTGAATATGTTCCAACATTAAGCAATTGGATATGGACGCTAGATGGCATTGAGACATTGATTAATATTATAGGTAAAAAATATGAGGTGAACTCAATTTGGATGCGGCACCTAAATCAAGATCCACTAGAAAATTTTTTCGGTTCAGTCAGGAGTCATGGTTGTCGCAACACCAACCCTACACCCGAAAGGTTTGAGTCGGTATTTGCAACGTTATTAATTAATCGCCTGTCTAGCGTCCATGCCCCTGGCACTAATTGTGAAGATGACGTAGCTTCAACTTTATATGCCCTCGTCATCAATGAGGACTGCAGAGCCACTACCGAAGAAGCAGCAACTGTAGATTTAAGTATCGTAAATGAAATTAATATTGTTGATTTAAACGACAAATTTAAAAATCCACAAATAAAAGCAATGTTACATTATTGCAGTGGATATTTTGCAAAAAAACTTAAAAACAAAATATTCAAAAAATGTAATTTATGTAATGTAACATTCATTGATAATAATGAGTCCGAATTTATACAATACAGGGAATTTCAAAAAAAGAGGTGGCTGTGCAGTCCTACTATGGACTTTATTAAAAATGTCTCTCAGATGCAGGACGTTATTTATAAAATTTTAGTAAAGAATCTTGAAATAAAATGCATAAAAGAATTTATTAAAACTATAATATTAATGTATGTTAGTTTTGACTACATAAAATGTGAACAACATCGAGAAAAAATCTTAGATTATTTAATTAATTTAATAACACGATTTTACATATATATGTATTGCAAAAATATAAATAAAATTCTAGGCGGAATGAAGGCTAATGAAGATAACGACGATGTTCTACAATTAAAGGCTAAGAAACATTATGACAAATTATGTAAAAGAAAAAAATAAACATGTTTATCGAAAAATTTTGGTATTATTTCGCACAACAATTTTCTGTAATGTCCATGATGTAGCTTGATGTCATTACTGCAATCTATGTAATGGTTTCTCGTTTAACTTTTTATATTTAATGTAAATATATTGAAATCCTTATAAAATTATCTCTCATGACTTTTAATTTTTATATAAAATGGTGTTTGTAGTTAGATTCTGTTCTAAAAGCAATTGCAATAACTTAAACTATAATTTTGAATGTTATTGCCTTTCTTTTAGAACAGAATTTAACTCAAAACATTGTTTTCTTTAGAAAATATCCACTAATTAAATTTGAATTTCCCGCAATTTTTCAAAAATAGTTCCACTCAGAATTACAGATGGAGTTGCACGCTTTTATTACAAAAATAGCTCCGAACATGTGCCTCTATTTCCTAATGTACTCTGTGCTTAAAATGAACAATATTTCAATTTTCAAGGAATACGACTCGATTAAAAAATCGATAGGTTGTAATGTCGTTATCGATTTAAAAAAACAACCCGATTGGGCATCGTTATCGCAAATCGCGCAGAAGGAATAGAGTATTTATATTCTCTTTGGTGAACTTGTGTTAATTTTTTTTATTGATCCGTGATCAACTTCTCGTGTGCAAGCAAGGAACAATCTCGTGTGTGTTGTACGTACAAGCGTTGGTCGTCTTTATACTCTTTGATTAATTGCTGTAGGTTTTGTGAAAGTTAAGAGAAGATTCTATGGTTTTGTTTGTGCTGAAAAGGAAATCACAAAATCCAACCTCTCTTTTGGTTTAATACCAGAACCCGAATAAAGGAGGGTATTCAAACTGTTGAATTGATAATATTAGATTCAAAATGACTTCGTCGGAAGTTTCTATCAGTCGTAAGATAATATCAGAAGATTTATCAAATGTCGAATTCGACACAAGCGAAGATGTGGAAGTTATACCAACATTTGATTCCATGGGTTTACGGGACGAATTATTACGGGGAATATATACTTATGGTGAGACATCATTGTATTCCAAAATAGTATCTCAATTTGTGCTACTTATAAATATCTTATGCTATTTTACCTTTATCGTTACAGGTTTTGAAAAACCCTCGGCGATTCAACAAAGAAGTATTCTACCCATTGTTAAGGGAAGAGATGTCATAGCTCAAGCTCAGTCCGGTACTGGTAAAACAGCAACATTTTCAATATCCATACTTCAATCATTGGACACTACTCTACGCGAGACTCAAGTATTAGTACTTTCTCCTACTCGTGAGCTAGCAACTCAGATTCAGAAAGTTATTCTTGCTCTGGGAGATTTTATGAATGTTCAGTGTCATGCCTGTATTGGTGGTACTAATCTTGGTGAAGACATTCGTAAGCTGGATTATGGACAACATGTAGTTTCTGGTACTCCTGGAAGAGTGTTTGGTGAGTTTTTTATCATACTTTAATTCAGGGTGTCAACAGTATATAAGTTTGATGTATGTGCATCTCAATACATTCTTATCAAGGATTTTATTTCAGAAGAATAAGCATCAGTTTTAGACATTTTGCTTTCATGCAAAGATAGATGTATGTGGTGTCATAAGACTACTAAATAAGTCCTATAATTTGGTGACACTTAAGTGAAGGTGAATCTTGCAAGCTTGTTTATAAATTATACTTTAAATTTATTTTAGATATGATTAAAAGACGTGTTTTGAGAACAAGATCTATCAAAATGCTAGTTCTGGATGAAGCTGACGAGATGTTAAACAAAGGTTTCAAAGAACAAATATATGATGTATATCGCTACCTACCCCCTGCCACACAAGTTGTTCTCATCTCTGCTACATTGCCACATGAGATTCTGGAAATGACTTCTAAATTCATGACTGACCCAATCAGAATTCTGGTGAAACGGTATGTGAATGATTATTTTCTTAGTACTAATATCTAGTCATTATATTAAAATTATGTAGCAAGCAAGTTTGAATCCATTTGTCTGATCTAATGTAGATGCAAAATAGTATGATTTATATGCTATGCTTAGTATATTGTGACATTTATGAGAGTACATTGGCATTAACATTTTTCAAAATCACTATTGTAATTAAACCTGATTTCACTTGGTTTACTCATGTCAACAATGAATTATATTATACTATCCAATTGGTTAAGTTAAAATTTTTGATAACTATGTCTTGCGGTCAGTTGCACAAACATTCATTAAGGTTTAATGACACATTCTTCTTTCTACGGGCATCTCTGCAACTCGACGACCAAATTGCGCCTATTTTGCGTGTGGAGAGTGTGTGGCCGGATTCTACTCCAGCTGGCCCAGCTCTGCCAAAAACATTCTCAGCGCCTTCACATCTGCGATGTCCTCCTAGAAGTTACCCGGCGAGCTGAGGTGCTTTGCCCAGTAGTTGGCCTCTCCGTTGCATTGCAGCAGCTGTGAATGGCTGTTTCTTCCATCTCCATACATCCTCTGCACAAGGGGCTGTCAGTGACACCTAGATTGAAAAGGTGCCTATTAAAGTTGCCATGACCAATAGCACCAGTAACCATGCGGAAATATGGCTTATTTAGCTGTAGAAGGGCTTTAGAGAGGCAAGCATTCACTCGGGGTAGTGCAAGTTTGGCCTGCCTGCAGGTTTCAAAAGTGCGCCAGTACTGTTGATGTAGTTTACTTGAGTGTTCACATATCCTACCAATTAACCAACTTACCGGAATAGGAATGATTGGTTCGGGGCCCATTGGTGTTGTGTCTGAACCTCTGCATGCCAGTTCATCAGCTACAATATTTCCACGTGATCCACTGTATCGTTTTATCCATTGGATAGTAATTATATAGTGTGTCCCTACCATATTTAGAACCTGGTAACACTCCTGTAGAAGACTCAATCGGACAGAACTTCCTTTGAGAGCCTGTAGGACTGATTAATTGTCCAAGAAGATCTGGATTTTTGATCCTGTTAACTTATAGTTATCGCTCTCGCCGCCAGGATGACCGCCATACATTCAGCCTGGAAGACTGTATTGTATGGGCTTTTTCCCCTTAGCAGATGTATGTTGTTTCGGTAGGTGAAACGTGCCTACGTTGTGTTTGGTTGTAAACATTACCAGTTCCGTTTGTGCAGGGTTCACGATCAGGTCGTACTTTTCACACCAGCGTTCGACTTTCTTCAGGACGGCTTGCATGTTGTTGCAGGTTATACCAGCGTGGGTGCCTAGAGTTAACATTGTGATTTCATTGGCATATCCTATGGTGTAGAAGTGGTTTGCATTCAGGAGTGTGATCAGGTCGTTAACCACCAGGTCCCACAGTAGCGGCGAGAGTACTCCCCCCTTGGGGGCATCCCCGCGCCACCAGCGCCCCGTACTGTCCTCACCTGCAACCCGAACTATCCTATTGCGTAGCATGCTCACGATCCAGTCTATAACTTGTGGCTTTACTCCATGTCTTAAGAGCTGCCTCAATGCTGATGAATTTGGTTCTATCAAAGGCACATTCGATATCGATGAAAGTGCTAAGACAGATGAGTTTGTTATGAAGGGCCATTTCTATCTTATCGACTAGTTGATGGAGGGCCGATTCTGTAGATTTACCTGCTAAGTAAGGATGTTGATTTTTATGTATCAGAGAAATGCTCAGTGCACCGCTTCGTACATATCTGTCGCATAGTCTTTCCAGAGTTTTGAGTAGGAAAGATGTTAGACTAATGGGCCAGAAAGATTTGGGGTTAGTATAGTCTGAATTTTCGGGTTTGGGTATAAATACTACCTTTACTTATCTCCACCTTTATGGCGTGTATCGGTGAGCAAAACACTCTTGTAGTATACGGGTAATTGTTGTGACAATGATCTCGCTTCCCCATTATAGTAGTGCTGGAAAGGTGCCATCGCTTTCTGCCGCCTTGAAGAGAGAGAAGCTGTTAATGGCCCATCTCACCTTTTCAGACGTTACAATTTCTGTGGCAAGGCGCCAGCATCTTTCCGTCGGTGTCGGCGTAACGTCATGCCATACTACCTGTTCGATTAATTGACAGTTTGGAAAATGGGTCTGTAGTAGGATAAGATTGGTTTCATCCTGACTTTGGGACATCGTGCCGTCAGGTTTTCGGAGAGTTCCCAACGTGCCGAGACCTTGCTTCGCCAAAATTTTCCTTTCCCTATTTGTCTATGTAGTGGAATTTATCTGTTCGGTGAAGCTACACCAAGAGGCTGTTTCCAGAATCTAATACGTTTTTTGTACTTAGCTTTAATCGCTTTGTAGTTCTCCCAGTCTAATTCACTCCGGGTGTTCATGGCTTGGTTAAATTTCTTCCTCACCTCGCTTCTTATTTTCTTTAGTTCGGGACCCCACCAAAGGTGTTAACCCAAACCGTTGGATTTCAGAAATTTGAGAGGGATGGCTTCCTTATAACATTCAAGCATGCAATCGGAAACCATATTTATCTGCTCTTCTATTTTTACCGTGGTGCCGATTCTACCGTTTTCGTAGCTCTTACACAGTAATTTCTCTGACACCAAACAATTTTTATGGTTTTCGTTAGTTTTATTGGGGTACATTTTACGGACGGGGTACGGGACTGTAAGTCGAACCGAATCCACCGATGATGATGATACGTGCCAGTCCGATATCGCTGGCACCGTTTCCGGGATCCCGAAAGTGAGATAATAAAGGCAATGACGCCTTTTAGCTCCAATGAATGTCAAAATTGTATGGGTAATGTCACTTTAAACTAAAATTATTAATGTTTGTGCAACTGGTTGTTAGTTATACATTTTCTTTGTAAGAATGTGAAATAATTGGATTCTATTGAACTTACTGATTTTCATATTTAATATTTTTATAGTGATGAGTTGACACTGGAAGGAATAAAACAATTCTTTGTGGCGGTTGAGCGTGAAGAATGGAAATTTGATACACTCTGTGACTTGTATGACACACTTACAATCACACAAGCAGTTATATTCTGTAATACAAAGAGGAAAGTTGACTGGCTCACACAGAAGATGCAAGAAGCCAATTTCACAGTCAGCTCTATGCATGGTGACATGCCTCAGAAAGAAAGAGACAATATCATGAAAGAATTTCGTTCTGGCCAGAGGTATATATTAATATTGTGTTAATTTCTTATTAAAACTAAATTGTTTTACATTTGATGTATAATTTTCTTTTTCTTTTTGCAGTCGTGTACTAATAACAACTGATGTTTGGGCCAGAGGGATTGATGTGCAGCAAGTATCGCTCGTTATTAACTATGATCTGCCTAACAACAGAGAGTTGTACATCCATAGAATCGGTCGTTCTGGACGATTTGGACGTAAAGGTGTTGCAATCAACTTTGTGAAATCAGATGATATCAGGATTTTGAGAGACATTGAACAGTATTACTCAACTCAAATAGATGAAATGCCTATGAATGTGGCAGATTTAATATAATTGTTTATTTGTTCATTCACCATCCTCACTCTGGTTGCACACTGATTGATTACACTGTTGTATGGCACATCATCATCATTCTGCCAATTGGGAACTTAGCTTATAAACAGCATTTTTGCTGTACTCTATCCTAGATTTAATTTGTTTGTAACTATTGTCTTATTATAAATTGAAATAAAAACAAATTATTTTATTTTTGAAACCTCTACTAAAAAAATATTTAGTGACTTGATCCATGCCATCCCATCTTTCTTTCAAGTCTTTCCATTAGACTTAAATTTATATTTTTATACAGTACAATCATTGACTAATAAAATATTGAGACTTTTTTTTAATAGGGATGATCACTGGGTAAAAAAAAATATTTAGTTCGTCAATCAGAAAAAAAAAATATTTGCAACTTTTTTTGCTACAATGTACAAGATATAGATAACAGGCATTCAAGTCGTCACAGCTTTGTAGAAAATGTACAAAAAAGCGTGATGTCATGTGATATTTCAATACATGCTTAAAATTCTACAACCTACCTTTTATCTGACGGGCAGACAAAAGAAAATTAGTCGTCATCCCCAGTCCAATCCAAAATCCAAAAAGTCCAAAATAATATCAAATAAAACACACATTGAGAGATTTTTAACTTTATTTTAGTCAAAGTAATATAACACAGATTCTTAACAATTTTTAAATTTACATATTAGCCTATACACACTTTTAATAAACATTGTGTGAAATCTCTGAATCAGCCAAACAAGTAGCTTAAAAACACTAAAGAATTGGATTGGAATGTCCTCTTTATGAACACATACAGAGTGTTACAAAACAAAAAGAACCCTTATACAAATAAAAAATCTCATAATTATATATTTTTTTTATTTACAGATTGTTTAAATACACAAACAATACATATTTACACTTTAATTTGTGTAATCATTTTTATTAAATTAATAAATATTTGTAACATTAAGTATAAATTTTCATTACAAAATATATCACATATTTAATAAAAAAAAGAAATTATTCAAAAATAGGGAATGTTAAACAAAGCTTAGTACAATTGGCAGCACCTGCAGAAACAGGAGATTTTATTGAAGGACATGTTAAGGTAATGTAGCACATGCACAATGATTTTAAGCAACATTAAATGGGGTTCAAAGAGCTTTATAGAAATATAATAATTGCTTTAATATATAAAAAAAGTTGGAAAACTACAGCTTCAGTACAGTTTTCTAACTTTTTGTCTTTACACTAAAATATGCAGCACTCTTGCATTATTGGATACCTTATTTTCTAAATATATATTAAAACAATTGATATATTTTTCAAGGTTCAGTGATCCTTGATAACTACAAAACACTACACAAACTATTTTTGTACTTCAGGACTTGTTAATATGGAGAGTCATCCTTAAACAACTGTCAAATATGTTTTTCAAATATATTTTCTAAGCTGGGCCTACAAAAAAAATTAGGAACCTCTTTTCATAAAAAAAGAATTTGTTTTTTTATAAATATATCTTAATATCACTTGTTAAATGTAATTTCACGTCTTTTTTTGAGTATATTGTTTGTATAATTTTTGATTTAAAACAACAAATAAAAATATGTTCAAGAACTAAATAGTTAAACAACACTCTTAAAAAGTTTGAATCAAGAAATTTATTTTATAGTGATAGTTATAGGACATCATAGTCATATGCCACAACATTTGTTTTGTTATGATCAGCACATGGACAACCAAGACACTTCTAATGATATCTCATATGTCCAGGTACAATGAGTAGTTTCGAGGTTATAAGAGAACAGATGAAAATTTTTACATACAAACTGGCCAAAATCATAACACTCCTTTTAACTTCACTGTAGTTAGATAAAAATAAAAGTTTATTCAATTATTTATTTAAGTTATTGTTGATAATTAACTATGGATAATTAGTAGATATTTATCATGATAATTATTGTGATTACAAACTCTGATATTTTTATATGCACTTTGATGTTCCTAAAAAATCACTGTTTGTGCTTGTGCTGCACACAGAGAAATTACAGTAATAGTTATCCTACTACAAAATTGGAAATTGAACTTCTCAGTTATTTTGATATTTGACTTTTTTTTAATTAGTGTGTGATATGTAAACACACCTTTACTTGTTAAAGATTATTTACATTCTGCAACACCCTGTATTACACATTTATTAATACTATACAAAAACCTAATACACTAATACTTTACATTAGAAATAAATATACATTTAGAAATTATACACAAACACATCTATCAATAATAATTGTAAGGAAGTTTTAGACATACATACTCTCTCTGAGAATGATTACATCATGATTGCCTTAAAACAAAGTATCCTTTTTAAGGCACAAGTTTTAACATATAATCTTACTATAAATTTCAATCAAGTTTGTAATATAAGATAACAGTTTACATATAATCAAATTATGATAAAAGAAATTAGGTGCTTAAGGTATGTAATGAAATCTTTACTTGTGAAAAAGTAATAAAGTCAAATACAAAGAATACAGAATAAATTAATTTGGAATAATTATTTGTATTTTTTTTTATTCTTAGGCCTAGTACTAATTAGTGTTCCACAAACATTAGTATTACAATTCTGTTTCTGTTGAAGAGTAATGGGCATTCCAGCGTCTATATATAAAGATGCCCAAGGCTCCAACAAGCAATGCGACTAATATCTCTGTCAACTGATCTAAAAAACTAGCACTGGAGTCTACAGATTCCAATACCTGAGGCTCTGTTTCCTGAACAGGATCTTCTGGAGGCTTAGCTGTCTGCTCTTCTTCTCCTTTGAAGGCTATTTGATTTAATACAGACTTCTCCTCTTCAGTCATAGGCTTGGCTGCTGTTGAGGATAGTAATGTTGCAATTTCTCCGCATTGCGGACACACCCAGTTCTTAGATTTCTTTGCTAAGACTTTACGTTCCGCAGGCGAATAATCCAAAGAACCGATGGTGCCCTCAGCTGGAGTTGGCATGAATGCAATCAATGCTAATAAAGCAGTCCTTATCGACCATGATGGCTGCCAAGTCTCTGGGTGGTGTCCAGAAATTGACAAACATATTTTTTTATTAACTTCGAATCTGCCGTTCGGAGTTAACAAGATAATATGAGGTGGATGCATAGGATATTCTTTGGGCAATAATATCCTGCCATGGTATATACCACCTTCAAAATCCGTACCTTTTGGACCTTGGACAGTAAAATGCCACTCAAAGAGATTGTCTTCTAAAGGTCTTGCACAATATTCTTCAGTTGCTTCTGCTAATTCCAATGCCTCTCTCATAAGCCGCTTTACACCAGGACATTTTGTGTTATATTTCTCACCCATTTCTGCCATATTTTAGACACCACTGGTCTTGTTAATCTTATAAATTATACTAAAATATTGTATTGACGCAACAAACACTGCAGTAACACGTAAGTTTTTGATGTAATCACAATAAAATTTGATAACAAATCCCAGGTACTTCTGTCATATCAAAATGATTGACGAATGAGTAATAAAATAACCATAAACAAAGAAGCAAATCTAGGACCAAATATCAACAGACTAACTTTTACGTAGATAGATAAAGCCTTGCATTACGTAGATAGATAAAGCCCTTGCTTGTATTTGAAAGTGTAATTTGGTTAAAAAGTGTTTCCAGTCCAACAATGAGTAAGTATTTAAAAAAAATATTAGTTCCCGAAATCAAACTAGATGTCACTACGGTACTTCCTTGATTTCTCCATGACAACCTTTCCAGTTTTCTTTTATGTATTAAATTAAATTAATTTTCAAAACTCATATTCAAATTGTTATTTTTCGTATTTGTATTAATATCTAAGTTTCGAACTTTGCGAATTTCAGTTTTTTAATATGTTAGTTAAAGGAACGAAAATGACTACTTTGGCCCATTCATTTCCTGCAAAAATCAACTTTTAATAGAGTCGCCATCTAGTGAGGTGCTTTTAGTGCTTTCTTTTTTTTCTTAAAATACTTCCGCATGGAATCAATCCGTACCTGTACGGAAAAAATATTTGTTGTATTAAATAATCTGAGTCGCCACCAACTATACCATAGATATTACACTATACCCTTTCATCGTTTTGTAATTTCGAACTATTCTATACAAAGAAAATGTTATTTCTTGACGTATTCTTGTTACGATCGTGATAACTATAGTTTGTACTCAGTGCTGAATTACGCCAGGGCAGACACTTTCCTTGATTTGTAATATTTTGTGGCGACATACGTAGCGACAGATAACACATAGCACTAACATTGCCACAACAATGGATAGCAAGACGAATTGCAAGAATATTTAACATCCAGTAATAAGATGGCGCTGTACACCTCTATTATAATAATACAAGTCATTTAGAACAAAGGAAACTTACATCGCCATATATACCCAAACCCACAAATTTTCAACCATCTTATGATATGATAACTTCCCTTTCATCATCATCCTATGTAATTATATAACGAGGAATAACATACGTTTGTGATTTGTCTGTTATAGAATGAGGAAGTATTTAAAAAAAACGAAAACTCTAAAAAAGCACCTCCACTAGATGGCCCCTCTAGCAAAAGTTTGATTTTTGCAAGAAACGGATGGACCACAGACACTCATTTCCGTAACATGACAAAACCTGAATTTTGATAAGTTTGAAACTTAGATATCAATACAAATACAAAAAAGTACAAATAGAATATGAGTTGTTTATTGAGTTTTGAAAACTAATTTACTTTTAAACATGAACATACCGGAAGGGTTGTCATGGACAAATCAAAAACGTACCGTAACGATATCTAGTTTAATTTCGGGAACGAATTTTTTTTTTAATACTTCCTAATTTACTAACATCTATGATGTGTACGTCTCTTCCAGGTAATATTTTTAAAATACAAATTTTGAATTTTAATGAGGAAGTACATAAAAAAGCGAAAGCACTAAAAGGCACCTCCACTAGATGGCGACTCCAGCAAAAGTTGATTTTTGCAGGAAACAAATGGACCTAAGCCACTCGTTTCTGTTCCTTTTAACTAACATATTAAAAAACTGAAATTTAAAAGTTCGAAACTTTGGTGTCAATAATTTGTATTGACACCTAAGTTTCACCACGAAAAAGTACAAATAGAATAAGAGTTTTTTATTGAGTTTTGAAAACTAATTACTTTTAAACATGAAAGAAAAGAAAACTAAATTAAGAATGTACTGTAGCGACATCTATTTTGATTTCGGAAACTAATTTTTTTTTAATTACTTCCTCATTTGGGCTTTCACTGCACAAAATATAAAAAGCGAAGTCTATAAATTAGAAAACAAATTGAACGAAACACTGGATTCAACGCCAATAATTAGAAAGAAGAAGAAGAATGGAAAAACTACATTAGACACAAAAATATCTGATAAAAAGTTTATATTGTGTTAAAGTGTAAAAGTTTTTACTGCTTTACCCATCCGTAGTAGAAACAAATAACTCATAAGTTCAAATGAGGTATTTAGAGTGAGAGAGAGCACGAATTGCCACTAAGGTCGAAGACCTTATTGGATTGGAATGTCCCATACATTCTACCATCCCATAGTGCAGTCCCCACCTACTTACTATACTATGAACTTCTTGGATGCTATAGACAACTCATATATATAATCTTTGGATTTAATTTGGTATTAAGTTTCGGAATGGCGGATTTTTCAATATTGGAATTTCTTTTACTTTGATATCAATATGTATCGATTATTTTTATAAATTATTTATTTTAATCGGTTTATTGTTGTATCCTTAAATGCTCTGTCAACGAGATTAAAAAAATCTAATGTCAATAACGTTAACAATCTTGACATTTGTTGTCAAATCAAATGTGTCAATTTGCCGTCATGTTGTCGTTTGTTGTGTTACAGAAAATGGAAATGTGGTAACGGGCTGGTTAAAATCAATTAAAGGTAAAGAAAAGGAAAGAATTTTCTTGGGTATAAAAAACCTCTAAACGTAACCATTATACGAAGTAAAGTAAAATGGACGGTCCTCCGGGCAACAACGCATCTTTAGGACCGCCGCCGGGAATGCCAAGCTTCCCTCCTATGCCGCCTCCACCAGGTGCGATGGGACCTGGGAATATGCCACCGCCTCCTATGGGACCTCCTGGTGCTATGCCACCAGTGACTGCTACAGGTGGGCCACCCAATATGCCACCGCCAGGCATGGGGCCTCCACCGGGTATGATGGCTATGGGGCCCCCTCCCCCGGGGATGGGTCCTCCACCACCAGGAATGGGCCCTCCGCCCGGAATGGGTCCTCCTCCTCCAGGCATGGGACCACCTGGCATGAATATGGGACCTCCGATAGGACCACCTGGTATGGGACCACCAAGAATGCCCCCTAACATGATCCGTGGTGGACCTAACATGAAGGGAAATTTTGGTAACCAACCTGTCGACATGGGTCCTCCTGGTATGGGTCCTTCGCCTAATATGCAAATGGGTCCTGGACCTTGGGATGGACAGGGTCCTCCAGGGTGGGGTTGCCAGGGTAGAGATGGTCCTCCAGGCTGGGATGATCAAAGCGATGACAGGGATGAAAATGAACCAGAAGATGAGGAGCAGGGTCCTCCTACTGGTCCTAATGCACTTCCTTCTTTGCTGACTATGAAAATTGACACTCCTGAAGAATTTCGCAATAAGCCAGCTCCAGGTGGTGTTGTATTACCAAAGGCATTGGAAGAGGCTTTGGCTTACAAGGATCAAAGACAGGCAGCATTCGGTGATGAAGATGAGCAGCAGGTAGAGGGTAGGTACACTGTGTTTGTTTTTTTTCTGCTATTTGTAACTTGCTCTAACACTTATTCAAAAAGGGATACTCCAAATTTATAGCAAGATGCAAATTATCATTGTCATGAACATGTTTGATATAGAAAATGTAACTGGATCCATATTGGAAATGAACAATGGTCTACAACACATATATGTTGCACCGAGTTCCCAGCAAAGTTTCGCTTTCAGTAATAGGCATGAAGACTAGGTAAAAATAATAATTCTATAGTCTGTCATTCAGATAATAAAATATTAGACACATTTTTTTTCTTCAATTTAAACAAGAAATGGCTTAGATAATAGGCATTAAAGTTGAGAAGTGGGGTCTCCTTACATCATAGTTTTGTAGAAAATGTACAAAAGCATGATGGTACATGACTTCAACTCAATATATTGCTGTAATGTATTGATTATGCAAAATAAAGTGTTTAATATTCTTCAATAATTTACCTGATGAACAAACTTGATTAGTTCTTTAGCTTGTTCTTCTTGTCAGCTAAAAGATGTCCTGAACAAGTGTCAGGGGAAAAAAAATATTTTTGCACCATTCAAAAGTGCTTGAAACATGCATACTTGAATAAAGACATTTTTAATTTTTTTTTCAATCAAACAAAAATGAGTCATCCTCCCTATTATATTTCAGATTAAATGCAAAGTTGGAAAATATTATAAAGGGTTCTGTACACATTATAAAGCACTCTTTTGTTTATATACCTATGTGTCATATTCAAATTTGTTTATATATAGACAATGGTCCAGAAGCACCACCGGCTCCTGTGATTAGCACAGAATATGATGCTGAAGAGGACGAGGGTGATTCTGATGATGAAAACATACTTGTTGCACCACAACCTCCTGTTATATCCAGACAAGAGGTAATAATATTCTCTAATAATAAAACACCATAAGTTATTTAAGTAAGTTTATGTTGTGTTTAATTGAATGAAGCATCCGTTAGATGGTTCCGACTCAGAAAGCTATGTGAGTATTTGATGCTCTCAAAATAATGTGAAAGAAGACTGTATTACTTTTTATAATATTCAATATAATGTTAGTATATATAATAATCTATTAATCACCTTATCAAAATAAGGGTTTTTTTGTTTGATTTAAAATAGTAATATATGAAATACATAGTTAAATGGTTTACAGGAACTCAAATCTTTAAATAGATAATCAAAATAGGATTTCTAACACTACTGTTTGTTTTAGCCAAACATGGGGAAGAATTATTTACAGACTCAAGCAAGTAAAAATAAACAAGCCAGCAAAGCCAGTAAAAATAAACGAAAAAAGAAAAAGAAGAAGGCAGCAAAGCAAAAACGCAAAGAAGAAACTAAAACCAAAGAACCTCAAACTGTTAAAGATGACGGCAAGAAGTCAAGTGACAAGGAGAACGAGAAAGAGGCTGAAATAGAGTAAGTTTTAGTTATCAGAATCTATATTCAGTTTACCATATATTTTATTTAACTCTATTTTTGATACTACATAATTACGTTCAGTAAGAAACTTCATGGCTGTATGGTTTACATTGATAGTGCTTGTACTATTCTGTTATTATAAATTGAGATTTTGTTATGTCGATTTGCATTTTCAATCGTGAAAATACCTAAATAAGATAACAAATTAAATGAAAGTAATAGTATATGCGCACAGGAGAATAACTATTTTTCTTTGATTACATTCAACTATAGAATTAACCCGAATTAAAGATAGAAACTTTTAGTTTAGCTTAGAGAGGTACAGCAGATTTGGCAGCATTATCATTGAAGCTAGTCATAATCACATCTTATTTACTATTTTTGTTCACACATTTTGATATTTGCAGGTATGTACAAGAAAGTGTACAATTTCATGAAATGGAACCAATGTACCGACAGTTTCATCGTATACTTGAAGCATTTAAAATCACAGAAAAGAAAGAGGAACTAGTTGCTGATGACAGCAAAGATCTACCGAAACCAACCAAGCCTCTAGAGAAAGTGCAAGATCAGTTTGCAGCTGATGAAGAAGCTGCAGAGGTAAGTAATATTTATCTATATATTATCCCTTGTGGGGTCGGCAGAGATGACCAAACGCCAATCTTTCGCTTCATCCACTTTCATTACTCTTTTCGTGCGTACAAGCCAGTTTCATGGCCTCTGACATCACCTCCTAAGAGCACGCCATTTAGTTGATTGTGAAAGGTGTGTCGTAGTCTTCTTCGGCTTCTGCATCCTTCAACTTTCCTGTTGTATAGCAGTTTTGTCATTCTTTTATCTGGCATTCTCGTTCTTGGCTTACTCCGTAAATTTTATGTAAAAAAGCATCTCGACTGTATTTATTTTACTTGCATGCTCTTTCTGACATACCCAATTCTTGCTTCTTCTGGCTTACTCTCCTTTCTATGTCAGTGGTGTATCTTCCATCCCTGCCAAAAGTACATCCAAGATAGACTTGTTCCAGTACCACATCATCAACAATAATCCTTACATTTGTTCTGGTATTTTCTCTTTCAAATACCATATTTAGAAGAGTAATATTTATAAGAAGATTATAATACTAGATTCGCTTTAGAGTTTTAGGGGTGACAAAGTCGACATTCAGTCTCGACAATCTTGAAACAATTAATGCTGAAGAAATAATAAGATTCTGCTGAAATTTTTTGTTCCTTTTTTTTGTATTTTACAGTTCCTTATTTTGAGTTACATAAAAGGTATTAGTGTTTATTGCTTAAAATTTCAATTATACATAGATTTTTAACTGAAACTAGATAATATTTTAGGTAGTTTGTTTGGTGATATTGCTGAATGTGGTCAGATTACTTACTTTACTTAGTCTTGTAAAAATATTGAGAATTCAAATTTCGCATTAACCTTTATTGCAAACGCACATTTTACAACAGAAAAATGCAGCAGACGAGAAAGAGCGAATGTCAAAGCGCAAGCTGAAAAAGCTGTCACGGCTCTCGGTGGCGGAGCTGAAGCAGCTGGTGTCCAGGCCTGACGTGGTGGAGATGTACGACGTCACAGCGCGCGATCCCAAACTGCTGGTCCAACTGAAGGCGCACAGGAATACCGTGCAGGTGCCACGGCACTGGTGCTACAAGAGGAAGGTGACTACGATCTCTTTTGTATTTTTTTATAATTATTATTGATAGCTTAAGCATGGACTATATCGTTAAAATTAAAAAAATAAACTAGGCAAGAAAATGATACATTTTATAAACACTTTACTTAGCAGACCAAAGCCTTGCAAAGCTGTACTCAACTATACTGTTTTACTTATCCCACCAGTTGTTTATAAGCATTATAATGTTTACTGTGTGATCTTGTTGGTCAACTATTATGCAATCCTTTTAGTCAAACCTCAGATATGATAGCTTGATGTACAATAGTACTATACAAATTAAATGCTAATTGTAATACTGCTAGTGCCCAGATAGCAGCTTTCAAAGTGTCTTTTGTTCTTTTCAAACAATTGTTGAAAACATTCCGTTTCTACAAAATGTTAAATATTGTCTATGAAAAAACTCACAATTCTATCTGTCATACAGTATTTGCAAGGCAAACGTGGTATTGAAAAGCCGCCTTTCGATCTGCCCGACTTTATAAAGAAAACGGGCATTATGGAAATGCGCGCGTCCTTGCAAGATAAGGAGGAGACGAAAACTCTAAAAGCGAAGATGCGCGAGCGCACACGTCCGAAGCTCGGCAAGATCGATATAGACTACCAGAAGCTTCACGACGCCTTCTTCAAGTGAGTGTGTTATTTATTATTTTTGTTATTATTGTAAGTAAAGGTCGCACTATTGAAATTTAACCATAAAATTTGAATATTATTAAGGTTTTATTGTCAATGTCTATACTTCTTTATGATTGTTTGAAATTAACTAATTCTAATAATTGTTATATTAAAAAAGTGAAAAATATGTCTAAAAAATAAAGTATATTCATATTATTGTCATATCTATACTATAATTGTTTAATAGATTATAATGATATTATACAATAACAGATGTGATCACAATTGACGGTACAATAGACTAAACCACAATTTGATCAATTTGGGACCAGGTTAAAATCTGGACAACACTTTTATTTTATTAAAAACAGGTATATATGTTACTCTTCAAGACTTGGATGTATGAATTAAGGTAAGAGACAAGTATTTTTTATGTATTTTCCTTTTACCTTTGATTTATTTTTCATTTGGGAATTGACATGGATGATACTAGCTCAATTCTTAAACAGCATACACATATACTATTTAAATTATGCTCTTCGGCTATATTCGTCAAGCTTCGGCAATCCTTATGTATTTTAAAGATATCTATAATTCTATATAGAGTTGTAATTACATAATTAATCATTTCGCTTAAATTTAGATTAGGTCAGCCAATTTAAAAATAAAAGTATACTGTGTTTCTTGCCATCAGCTGATACCAAAATGAAAACCCCAGATTAAAGAAAATCGAATTAAGATAAATCGGTTGTACTAACTAAATAAGTTTCTGACACCAGTAACTAGAACAGTTTTTTTAATAAAATAAAATTCATCAATTAATATAAATTTATCAATTAATCACAATTTGATATGACGTCTATACCCGACATTTCAGACTCAGAATCATTACTGTCGCTGCTGGAACCAATGTTTTAGTACCTATATTCAAATAAGGTAATTTGGCGTATTACAGCTCTATACAATTCTTAATACTGACGTCACTTCCATCACAGTCGAGGTACTGACGAGTTTTGGCGGCTAAAACGACGACCACACATTGGTTTCTTGATCGGTTAAATTCGTAAACACGAAATATACCGAGGCGCATAATTTAAATAGTATATGTGTAACTCCTTGTTACTAATTTACAAGATTTTTTTAAAAGCATTTTACATTAAATGTTCTTACCATATAATGCTGTAACAACCTGTTCTTTACGGCATTTTAAACTAGATGTAGTGACTACATATAATATATGTAGTTTAAATATATCAATCAGCAACAAGTATCTTTACTAGTACAAGCATGCTTTATAACATTAATATGTATATTGTCTTTGACAATATCAAAAACGAAAGTGTTAAATGTTGATGATATGTATTCATTTCTTAGCCATATTTTTAATTGAGGTGGTTTGAATAATATAGTAGAAATATTTGGAGATGTATTTATTATATGTCCTGTGCGGAAATACGATACAAGACAAATCAATTTGGATTTGATGTTGTTAATCTATCTATATATCTTTATCTTCACGCCATATCCACAATGTACGCATCATTCACTTTTATTCAGTGGCGTAGCGAGCCTTGGCGGGGCACCGTATAAAAAAATTTTTGAGGGCTCTTATAAGTGGTAAATGTTTCTCACAAAAGAAAAAAAAATGTTTACTATGCACTATGCTCATTTTAATCGTATGTACATCGATTATTGTGGGATTCCCCCGTTGCATGGAGCAAATGATTTAAACTAAGAAATCCCGCAGCTAGGGTTGCCTGTTTTTTTTCTAATTAAACAAGTATTTTTATTATTAAACTTATTACTGATACTTATTAATATTAAATATTAAACTTATAACCGATAAATATCGATTCAGCATGAATCGATAAATTTTCTTTAAAGAAAAAATACTTACGACTAAGCTTCAAAATCACAAACGAATCAAATCATGCGAAATAAAGTATTTTCGTGTACTTTATTTTTCTAATGGAGGATATATTACAATTGTCTGAAATAACGTACAATACTTTATTATAAAGTACGGGTGGTAAACTAATGCAGGGTGTTGCCTACTTTGAAACACGCTTTACGCGAGAAAAAATATACCTTTTTTTACTTTTGCCATTTCTGAAATAAATAAAAAATTTGGAATTTTATTAATTTTTGCTTACGAACATTGGCGGCCACTGAGGCCCAGGCCTGGCCCGGATGCAAATACGCCCCTGCTTTCATTACTCTTTTCATACATACTCGCCGGTTTTTATGTCTTCTGAGAGAGAGATGTTGGTAATGTGAAAAAGAAAATATGTTTAAATAAAAATGTTTTGGTAGATGGCAAACGAAGCCGCGCATGACGATCCACGGCGACTTGTATTACGAGGGGAAGGAGTTCGAGACCCGCCTGCGAGAGAAGAAACCGGGTGACTTGTCCGAAGAACTGCGAACCGCACTCGGCATGCCCGTGGGGCCAGGTTCACATAAAGTAATAAGACACTTTTATTTATAATTACCACTAATATTATTACCTGTATTATATTATATCAGTAGCTCGGTGGCATAGACGATAAGCGTCGCGGCCCGCGATCGTTGTTGTTAAGCAAGTTTCGCAAGGGTCGGTCACGGGATGGGTGACCAAAAAAATTATTATTTCTAGTTACGTCTTGCTTCGGAAGGCACGTTATGCTGTTGGGCCCGGTTGCATTTGCTGTCGTTATGATGTATTATATTCGATTCAACGAAGTACAGTTTAACTGCTTCCTGTGTCGGCGCATTAAAACAGTTCATGTGTAGAGCACACTACATAACAGCTACTGATATGCGTAAAAAAACAGACTAAAAAATTTGAAAATTTTGAATTGTTTTTAAAAGAAAAATTCTTTAATTTACGAAACTAACATTTAAAACGAACATTTTCAGACTCCTAATTTCTTGAGCTATCTCAATACGAGTGTAGTTTTTTTCTATAATCACACTTATATTTATAAATATTATAATTAATTTAAACTTTAATTAATTTTGAAAGAACAAATAATTTATACTCGTCGTCACGTGACCGCAAATAGCGCGTTACGTCAAACCCCTCTAACTCATATCAGAACACAGGGAATTAAACCATAAGCATACACAGAAGTTGTCGTTTTCGGGAAAATTTTGAAAAAATAATTTGTTTTTAGATTTTCATTTATTATATGAATGATATTTAATTCATGTATATCTATAAAATAAGAATATAAAAAAATGCTGTCTACTTAATGTACTTATATTAAAAATTATAGAAAATAAACTTTTCTATATTGACTCGGGTCTGGGTGTTGTGGTACTTTCGTTGTCTCAGATACTCCATAATACGGGGGCTTTAGCTACTCATCTTGGAATCTGAGCAATGTATGTGATGTTGTTAAATATTTATTTATTATTTATATTTTTAGATGTTTGCTAGTAATTAGTGAAATATTCTATTGAAATGCGATGTATAGGTGCCGCCGCCGTGGCTGATAGCGCAGCAACGCTACGGTCCGCCGCCGTCGTATCCGAACCTGAAGATCCCGGGCCTGAACGCGCCCATACCCGAGGGCTGCGCTTTCGGGTACCACGCGGGCGGCTGGGGGAAGCCCCCCGTCGACGAGACCGGCAAACCGCTCTACGGCGACGTGTTCGGACACCAGAACAGCGGGCAGGACGTGAGTTTTATATTTATATGTAATATGTTGTTCCGCGTACCAAACAGGCTCTGCCAGGATATCAGCGTGTGGCACTTTCTTTTTTTTATGTCATTATCAGTGGTCGGAATTAGGTAGAGTTATTAGACTGATTTCATACAGCGAAAGAATAAAGTGGATATGCCTCAAATCCCGAGATTAATTTTAAAGAGCAGAAAAAAATCCCGTGATTTTTTTAATAAAAAGTTATTTACTTTTACACAATTTACACTACTGCATTTAAACTACTGCACGCACGACGTTGCCAAGCTTACATCAATGAAAGAAAGAAATAAAGAAATCCCGGGAAGGTCCACATTAATATCAACATTTCGATGCAAGTACATAAATAACTCTACCTAATTCCGACCTCTGGCCATTATGTACCTTATTGATTCTTTTTCTGTTTCTTTTGTGTGCTTTATGTGTTACTCATAATGTATTATCTTGTTTGTGCCTTTGTGAGATTGATAAATGTTTCTTCTTTTTCTTCTTCTTCTTCATTTACTAGCTTTCCGTCCGCGGCTTCGCCTGCGTGGTCTCTACGCAACTGTTTATCTGCATATCGTTTCATATCATGACGCATATATATTTACAATGACAAATTGAATAGTAAACAATGGTTACTATGGTAATTTTTTAATTCACCATTCAAAATCCCACTTACATTTTCATCCCTTCGTTTACTGTATTTCAGGATAAAATATAGTCTGTGTTCACAGCATATGATGTAGATTTCTGTAGGTGAACTAATTTACTAAAATCGATCTAGCGCTTTCAGAGTCTATTCTTTGCAAACAAACACAAATCAAATCTTTCGTCCTTATAATATAAGTATAGATAGACATAGACCTCAGGTCTGATTGTATAGTTTTACGATCTATCGAAATCTTTTTCGATTAGACATTTAAATGTCATTCACGAACTTCACACTACAGTATGGAAGTATGATTCATGTAAATAAATATCGTTACTTTAGATAAAGAGTTGGTAAGTTTCTCTCGCACGTTCTTTTTGTTTGCTAAAAGACTGAACGAAAGGTAAGGGAAAAAATTTTTGAAAGATTCAGAATTGCTTGTGATATTTAATTTGACGACCTCCGTAGCCGAGTGGTTCGCACGCCGGTTTCAAGGTGTGAACTTTTCTATAATTGGTCCTGTTGTGTTACTTTCGTTGTCTCAGATACTCCATAATACGGGGGCTTTGACTACTCATCTTGGAATCTGAACAATGTATGTGATATTGTGAAATATTTATTTATTATTATTAATGGTATACGTCACTCATTATCATGTTGTGGAGGTCGGGGAATTATTACGATAATAATTCGTACAAATTGATCAGCTTTGCTTTACATAACTTATGTACAATAACAACAATTTAAAGATTTTGCACTCCACAACCTAAGTTAATTAAACAGCTTATTAACTAGCTAAAAGCCTGTACTGTCTATACAGTGTACAGTGCTATAAAACTAATGTGGCTCATCGATGTACCTACTTGCGCATCAGGTTCCGAAGCGCACACAAACGTAGTCCAATCAGAACGAGCCAAGTAACGCGAGTGAGATAGACATTGTCTATTAGACACTGATGCGTTATATTTTACACCTTATATCTATCTTAACAAGACTCATTATAAATTAAAAATGTATTTAATTCTGTGGGTTCTTCTCTGCGCAAACTAAAAATCACCATTCGCCGTATTAGTTGGAACTTAAAATCGCGCTGTACTTTATGGTCCTTCGAGCGGTACTTTAATATTTATTGTTTTGTATCGTAGGATAATGAAGATCAAGATATAGATAGAACTATGTGGGGAGAGCTGGAATCTGAATCCGAGGAGGAGTCTGAAGAGGGTAAGTTGATATTTTTGTTTTTTTATTATAGCTGAGTTTAAAGACGACATTGTCAGAGTGTAGGAGAAAAGTATATATGTTGTGGGTATCACAAAGGTTAGATTCGGATTAGGGATGCTGTATATTGATACAGTAGATTCTGTATATTGATACAAAAACATTACAATTAATTATTTTTTTAATCGATTTGCTTTCTTTAAAGTGTGGGTCACGTGACCTCAAACGACAATAGAATAAACATGACAGCAGCAGACAGGATGACTTATTGAAAATCAACATTGACAATAGGCATATGGATTCGTTTTCAAAAAATAGAGCATTGTATGATCGATTTTTGATTTGAAATTTTCGAAAATGTCCAAGAGAATACTTTTAATTATAATTTAAGGCAAATAGAAATAATAACTACAAACTATATTTTATATATACCAAATCTGGTTCGAATTGAATCGATTCAGAAATCGACATTTCTAGTTAGATCTCATATGGCTGTCATTTTGAGCAATGACGTCACAGATCAAATATAAACGTTATTGATAAACCACATTTTATTTGCATTTAGAGCTGGATTAAAAAAGAAATGCATAAATTATGTGTATATTTTTATAATTAAAATAAATTTATCATCATTGTCTGAATTAGTTAGTATTAATTAAACGAATGTGAATGTGTTCGTTTTCAACAGAGGAATCGGGAGATGAAGGCGAAAAGCCTGGCGAGGGTGATCTAGCGACGGGCGTGGTGACACCTGGCGAGGGTCTGGTGACGCCGCTGGGCATCAGTTCTGTGCCTCCGGGCATGGAGACTCCTGACACCATTGAATTGCGCAAGAAGAAACTAGACACAGACATGGAGGGGTGAGTCTACTATAATCAATGCCGAACCGGATGCATTGCTTTTGGAACAGGTTCGACGTTTAACATGGGAACTGGTAAAATACGATTATTTGGCATGTAGACACGAGAACCCGCTGCGCAAAAGAAAACTTGACAACTAACAGACGTGTAGTAAAACATAGGAAACAGAGTATCACTCCCAGTTCTAGAATGCCTACTATTGTGTCTTCGAAAACAGAATTTCGCCTATTTTTAAAACTCAAACAAAACAGATTTTCACTGTCTCCGATGGACAGATAATCTTCACGAGTATGATATTTATACAATTGTAAGAACGATTAGAATTTTTTTGGAATTTTCGTCTGTGGACAGAGTAAGCCCTCGAAGTTTTTGATACCTGATTCTAGGATGTAGTTGTATCACGGAAATTAAGTTCATGGCTTTCGGAATCGGATATAACCGGGTGTAATGATAGAAATAACAGCATTCTGTAGATATGTTTATAGATTTGATAATACGAATGCAGAAAGTAAACAAAAATATTTTTTGTGGTAGTGTTTAATGTACTATTACTATTGGTAAAAAATCACACTTATGCTTATTATATTTATAATACTGCTTAAATTAATTATGCAAATACAAATATGTTATGTTCTTTGTTACGTGACCGCTAACAGCGCGTGACGTCACACCCTTCTTACACATATCAGAACTTAGAGAATTCAACCTTATGCAACCATAGAATAGAAACCAAAGATATTCGTTTCAGAGTGCCGTGACGTCATAGCGACGCCATGACAGAAGTGGCGTTCTCGCGGGAAATTTTAAACGTTCAATTTCTTTTTAGATTTTGTCTTGTTACAAGAATGACATATTTTTTAGATATATGTTATTGTATATCTATAAAAAAAATGTGTACACCCATATTAAAAGTAAAATCTACATTCGCAGCGGAGACACGCCCGCTCTATACCAAGTGGTGCCGGAGAGACGCGTAGGTCTAACGTCGGGCATGATGGCCTCCACACACGTGTACGACATCAATGCCGCTAATCCAGGTCTGTATACAACACATATACAAATAAATCATCATCATTTAGATCCTCACTACAGGGGCTCAGGCCTTCCTTATGGATGGTTAAGGAGGATGGGCTATGACCCTCCACACTGGCCCAATGCGGATTAGAGGGTATTAACGACTGCAAATGCAGCCGATGTAGTTTTTTTTATAGATCTTAATTAACCGGTATTTTAAGCACAAACCGTTTTATTTTCGATTAGATCCAAAATGATTTCGATACTGAATAACGGAATCTAAATGTATTTTTATATATGTAATTTAGTAGGTTAAGGCTTTGTATAAAAAAACCACTTGATGCTATACAAAATAAAAGTTAGCTGGAATAGTGTTTAACTAAAGTATCAATATTCGCGGGTAGGACCGCTGTCCATCTGTGTGATGGGTTTTGTAAAATTACCTATTTAATGACAAAAAGGGATGACGACTTTTTTTTTTGTATGTCTGTTCGGTAGATTGTTGAAAAATATTATACACTTATATTTTTGGATAATCACTAAATTACGGCGATAAATTGAGTTCAAATATCACATGACTTCATGCTTTAGTACATTTTCTATAAAACTGTGACATAGTGTACTTTAAGCTATTTCTTGTTAAATTGAAGTTAAAAATATATGTATCTAATATTTTTCTATTACCTGACTGATGGACTAAATAGAATTTGTTTTTACCTAGTCAAACTAAAAACTATAAACCTATTGTACCGAGTAAACAAATGAATTTATTGTAAATCGTACCCTGAGAATGATAGTGACACAATGCAAAAAATGCGATTTTGAGTAATGAGCGTTTAAAGTTCAAAAAATTGTAATCAGCCCCTCTAAACAACGTGTTGTCACTACGCCATCTAGCAGTTTCTATGCAATCTATGTTCACAAAAAGTTTATATTTTACAAAGAACAATGTTGTCAAAAGTAAAAAATACGTCGTTTTTGTTTATATTATTATCGTGCGAAATGATGTCGTGTCTTACTATAATAATGTCGTGTACAGGTAAGAGGGTGAGCGGCGGAGCGACGAGCGAGACGGCGGGCGGGGCGGGGGCGGCGGCGGGCGGTGGCGGGGGGGCGGCGGGCGCGGGCGCCGTGGAGGTGGCGCTCGACCCCTCCGAGCTGGAGCTGGAGCCCGAGGCGGTGGCGGCGCGCTACGAGCGGCATCTGCGCGAGCACCGGCCCAAGGCCAGGGAGGACCTGTCCGACATGCTGGCCGACCACGTCGCCAGGCAGAAGGTCACTGAAACACCACTCGGTCTCACTTTATAATACAACTAGCTTATGCCCGCGACTTCGTCCGCGTGGTAAAGTTACTCTGAGCAGCATTTCTAACGAATATTAATTCGTGTAAAAAAATCTGAAATAAAGTTTCATCCCCTATTTTATCCCCTTAGGGGTGGAATGTATCAAAATCCTTACTTAAGGGATGCCTTCGTCATAGTAGCTTTATGTTTGCAAAGTCTCAGCCCGATCGGTTTAAATTGACAGTTTCATACAAACTTTCATCCCCTATTTTGTCCCCTTGGGGGTAAAATTGATCAAAATCCTTTCTTAGCGGATGCCTACGTCATAACATGTCCCTGTATGCCAAATTTCAGCCCGATTCGTCCAGTGGTTTGGGCTGTACGTTGATAGATCACCATGTCAGTCAGTCACCTTTGAGTTATATGTGTTTAGATTTTTGACGGGCTCGATGGCGCGATGGTAACGTTCCTACTATTGCGCCGAGAGTCGTGGGTTCGATCCCCACCCAGGACAAACATTTTTGTGATTAACAATTATGTCTATTCTGTGTCTAGGTGTTTTCCATTTATATTATGTATTCCCCCCGTTGTTTCTTATATCCGTAACAAAAATGCCTAAGCTACTTCGGAATCGGATCAATGTGTGTTGTTATTTACATTATTTATTGAAATTTTCAGTTAAATAAAAATTGCAAGATTTTCTGATAGCTGCAAGTTTGATAATTGAATAAGGGTGTAGACAATAAACGAAAATAAATATGATATATTATTACCGATAATCACACTTTTACGCTTATTATATATTTATTTATAATATTGCTTAGATTAATCAGGAAAAAACAAATGTATATACTCGAAGTCTCGTAAATTACATTTGTTTTTAGATTTTAACTTATTATATGAATAATACTTTTCAAAAATACTTTTTAGATATATTTCTTGTATACTATATAAAAAAAAGGTATTTACACCCCTATCGTTCCGGAACAGATTCTGACAAAAAAAAAAAACACTAGTGTCTTATAAAGTATTATACGCACGAATTATTAACTGTGCAAATGTTGGACGATTCAAAAGTACTTTTAAAAAGTTTATTTGGATAAAGAATACTCAGACTTTTGACTAGGCTTTACATTTGCAAAGTTATATCGGTCCGTCGTTTTCTTTTTAAAATAACTAATGGAAATATTATGCTACTGCTAGTTTAAGATAAAATTGACATATTTCAATTTTATTTCTTTCTTCCAATTGCAGAACAAGAGGAAACGGCAGCAGAATACAGATTCAAAACAAGCAAAGAAATACAAAGAATTCAAGTTCTAAGAAAGACGATTTTAATAGTTGTATAAGAATAGTGATTTTAACCATTTATGTTATATTATTACAACACCTACAACATTAAACTGTAAAAAATACAAGGCCAAGTTTGTCATTTCGTCATAAATTCCTTTATGTGTGATGAAACTGTAGGCAATGCTATCTTTACCATAGGGCACTAGGGGCCAGTGCCCAGGGTCTCCGTCCTCAGAGGGCCCCGAAGGACCGACAATTTCTCTCACATTTAACATTAAAATATAATAGTCGGGCGCATTACACTTTTCTCGTTGCACGAACGTCGATCATTTTCAGATTTATTCAAATCAATACATTTATATGAATAATTTGAGTGATTTAAACATATTTAAAACTTACCATTAAAGTTAAATAATCTTAACGTCTATTTTCAAGTAACTGTAATTTGAAAGTTTGCAAAATGTAATCATATTTCTGAATGAATCTAATTTACTAACTTAAAAGTGTTATGTGGCTTAGGAATATATTCTGGGAGAACGTCATACAAGATGTCGGGATATTTCGGACCTTCGTCCAACCTGCACTCGCATAATGAGCTGTCTTTGATTCTAATTTTCGCTAGAAAAACGGGGGTTATTACATGTCCTAGTCTAAGCCGACAAATCGTAGAAGAGTACAATACGGCATTTGACGCTTTTCTGAAATGATTATTTTATACAGTCAATATATTTCATGAGAATCTGTTCTATTTTCGATGAAAATAATTGTAAAAGTTTATATAGTTATAATCGCGCAAAAAACGCTGCTCTATGTAAAAGCGCTAATCAAGTGGTATTTGTGACGTCACATGCCAGTAAACGTAGCCTATTTATCAACTATTTATTTACGAAGTAAATAGTATTACAGAAGAGAAATTGAAGTTAAATTTTATGTTTTGTATTTATATTTTCTCTGATTTTGTTTATAAAAATAAGCAAATTTTATGTATAAATGTAAATTTTGCGTATCTTTAATTACAGTTTTTTTACATGACAGCTTTCTGTTTACGTGTGACGTCACATGCTAGTATACAGAACCTGTTATTGGTTGAGACTACAACCGATCACAGGTCGTTCATTAAAATTCCTAAAAACGTTGCATTTACTTTGTTATTTTACCAATGCTAAAACTAATATTTTGTCTGCAGATTCTAAAAAATAAACTTTATTAGATTATTATCTAACAGGATGACAATATACGCAACTTATACGCTATTTATAAAAGTTCTTAAACTTGCAAAACCAAGGTTTAATCGGTATAGTAATTTGTATATCGGCATAATATTTTCCCACTATGTTACTTGATGCTTTCCATTGAACATTCAATTAAACGTTTTGTTGAGATCTTGTAAGAATACTTTAGGATATTCAGGGGTTTCCATTATTATCGGCTTCCTCGCAATCAGATCAACTATCTCGTTACCAAACATTCCAGTATGTCTTTGGATTCAGGCTAAGATGAATCGATGATAAAGTGAACATCCCTAGACAGAAATGTCAATGTCATTTTTTTTAATCGCGTTGGACTTCGAACTTGTAGTAGGATTTTGTTTTTAATTTAAAAACTATTCTATTTTCAAATTTAATTTACTTTTATATAAACATAAAAATGTCTCGAGTCTTAGTTGGAGTCAAGAGAGTGATTGACTACGCCGTTAAAGTAAGTATAGTGTTCAAAGGTTACTTTTCTATTTATCAATTTCATATCTAAAGAATATCAGTAAAAAAGGGTTAATATTTAACGAAAAGTAAAATTTCCATTCATACGTTGACACATTTAGAAAAAACTAACAAAACAATTGATCTGTGGTTAAACACTACGATCACGACGAACTTACGATCGGTATACTTACAGATTCGAGTAAAACCAGATAAATCTGGCGTGGTGACCGATGGCGTGAAGCACTCTATGAACCCTTTTGATGAAATAGCTGTGGAAGAAGCTGTCAGAATGAAAGAGAAGAAACTGGCCAGTGAAGTGATTGCTGTAACTTGTGGACCTACTCAGGCACAAGTAGGTATCCATTATCTAACAAAGTTCTTATTTCAAAATGATGTTGATGCTAAACAGAGTATTATACGCACTTTTTTCAAACAAAAGTTGTTTTACCAAATAGTCAAAATTTCAATAAGTCTAATTTACCCCAACAGTGTATAAATTGAACTATAAGTGATATTTTAATTATTATTTAATTACTGTGTATTTTAATTATTATTTATCATTTAGTTACTATATATTTTAATTATTATTTATAATATTGTTTGTATTTTTATTGGATATTTTTTTTTTGTTATTTAAGTGGATTGTTTTAATATTGACTTGGCCATTTTAAATATCCTACATCTGTTTTAGAAAATTTTAGGTATTTATAGAGTTCATGTATGACCGATCAGGCCTGTTCTCACTATTCAATTCTATCCATAAGGAAGGGTTGTGAACCAGGACTGGGGACAATGAAAAGGCTGATGATTATGATGAAGCAATAATTAGCACATCATTATTTCTTTATAGGAAACCCTCAGGACTGCTCTAGCTATGGGTGCAGACAGAGCCATCCATGTGGAAGTAGCAGGTGCTGAATATGAGACACTACAGCCACTGCATGTCGCTAAAATATTGGCAAAACTTTCACAAGATGAAAAAGCTGATATCGTTATAGTTGGAAAACAGGTGAATAATATCTTATATAAAAATAGTTTCTTTTATTAAAAATTTTTGGGAAATTAAAGTAGGTACTCAACTATGTATATTAATCTATACAAACATTAACGAGAAAATTTTGTTGAAAAAAAAAATTTGTCCAATTGGAGTGAAAGTGAATTTAAAAGTAATTAGAGGTTATTCAAAATATTAATCATACAATTAAATTATAGGGATAATTTTGGAGAATAATGTAGTCAATTAGATCTGGAATTTGTAATTTTAACATCAAGTGTTAAGATAGAAAGTATTACATTTTATTATTAGACCAACTTTTCTAATTCTGTAATATTGATGCTTTTGGAACAACTGCTGAGAGAACAAATAGCCAATAAATATTGAGCTAAGCTTGATGTTCTCAAGGCAATATTGATAGAATTCTGGATTATCAGGTACAGATAACAATTATATTATTGTTTATAAGTCTCATAATTATATATATGCATTTTAGGCCATTGATGATGATTCCAACCAGACTGCTCAAATGACTGCTGCTTTATTGGATTGGCCACAGGCTGTATTTGCTTCAAAGGTACTAAATATTTCATCAAATTATTGTACTGATAACCTTTGGTGCTTCTTATTTTTGTTATCTTATCATTGTAATAATAGTATTTGTGTTTAATTGTAAATTAAAATATATTTAATGTTATATCTATGACAGTTCATATTGAACTATACCCTTTTATGTGTGGCAGTATTATTAATCTATCTCTAACGCACTTTCATAATATTCAGTCTGGAAATAGAGATTCTATTTTTGTAAAATCAACAGCATGTCAGGTTTGTCAAATGGCAAAACTGTAAAATTTCGCCACTCAATTTTAAACCTTAATTCATTAAATGTAGATGTCAAGATCCAATGCGGAAATTTGGCATAATGTGGTAACATAAAGTACAGCTGTGTGTAAAATGATTAAAGATTTAAAATTGTAGTTATGAGTCTTTCTCTCAAATTCGTATGCTTATATTCTGGCACACATCTAACCTCTGATCTACATAAACATTACCATTATTACTAGGTTAAATATATAATATGTTTTAGGTAGAGAAAACTGATAGTGGTCTGACAGTGACGCGTGAGATTGATGGCGGTTTGGAAGTAATCAAAACGAAACTGCCTGCTGTACTGAGCGCCGACCTGCGACTCAACGAGCCCAGATATGCGACATTGCCTAACATTATGGTATTTATAATATGTGTTTCATACTTTATAAGATATTTGAATATATAGTAGCATTCGAAATTTACATTCTTCTAGCATTATGCTGGTTAATTGTGTTTGTAGTGTCAAAAATGTATGCATTTTAAATTCGTCTATCTTTTCTTATTGTCAACCCATGAAAACTGAAAATGCGACTCTTGACCACTAATTTATTAATTAAGAGGCGGGTAATGACAAAATTAGGTATAAAATATATACATTATATACCTTTGTATCAAATAAGTCATACCCGACCCTACAATATAACTTGAACTAATCTCATTTACCACACATTCTGATATTATAATGTCTTTTTTCAGAAAGCAAAAAAGAAGCCTTTAAAAAAAGTGGCTGCTAAAGACCTCGGGGTAGATTTATCGCCTAGAATCAAAGTAGTGTCGGTAGAAGACCCACCTGTTCGCCAAGGTGGCTCAATCTTACCTGATGTCGACACTCTCGTAGCTAAACTCAAAGAAGGAGGACATGTCTGAAACCATAGGATTCCCAACTGTTGTGTGATGTAAAGAGATCATAGTGTAAATCATATTTTATATGGAATAAGTATGCATAATGTAGAAAAAATTGTTAAATATACACCGTACACATTTTTATGTTATTTCTCTATGTCGTTGTTTCTTTTATTAGTCGGCTCTATTAACGCGGTTTCTGTCAATAAGAAGGGCCAGAATAGCCCATAAGCAAGATTTAGGGCGTCATATCTCGGGCACCAGAAAATTGGTAGCAAGATAAGGCCGTTTGAAAATAATATGAGATGAGAAAATTCGGCTGCAATAGTCAGGATTGTTCAATACTTTGCGGTCGTTGAGATTACTTGCGTAATTTATTCCACTTCATTGCACCCTAGCGTATAATTGTATAATATGAATACTCGCGGAATGTCAAAAGTTTCAGTGGACTTAAAGTTTTAAAAGAATGAGCTACTAAAGTGCTACAGTTTAGAAGCTCTAGCGTAGCGCAGCCAGGCTGACGTCAGCCCAGCAGCGCTACAGACTAGTTTATCTGATAATAAGGAACTACTTGATTCAAGAATTAATTTCTGAATCGAAGAGGGTGGCGCTGCCAGTTGGACACGCACCTTTTATATTAAAAAAATGTCGGCACCCTGTAATGATGCCACTGCTAGCAGTATTACATAGGAAACTAAAAAAAAACTACACCTGCATTACGTTATCTTTGGTATTTATAGCATAAAAGGTATAAAAACACAAAATGCCTATTTATATTGATTTATTAAGTAACTAGTAGAGCGCCTCGCCGCTGTAAGGCTCGTACCACACTATCTTCCCCTCTAAACAGCCGGTGACGAGCATATGGTATCTGGGGTTGAACCGCGAGCTGACCACCAAGTCTTGGTGTACTCCGAGACTCTGTCCCACGTCCGCGAGGGGGCGCGGCGCTCGTAACGAGCGAGCAGTCTGCGACAGTTCGCTGCAGTCCTCGTTCAGTGCCAGCAAACGCATGCCCCGGCCGAACGGTGAACAAACCAACCGTCCGTCCGCCGAGTAACACAATTCCTGTGTGTAGAAAATATTCAGTGAAGATAAAACGTGTCTGGTTTCACAGAACAATACAATAAAATAAGAAGAGAAAATATAACTAAATTGTTTGATGGGTAACGTCTCCTTCGTATGTGATGTCATTTATTAACTCATCCATTAATCCACGCTACGAAATAAAATAATAAAATAAAACATTCTTTTATCGGCTACACGCCTTTAAATATTTTTATCTACACTCGATTCGAAAAATTCTAATTACTAATTCAAAGACGATTCTATACGTACGCACTTTATAAACGCATATACATAAAATTCAAAATAAAACTCATAGTACCGCCAATTGTATCATAAAACTCATTGTAGTACCGCTATCTTTTTTTATTCATTAAACTAGTCTATGGTTTTAGGCTGGATATGAAAAAAAAGCGCACGCATACGCAGTTCGAACTGTGAAAAATTGGCGCACGTATAAATTATTTCCTTTTAACCTACCTACTTTGTTTAATTTCAATTTTCCTATGAGTGAAGAGAAAGTAGTGTAAGAAACTGCTTATTACTTAGGTATTAAAGGTTGGGTATAAACAGCCTCTAGTGTTTTAATACCCCTTCTTATATGACAGTTGCATAAACTACTATTATGACCAAAGAAATTAAAATACTAACGGAACTTATGATAGTCAAAAGATATGCAACTGTGACATTCCACTTTAATAATATAAGTAATAATACGGCCTCACCTTGATGAACCCTTTGCCTTCGTTCGTCTCCTCTATATAGTAAAGTAGTCTGTTTCTGTTCTGTCTGATGAAGTGTGGGGTGTCGGGGTCGTCGCCCGGCGGCGGTCGCTCCCTACTCGGAGGCTCACTCGATGCCGACGATTGTTGCCTGTTATTATATGTCATTTTATTACAGTTATTGCTTGTTTTTGTATCTTTGTTGGGCCCGTGGTGCTTCAAATAAGAGAATAAGACAGAATGAAACGGAAAAAGGTTAGGAACAGTATTGTTATAAAAATGAAAATATTATACTAATTAAAATAATATACAGTAAAGAAAATATGTTTGTTATTAAATACTGGTCCAATTATTTTTTAATATTGAATATTTGGTAAAATTTCCTTAAATGACATATTACTGCAACTTTCTGTCGCCAGATTGCAGCACTATCAAACGTTTTTCACAGAGTAGTGATCAAAGAGTAAATTAGAGTAGTAGAAGTTAATATTTATGAAATTATAATTAGAAATCAATAATGTATGTAACAATAATTTATTTCCAAAAGACAAAATGTACGAAAAGAATTGTTTCTTTACAACATGTTTTAGTGCTGCCATCTACACTGAGCTATGCGTAATAATCACTGTTGATAGTATAAATAAATACCATAGTGACGATACTATCTACAGGTTTATTATGGACAACACTATTGATTATTGACCTGTCATGTCTGAGCGGTAGATCGTCTCGCAGTCCGCCAAGGAACATGCGGCCGGACAAGTAACGAGGGCGGCGGACCGCGCCCGCCGGGTTAGGCGGCGTGATGCCAGTGTTTATTCCCATTATACGTTGCATGTTAAAATTCCTGCCCACTTGACCCCTACAACAATAGAACTTGTCTCATTGGATGCTATGGCAACGACCCGCCTCGTCCATGAGACGCCAAAACAAACCTAATCGCATGTCAGTATGACTTGGGGAGTGACAACTGGTTGACGTCGGAGCAGAGATTCATAGAATGCGTTCCAAATATTATAGCGTATAGTCTGCTTCAAGGCCTTCAATGCAAAGTAGATACAATAATATCGAAATATGTTCGGTATATTGAAACTTATTTCAATAACCACCATCACGCGTAGCATGACAAACTCGAGAAACGCTTTCTCTACACCAAATGTCACTTGTCCGGTTGAATATGGGATGTTTTATGGGCGCACCCGAAACAAGGCGTTCTAAAGTTTTTAAGCTGATGTAAAATACAATGCATCGATTAGACACATTAATTGTACAATAAGTTATTGTCATATAATTAGATGTTTGATTAGCGACACTGTTGGGAGTCTCTGCCATCACACCCTAATGAGATATAAGGCCACCTCTTGTTAATCAAACGAATGTGATAATGACCTACCATAAATCTCACACACGGGATCCAACATAATGACAATATGACATATTTTATTAATAATAATATAGATAAGTGATTTTACATGTTATAAATATCCGCCACCATGTGTGTCTGAATGAGATACTACATAGTATAAAACAAAGTAGCTTTCTCTGTCTCTATATAAACCTATGTATGCTTAAATCTTTTAAATTGCGCAACGGATTTTGATGCGGTTTTTTTTCATAGGTAGGGTGATTCAAAAGGAAGGTTTTTATGTCAAGACCACGCGGGCGAAACCGCTGGCGGAAGCTAGTTATAACTATTAAAAAAAAAACTAACCGCAGAGTAGTTTTCAGCGAGAGGCGGACTAATTCAGCGGTTCTTAACCTTTTTGGCTGACGACTTAAATTATAAATATATATATTGCAAACAGGTGATCGTAATTTTTTTCTACCTATATGTTTTAATATAATCAATTGAAATCCTTGGTATGCACATTATACATTCATACCATATTGTATATGTTAAAGCCGATGTGATTAATTAACGATTAAATACTTATAATCGCTAGGTATGATTAATAATCACTAAACTCCTACCTACTCGTTATTTTCACACTAAATTGATTAAAAATCAACGTGTGGACAACAAAACATTTAAGTCCAAGGCTCGCAACGAAACGTTTCGATGGAAATAAATAAATGTAATTGTCTTTGAAGCTACTCAAACTCCTTTCAGTTAAAAATGTCCAACGGTTTCAAAATGGTATAGTATCAAAAGACAACGGGCAAAAAGTTGTAATTTTAAAGTTCAAGGTATTTATGCGTCATTTATTTACTAATTTTCATCTGTTATTCTAGTTACTATGTCGACACAATGCATAATTTAATAAAACAATTTTAAGAAGTAATATATTGATAATAATCATAAAATTGATATTATTTTAACACAATAATTTTATTCGATTCACATTTCTCTGAAAACCATATCGATTAACGAATTGATATGGTTTATCGATATTAATCGAAAATTTAAAGAAGGACGCCTCAATATCAAATTCAGATTGATAAATGTCAAATGTGACTTTTTATAATGACTCAACTCTACGTTCTAAGCTATCGTTAAAGAGCTCACATGGTGACGGAATGTAGTGTGAAACTTTACAATTAATATTTAATTAACAATATACGTAATAATTGTCAGTTTACCTGCTGTACATTTCTTGTAATGTCCTATGTTGTTTGATGGTGATAGAAGCCTCCCACACATCGTTTTGTATACTCGACAGGCCCGGCTAAAATATAAACATACAAGAATAAACAAGGTTTAACGTCTGAGTAAATTTACGATAAAATTGCAATTTTAGTATTAGTCCAAATTCATATATTGTAGGACTAAATGCTTAAACAAATCACTTTGTCCCTGGTACTCTAAGATGGGATGGGAGAATTTTTCACTAATAATATTATTAATACGTTATGAATACGAAATTGATCAAATGTAACAATAAGATTACTCATTTCATGAACATAAAGGTACCCTGGGATTAAGTTTTATTCAATTCTCAATTCCAAAAAGTGTGAAAATGGAATGTTTTCAGAGTAGAAATCAAACAGACATCATAGTACTTGTTAGTCATTAGTAGTAATGGAGCGTTCAATTATCGGTGACGTATTTTGGGGGGAGGGGTTTTGTAAAACGCTACGATGCGTTTTCTTTTTATTGAATACAAAAATAGGGAATTAAAATCTAAGTATTATGAAAGTAAGGTCCTTAAAGTTAAAATACAGAGATTTGCAGCACCACCTGGCCTATAAGTTTACTTGAACAGCCCCTAATGTAGTTATGTATAAATAATATGAATACATGGTGTTATATAGTGTATATTTACACGCAGAAATTAAAATATATGAATTTACGACGAGAACCAGGAGAAGAAGCAAGTGTGCATCACCGAAACATAGCTCCCTTTTCGTGTGGCTATCAGAACTATTATATTTGCAATTATTTACAGATAATTTTCTGGTACACTTGAGGTCTTCATAAATTAATATATTGCATGATGCATATTGATATTTTGGTGAAGTGAATACTTTTCTAGGTCATTTATTGGCATGTCAAAGATTCTAGAAGTGAGTGATATCCTCTTATAATTTCTTAACATTTTTGGTAAACCGGGTCCGTTAGTCATGTGAGGTATGCCGCAGCTGGTTTCATCAGATAGGATTATCACCTACCTCTTTCAGGGCAGGTCCAGTGGTTGGTGAATCCTGAGATTAATGTGCAGTTTCCATGGGTTATAAAAAAGGTTGAGAAACACTGCTCTAAATGATTGTAAGTAGGTCTTACTGATAGTCTGGAACCGTCAGGCGCAGCTGCGGCGGGGTCTTCGCTTCTGGACGCACTGGGACCAGGTTCAGGCTCCGATTCATCCCTGTCATCTTCTCTTTCGTTCTGGTTTTCGGGAGACCTAGAAATGTTCTCGAATATACCGTACGTTATTTCCAAAAAATAATATATTATAAAATTTATTAATATGGTCTGAAGATACTAATAAAATTAATTAATTGCAGATTCAAGAAATGCCTCTTACCATATAGTAAATATTACCTAAGTTAAAGAAGACAAATATTTTTTTAGGGTAAATGCCTGGCGATACTGACTGTGATTGAGCGGGAGTGGTTGCCGTAGCGGAGGGCTGCAGCAGCAGTTGCCGATAGAGACGCGGGCGGAGTCTCCGAGCGGGCCGCCGAGGGAGCACCCGCCGAGGGGCGCGCGCTCCGACGCCGTCTCGCGTTGACTTATCGCTGCCCTCAAGCTCTGAGTATGGCTGGATGTCGTGAATACACGACCACTGTGCAAAAAAGTCAAGTTGAATTGTTGAAAGCAAAAATTATGTTTAGCTTTAATTGACTACTTGACAGTGACAACAATAAACAATGAGTAAGTTGGAAATAGTGATACACAATAACTATATAGTATTTCTTGTCTTAAAATTACTTTTAAGTATATTTTGTTATAAAAAAAATTAACTTGCGATTTATAAAAGAATCAACGCGAGCAGCCATGACGGAAGATCGTGTGGATTCACATTTCAATAAACTAAATCTCTTTGTTGCGTGCATAACCAATACTCATGTTGATTGAGATGTGACGTCACACACGACCCGAAATGTCACGTGATTTATTATTTTCACGGAACAATTTAAATTAATGAATAAAAATATGATTTTCCTTTATTGAATAACACTTTTTGGAGCAAAATAAAAATGATAGTGATAATGGTTTATATTATATATTTTCTACTTACTTAATAAAACTTAAAAGTTTTATTTACTTACCTCAGATCTGTCGTCGTGACTTATATTTCTACTTAAAGCACTCCATCCTTGTGGATGTATCTGAGAACAATAGATACGCGCATTTGAGCCTTTACCAAAAAAACTTGCTAGGGGTATGTTACCTCTTTTAACTACTTGTTTTAATTGTGAAAAGGAAGGTAAAATGAAATTTATAGCAACAGCGATTTGATTAATACAAAAATATACTACAATAACGCTTTCACAACCAAACCACTGTACCCGGCAAAGAACATGGTTCTCTTCTGAGGACTTTACTAAAACACTCTTAAATCCATGCAGAGGCGAATTTCTATGTAAATACGTATGAAGAAATATTTGAATAACTTAAAACAACTCCACGCCCCGTGTCTCTCTCACTACGGGATGTTGGCAAAATTTCCGTGTATAACGGAAAAAGTAAAGTCAAGAAAAGAAAAAAAAAACCCTTTACATTCAGTACAAACCTATTACGTTGTTCACGCATCATACTATTTGTTGCAACTATAAGATCTACATAATTGTCTATAGAAGAAAAAAAAATCTAATTTACCTGTAAGGAACCCACAACCTTGGCATCATTTCCTTCAGGGAAATCCGAGACAAACTCGATGCGGTTCTCCTTGCGATTGCTATCAAACAGGTGATCGTACGTGGCCGCAATCGGAATCAATTGTTGGCTCATCTGCATAAGCCTGTATAAGTTGGGCTACAGACAAAAATAATCAATTTGAATAAATCTATCCTTATAATAAAATTGGAAATGACGAAACTTGTTGCATGAAATTAGATCGATTGCATTAATTTTACTATAAATATACAAATTCTTTATAGTGTTAATGGTAGTTTAACTAATACGAACGTGTCTTTTATTTTAGGCAGCAGAGCGTTTCCATAAAAATCCGTATTCAAATTCGCTCAGGTGTCCGAGTTCACTTAGAAAGCGACATCCACTTAAACTTCAATTTGTATTGATGTTTCGTGGCATAAGTGAAGTGAGTTTCGAAAAGACAAAGGGATAGAATATCTGACAAACATATGTATCAATCAATCTAGTTTTATATTTTTATACAAAAAATGGGAATTTATTTATTTATTTATACAGGCACACAAAACAGATTACAGTCATAAAAAGTAAATACATATTTGACAAACTAATTGGGTCTGGACTACAATCTAGAACTATGCGTACACAACATGGTAATCATGGTAATAGTTGTCTCATAAAATTAATAAAATAAAATGTTTATATACATATATTTTACAAACTATAGAAAAGAAAAGAAAATTCGTTTTAACATTGATAAGTCACTATTTTATTTATTGTTTTATTCCTTATTTAGGTGCAAAGCTCTCTTACGCTTCTTTTAAATTTCACAAATGAAAAGTGAAAAATATCGATATCTTTGTCAAGCACAGCGATTTCGTTATAGCAGCGACACATTCGAACAAGTGGATTGAAATAGGAGGAATTATTTGTGCATACCCTCAAAGAGAACACCGAGTGACTTACATCACGAGATCTAAATTTAGTTTTGAAATTAAGATGTGATAACAAGGTTGGCGAATCAATATCAGAGTGTAATAGTTTGTGCAAACATAGTAAGTCATTACACTTGCGGCGACTCTCAAGACTCGTGAGACCAAATTTTTTTAGTCTATCTTGGTATATACAAGTGTAATAGATACAAGTGTCCTTTTTGACCCATACCGAAAACACAGTAACCTCGTGAATTTCTTTTGTATCTTCTCAATTCGATCACAGTGAACCTTGTAAATCGGATTCCAAACCACACTGCAATATTCAAGAATGCTCCTGACAAGAGCATTGTATAAATAAACAAGACTGTCTGAACGTCTAAAACCTTTAGTGAAGCGGGATACAAATCCTAGAATCTGTGCCGCTTTATTAATAATACTTTCATAGTGAGCATGAAAAGTTAATTTTTCATCAAAAATAACTCCTAGATCTCTTACTTTACTCTCACGAATTATAGAATTTATACACTAATATAAGTGGATTCTCTTTAGAAATGAATTTGGATAACTGAGTGAATTCGAATTGAGGTGTGGATTTTTATGGAATCGCTCTGCTGACTCTAAAGACTAAATTATAATGTTGTAAATTATTGAACTGACTTAATATTTCAATTTTTTTTTTTTAGAAACTTACCTTAAATCCATGTAAATGTTGTGCTAAAGTTGACAGATTGAGATCATGTACGATAACCAAGAGTCCTCCGGTTGTGCACATAACCATTTGGCGAGCATCAGGTGATAGCTTGCACCTCATCAACCCTGACGCATGGAACACCCGCTGGTACACCAAATTGTATTCTGTAATTAAAACCAATTTTTACTAATGGATTTTGGATATGGTCATTAGCCAATAAATGAATGTATGCACAGCAGCATGTCACCATAGTATGCTTAATCGCCTGTTAATTTTCAACTAGCCTCTATGTAACTATGTTTAAAATCCAGTAGAGAAGTTTAACAAATTTATATATCTTTATATATTGGTTATAGTGGTTATTCAATTTATAGTAAATGATGGGTTAAGATATATTTTGATGTATGTTCATGTTGTGGGGTAATATTGTGATCTTATTAAGCACTAGCTGTTGCGCTGCGACTTTGCCTCCACATGTGAAAAAAAAAATTAATTGGTCCAGTAGTTTCAGAGCTTATTGCAAACAAACATACATACTAACAATCAAATGTTTCCACTTTATGATATGAGTATAGACAAAAATTATAGTTTTCTGTTTTTTATTCTGATAATATAAATAGCTATTTATTACTTGATTTAAATAGCTACTTTGATGGTTTATTGATAACAATTATTTATAAACTAATTTTGTGCTTGACAAAAAATACAAAAAACATTTTGTAAGCATACACATTCATATAGTTACAATACAAACCTGTGTATGAATTTATATCCCAAGTGTAAATACTGCCTTCTAATCCAGATGTTACCAACAGTTTGTCTTTAAAGGAAAATTCTATATTTTTCACCCAATTTGAGTGCCCAAGCAGTGACCTTATCTTTTTTTTTAAGTTTCGCACATCCCACAATGCTACTGTTGTATCATCTGAGCAAGTTGCAAACATTCGTCCGTCTAAAAATCTGAAATTTAAAATCTTGGTGTCCACTAAGTTTTATTGAATTAAAGTTGCTTAGTGTTTCTTTTACTTGTGTAAATATCTGCTGTATTAACTAAAAACTTAATGGTGTAGGACTTCCAATCCTGCAATACTGAGATTTTGGTATTCCGTGATTCAAAAACAGTTGCCAGTATTCCAGTCCTGTGAGATTATGAAGATGGGATCCTGAGGTAGTTCTACAATTTAATCTTCAAAAGCACTTAAATTAAAATCATACAAATTACCCTTTAAAAATCAGACAAGCTAATTGAAAAAGATATTAATACTATAAAACAAACTTGCTTCTTGGTGTCTGTATGCTGAGATCTTTTCAAGGATGCAATGGATTTTAATGTGGTTTTTTACAATATAGGACCATACAGATAAAGCTACTGATGGAAAGTAACTAAAATAGAATCTTTTAACATGTTTAATTATGTACCTACTATGAATTCTATATATGAGTCCTGCAAACACCAAGGTTCAAAGCAAATAAAATGTTCAGTCACAGATTATAGATAGGCTGTGAGATTGGAAGTCCTGTGATACTAATGTAATACTAATAGACTTTTAATATTCAAAATTCTAATGGTCAGTTACACAAATGTCCATTAAGATTTGATGACAACTATAAGCCCTAATGAATATATTTGTATGGGTAGTCATTTTAAACTAATGAAAATTTTAATGGTTGTTTGTGCAACTGGCTGTATCACTGATATAATTACATACTTTACACAGTTAACACAATCTGAATGAGCTCCATGAACAGAGTGAACCCTTTGATGAGTGAGAGGGTCAAATATTTGTATGCACTTTTTCTCACATGCTGCTACCAAGAGAGACCTAAAAACAAAACAAAACTTTGTATGCTTATCACCATGAACAAATTTAATTCAAATTCATAGTTAAATTACTGATGTAAGAAAAAACATATAGGCTGTCGTTGAGTCAAGTGCAAAGTCAAGGTAACCGGGTATGTGGCAACGTACCCTTCCGGTGAAAATTCAAGGTTATATACTCCTCCAGTGGGCAGACTATTTGATTGCTCACTGTCCCAAGATGAGATGGGTTTCATGCCACAATAAAGGCTTTTCGCCAAAGCATCGCCACTGCCGACAGGAGTTCCGAAACCCAATTCTTTTCTCCACAACCTATAAGGATTGAAGGCAGAATTCCTCGCCATAAAGTCTTTGTTGGCCATTGCGATGACAACAAATACGAATCGGTCAGTGATTAAACATTATTATTATTAAGTACATAGCATAGCAGTGGTATTCAATATTTATCAGAGAGTTATAGTGAGTTCTTTGCTACATAATCTATCAGGATAAAATCGATTTATAAAGAAAAAACAACAAACACTTCATTTAATCATGGTTGACTTTGACAATTAGTTGACAATTGACATGATGACAATAACAGACAGATAAGACTGAGTAGTGATGTTAAATTAGTATCCAGCGTGTTAATTAATATGCTTTTCTCTCTTAACGATTAACTCTGCTAAGTAGATATACGCGAAGGCGCTATAACAATTCACGCGAGTTATGAGGAAGTATTAAAGAAAAAAAACGAAAGCACTAAAACACTTCCACCACTAGATGGCGACTCTAGCAAATGTTAATTTTTGCAGGAAACGAATGGACAAAAGACAGTCATTTCCGTTCCTTGTAAACTAACATATTAAAAAACTGAAATCGGAAAAGTTCGAAACTTAGATATCAATACAAATATGAAAAAGTACAAATAGAATATGAGTTGTTTATTGAGTTTTGAAAACTAATTGACTTTAAACATGAAAGAAAATCGGAAAGGTTGTCATAGAGAAATCAAGAATGTACCGTAGCGTCATCTACTTTGATTTCGGGAACTAATGTTTTTTTTAAAATACTTCCTCATTCCAAAACGAATCAACGATCAAACGCGTGACGTGTCATCGCCAATGCTCGGAGCACGCTAAGTAGGTAATTATAACGCGCGATCCTATGTCCTGTGTTTTAACAAAGTTTACTAAGTCGATATTTTATATACTTTAGAATAGAAGATACTTTCGGTGATTATATGGTATTCTGTGTATTTTTAAAAAATTTGATGTGTGTAATAAATTATAATTAAATGGGAAGTATTAAAAAAAAATTGTTCCCGAAATTAAACTAGATGTCGCTACGGTACTTTTTGATTTCTCCATGACAACCCTTCCGGTTTTCTTTAATGTATAAATAATAATAATAATAATAATAAATCTTTATTTCAGACCCAGTGATCCATATTAAATTACAAATAACAGAAACATGATTACAAATAAAAATATTACTTAATATAATATAATATGGCTTTCTATTTATTTTAATGTATAAAAAGAAATTAATTTTCAAAACTCAATAAGCAACTCATATTCTATTTTAACTTTTTCGTATTTGTATTGATATCGAAGTTTCGAACTTTGCAAATTGCAGTTTTTTAGTATGTAAGTTAAAAGGAACGGAAATGACTATCTTTGGTCCATTCGTTTCCTGCAAAAATCAACCTTTGCTAGAGTCGCCATCTAGTGAGGTGCTTTTTAGTGCTTTCCTTTTTTAAACACTTCCACATTAATAGGTAGGTATTGTGGTAGGTATGCGTTCACCTATGGTTGCTTTCAGAAACACCAAACCGAGAGTTTTTATTTCTTAATAATAATAATAAAAATCTTTATTTGCAGAAATATGGTTTTACTAGTTGTTTAAAATTTTTAAATACCCAGGATATTTTGTCGTCAGGATGATAAAAATGTCAACATAATTCCAAAAAATAAAATACGAATTGTCACTCAAATTGAATAAACATGATATAAAAAAAAATTCAGTATCTTTATCAAATAATAAATACAAAAATGTCAATTATAATTATATAAATTATCAAAATGTCAATGCCAATGAAAATGTTATCTAGAAATACAAATTTACGATTATATGTCACACGTTTTTATTGTATAATATAATTTATCAATTAAAAAGTCAAACAAATGCTTTCTGAATTTAGTAAATGTCAGTGTTTTTATCTGATTAGGTAGATGATTGTATATACGGATTGCCATACAGTACGCATTTTTTGACGTTACCAATTACAAGTCTTTGAGTAGGAATGCGAAGTCATCTCCTTTTCTACCTCTATAAACAAAGTCCTTGTTTTGTTTGGACTGCCAACAAACACTGCCATTTCAAATATGTCAAAGATTTAAATAAAGTTTTACATTAGTCTAAATAACTTGCACCACAAATCGATCTTATACATTTTTTTTTAATCATGAAAACTCTAATCGCATCCACTGAATTGCCCCACAATATAAGATCATAACGCATCACAAAAGAAACATAACCATGATATGCCATGATGGCCGATTGTTTTGAAGCAATTTACCTTATCCTATTTAAAGCATAAATAAATCTGTCAAATCTGTGCTTGGTTATTATAATGTCAATGTGTGCCTTTCAATTAAAAAAAATTGTCAATAGTAATTCCTTAAAAACTTAATTTCGTTTACTTCTTCTATAATGTCATGATTGAGAATAATGTCAATTTTTTTATTTTTACTATGTAATATTTGAAATCTTATGTATTTAGTTTTATTCATATTAATTTTAAAATTATTATCGACTAGCCATTACCTTTTGAAAATCCGCGTTAGCTTTATATTGAAGACCGTCATCTTTACCTTTAGTGATAAGAGTAGTATCGTCAGCGAATAAAATGCATTTATTGTTGATCACATTTGGTAAATCGTTTATATTTCTACGGATTGCTTGCGGTCTTTTAGGTACCTAACATTTTATCCAATATAATATGCAGATAATAGCTTGAAAGCTTAAACGTTTAATAGCAAATTATAGATAGTTGATTCTATAATTTGTTATTAAACGTTAAAGCTTTCAAGCTATTATCCTAAGAAATACCGCCAGAAAATAAATTACTCTAAAAAATACCCTCGAAACATTCATATCCTGAAAATTACTAAAATTATTAAAATTCTGCTTCGCACTAAATTGAAAAGATTTGTCTATTATAAATTACAGGGTTCCAACCATAATATATAATACTGTGAAGCTGCCGGTCTGACAACAGCCCGTTTTTTGTCAGTATTTCATATTGATAAATAAGAGACTTGATGAATCAATAATTTATTTTAAAATCCCAGAGGGCTCTGCTAAACTGACGGAATTCTTAACTTTAAAAACAATCATGACTATTTGCTGCTGCTTGAGTAGGTATTATTATGTTTCAATTCACTTTCTTCATTCACCTAACAGGATAACTAAATAAAACTAATATTACATGCCAATATAATTTTACATTTACTTAAAAAATGTCAGATTACTCTTATATTACATACAGTTCATAAAAATGATTTCATTAAATTTTATTTCTGTTTCTATTCACCAAGTACTAGGTGGTAACAATCCACTGGGTGGAGGTATTTGACCAGATTTTAAGGTATTCTGTAAGAATACTTCAAGTCTTGTTTTGGGACCACCTTCATCAATATTTTCTAGTATTTTAAGATAATCTATACTTATCAATTTTATTATCTTAGTAAACTGTTTGCCATAGTGTTTAAAAAATTCAGATCCGCAGACAGTGAAGAAATCATGCAACAAAGTGGCACTTATGTCTGGTTCAGGTCTTAAATTAATGAATGACGCCAGCCATTGCCAGCCATATCTAAGGCCATGAGGATTTGAAGTGTTCAGAAATTGTGGGCTCTTAGTTATCCAAATAGCACATTGAAGCCTAAATATTCCAGACATTCTCCTGAGGAATTTGTCCTGTTTCTCTACCACTCCCTCATCATTGTATGTATAGCCTCTTGATAAATAAAATTCCATATCAGTTTGTCCTTCTTTTTGAGGCAAGAACATTGGCACTAAATATGGACATTGTTTATGAAAATTCGCCTCAAGGAGTTTACCAAATGTAGGAAATTGAGACCATAGTGCAACAGCTACGGCTGCAAGTGGAAATGCCGCCTCCGGGTTACTGGACACCAAAAGATCACCTTGCCTCACAATTTTCTTTGCTAGTAAAGCAGTACAATAATACAGTCCTTGCGGATGTTGGTTTGCAATTACAAAAGTATCTAGCACTTGAACTCTTTCTCCTTTTAGCAATTTTGACAATTTATCATATTTATCCCTCATATGCATTCCACTGACAGATGACAATGCATTGACTGGAGTATTAACAGCCTTTTGACAATCAAATCTAAATTTCTTTAAGTTGGCATTATCCAACAGGTCCTTGTACTGACTTTCATAGTTTTCAAGGAAAGACTTAAGTTCTAAATAATAATTATAGTTTTTAGAGGAGTAAAACATTGGTTTATTAAGTTTATCCTGTTTGTTTTGAGTTTCAACGGCTATAGCTGCTTGTTGTTTTTTCATTTCAAGTTCAAGCTTTTCTTGTAATTCTTTCTTTTTAGCCTCTTCCTGCTGCTTTTCTTTTTGTTTCAGTTCTTGTTGCTTTAAGTCATCTATTTCATTGATAATCTTTTTTCTAATGTTTTCTAAATTCAAGGCCAATATTTCAGACTGTTTGACTTCTTTATCAGTAATAACTCCTGTTTTACAATATTCCATGATCATTTGAATATTTCCCATAACTGTGTTGATGGACGACAAATACATATCGTAAACACCCTTTGAAATTGGGTCACTATGTAAAAGGTTTGTCAATTCATTGTAACAAATGCACACTTTAGTATGACTGTCTGTGATGGCTGCAAAGCGTGCAGTAGCTTTATTTTGTTCTTCCAAGATTCTGTTCATGTTTTCAATGGTCTGTTGATTTTTAATTTGACTTTGTTGCTCGTCATATTTTGCTTTTTCTAGCACAGAAAGGTTGTCATTGTCTTTGAGTCCTTTTAAAAGTAATAATTTACGCTTCCTATATTCCAGAGCTCTAATTTCAGATTCTTCACTTTGTTTTTTCCAATACTTGGTCATCACTTCAGCTCGATTTGCAATCATTTTTTCAATGAGATCTTTAAATAACTCTTCTGTGCTTTCTTGGAGTTTCATATCATATTTTTTTCTTAGTAGTGTGTACCGCAGATCTTCTTTACACAAGTCTTCAAATACGTCTTCGTGATTTTTCTGAGGCTTTGGTTTCTCTTCCACATTCTGTTGCTTTTTAACTGGACTATTGGGTCCTATAGTCACTTCTTTTATGAGTGGACTTATTACTGCGGCTTTTGTTAGAGCAGATATGCGAAGTTTTTCAAAATCGGCTAACTGACTACAGATGCTGTCGTCCTTCTTGCCACAGTTGCTCAATGACAAGTCTTCATATGTGTTATCAAATCTATTGTAAGAATTGTCTAGGCTTAAGAACGACATTGTAGCTTTATACAAATATTATTGAATTAATATTCACCATGAAACGTTCATCGCCGTTTTAGATGTTTTTGACAATCACAACAGTGTTGCCAGCGAGGTCTTGTCAAAAGTTACCTGCGGTGTGCAAAAAAGTAACCTTTTTACAGGAAAAGTAACCTTTTACATTTTAGATGTCCAAAAGCATAAAAAAATACTTACGTATTTATGGGTAGGCATTTAAAAGTTTCTTCTCCATATTTAAGTTGCTATTAAGTATAAAAATTACTTCTTCTGAACACCTGTAATTAAAGACAATAGATTCACAAATAAACAAAAATTATAGATCACGAGGACCTTTCTTACAGATCACATGGCTTTCTTATTATTACGTACAAAGTAAAAATCAATAAATTAGTCATCAGTTAGTACCTTCTTCGCTTTCCCCATCCTTTTTATATTTTATTCTAGTTTTCAGCATCAGCTTTGTTGGCTAAAATGTCATGGCATTTGGAATATTTGCTTTGGTAGCCATCAAAGCTGATATTGTTTCCGTGGCAAGCCTATTTCTATGGTCCGATTTAATCAATTTGAGCTGGCTGAAAACGCTGGCGTTTGAAAAGGGTAGGACCAGCAAAAGCATTATACCTTTCTTTAAACATGGAAACTGAAGCTCTCCTGAACTTTTTTTTAACCTAAACACATTGTTCCAGTAATTGAGTATTTCTAGATTGGGAGACAAATTTAAATGAGTAAAATCTAACAGTGCATGCATTTTCCATTCTTTATTTAGCTCTTCGAGATCTAAATCGTTTCTTAAATATCGACGATCTATTGACGACAAAAGTAAGGTCTTTTGTCTCAAATGATTGAGCTTTTTGAGGATCTGTGACTAGTTCGATTATGTCGTAAAGTGGGTCCGAAAAGATAAAACGTTGTGTGATCTGTTTGATTGCTTCAATATAAAACGACAAACATGATTTTCTAAAATCAGTTATCTGCGTTTTAGGTGCTGGAATTTCTTTTTCAATTTCAATAATAATGCTCGCGGCCAAAATTGGGACTAAACATCTTGTCCTTAACATCAGGTAAGATAGTGAATCGCGTATTTAACTTTAGACGATTAGCCGAGCGAATCGGACGATTGAAGAGTATGTTTGATTTGATTCTGTGGTTGCACTTCCTGTCACAGACTAGGTAGATACAAGCCCCTGGTGGGAACATAGAAAAGCATTTCCGCGCAATTTTAAAAGTTACCACAAAGTTACCTTTTGTGTCGTGTAACCTTGAAGTAACCTCAAGGAGTTAAAAATCACCTAAAAGGTTACAAAAGTAACCTTCTGGCAACGCAGAATCACAAACTAAGAAGAAGACACTACGTATGTGACAACCGAACAGACCACCAAAGAGGGGGCTTGTCGAATAATTAGCAATATAACGATATTTTCCAATCGATATGTCGTAATTTTTGGGCAATGTATTTTGTAACGATATATCGGTGTCACATATCCAATATCGAAATTGTATCAAAAACAATAATTTCTTTTGTTTTTATTTGGCCGACTCAATTTTTAATGAGAAAGTATTTAAATGTCGTAAATATACTCCATGACAACCCTTCCGGCTTTCTTTCATGTATAAAAGTAAATTAATTTTCAAAACTGAGTATATTTGTTCGTACTTTTTCATATTTGTATCGATATCTAAGTTTCGAACTTTGCAAAATTCAGTTATTTTATATGTTAATTAAAATGAACGGAAATTACTTTTTTTGATATGGACCAAACAACGAATGGTCTTTATTATATCAAAATAATACTCATCCTAATTAAGAAATGAGATTCATTGTAATATATTACTTATTTATATCGATATTATTTGACGTATGGATATATAATGAGAAAAATTAAGCGTTCTGCTTTTTTTCTTATTCCAAACTCGAACGAATCGAGTTAATTCAAGTTACAAGCGTGATTACAAGTAACCATAAAGTTGGCACATCACTATTGTTGACATACACACAATCAACTTTCCTTTACACGCATAGAATTAATAAGTACTACGTTATTAATTCTATGTTTACACGTAACATAATTACAAATTTGCAGTTAAAAGAGATAAAATTAATCTGAAATTTCGATATTTTTAAATACATCCTTATTCTAAACGACAAGAAAAACATAGAACTCAAACATTAAAATCATAAAAAAAGAAAAATACTTATTACTAATTACTCATTACTTTTAACTTACTTATTATTACCTTTAATACTTATTATTAAAAAATATTTTTTTTGCCTGTGTTAACAGAGGTTTTTGTTTTAAACTGAAAAATAAATCACATTTACTCTGTGCAAAGTACTCTGTGGATAAAAAAAGGCGCGAAATGTTTTGACAGATTTTTACATCGTTACCGTCGTAAACACAAAGGTGTCCTTAATTTTTCAATTTACTATTATGGGTTTGCAGAATACTGGTAAATTTAAGCCAGATCGAGAAAATGGATTTAAAAAAGATCCAGGCACCTCTTCAGGCTCAAGGTTAATATCATCTCATGTATAATTAATTTTATTTTAATGATTTTGTTGTGAACATAATGAAAACTGTTTATTTTCATCAGAGAGGAATCATCAGAATCACGTATGCGAAATGCTTTAGAAAATGACCGAATAGACTCTAAATATGGATTTGATAGAGTCAGAGATGCCAAGGAAAGGACGGGATATCTTATAAATATGCACACGGTGACATTCAATCTACTTATGTTTACTTAAATTAACAATTTCATAAAATGAAATAAAAATATTGAACTTTAAAACTTATTGATTTCTGCTCTAGGCTGAAATACTAGATGAAGATAAGAGACTAGTAGCTGCAATGGACTATTATTTCATTGAGATGGATGGTACCAGATTCAAAATATCACTCACTTTCCAACCTTATTTTTTAATAATGGCTAGAAAAGAATGTGAACAGGAAGTTATACAATATTTATCTAAGAAATTTGCAGGAACCATTCATAAAATTGAAATTATTGAAAGAGAGGACTTGGATTTGGTATGTAATTATGAATGTTTTAGAATAGTTTAATATTATTTATAATTGATTTTCCAGTGACTACATTCTTTGAACATTGGTAACTGTGCATTCATTAGTTTCATTATTATTTGGTAAGGAACACCTAAATGTTACATTTAATATTTTACATATGGCAAAATTCACAGTCCACAAAGGACAAGCAGAGCTTTAGAAATTATATCCCAAGGTGACTACCACATTTGTGATTAACTAATTACATTTATATTTATCAAAGTAATTGTTAGAATTGGAACCAATATTATAAGCACTGAATCATTGATATAGATTAAGTCTGTAATTTAATTTAGTGCAACTTATTTTAAGTGCACTGAGGCAAGGTAGGGCAGGGCAACACCCCCTGCATTTTATATACTTTCCTACTATCTACTATTATTGCTAAAAATCAACAGCCCATAACCCTTTGTTTGTACCTCCCCTCCCTCATGCAAATAGGGATGACGAATGGGTTAAAAAAAAAGATATTCTATTTAATCCATCAGTTAAATAATAGAGAAACTGAATTAAAAAATATCACAATAATTAGAAACAACTAAAAAGAGAGAAATAATACCACAAATATTTATCTTCAATCAAGTCAAAACACAAAAAATGTATACACCAACTTTATGGTTGGTCACTAAATGATGATATTAACAATTCTACTCGTTCTTCTTATCAGTCAAAAGGCGTCCTGAACCAATGGTAGGAGAAAAATGTTCAAGATTCAAAAGTACTTTGAAGAAGTCTATTTGAATAAAAAATATTTTGACTTTGATTACGCCATTACATACAAACACCTCGAATTGATAACCTCCTTTTTTTTGAAGTCTCTTAAAATTATTAGATACATATTTTTTTTGTCTTAAAAAAGCATTAAAGTTGAGGAGCGGGACTCCTTGAGCCACAGTTTTGTAGAAAATGTACAAATGAGTGACGTCAAGTGACATTGAACTCGATGTATCACCATAATTAATTGAAAACGCAAAAAAATAAAATTAGTCATCATCCCTATTATATCAAATATTCAAATCCATTCAAAATATTCAATCCTTTGAATTTATTTTAAAACTTTTTCACACTTATCCTATTAATATTATAAATGTGAAAGTTTCTTTGTTTGGATGTTTAGATGTTTGAATGTTTGTCGGTCAATCACGCCGAAACTACAGAACGTATTTTGATGAAATTTGATATACATATAGGATATTAGCTGACTTAGATAATAGGATACTTTTTACCCCACTAAATATTTCCCTAGGGTCCATGCGGGCGAAGCCGCTGGCGAAAGCTAGTTATATTATTTTGTTTTTTGCCTGATGTTTGTGACTATGATATTTTTACTGCATTATTTTTGGTGTGACCAGTTTAGAAGTAAAATGTGTATATCATTACAGCTCAATCATCTTTCTGGTTTAAAACAAACTTATATAAAGCTTTCATTTATGACTCAAAATGAGATGATGAAAGTGAGAAAAGAAGTTCTAACTGCAGTCAACAAAAACAAAGAAAGGGAAAAGAAAGATGCTATCTATGCTGAAATGTTGACTAATGCTTTAACTAGTTCAGCTGCTCTTGAACATGCTAAAAAGACAACAGACCACATGGAAAATATTTTGGATATCAGGTATGACACAGTGTAAGAGCTTTTGACAAAAATATGCAAAAACTTTTGAAAGCTTGAGTTTCAGAATGTTGAAGTAATAAGGCTATACTTTATATCTGAGGGTGTTTACTATATACATCATGATTAGAAGAACATAGTTAGATTACAGGCCAGTTCTAATGGGGGAAAGTGTCATTATAGGCTATATATAAATTAGTTAATTAGAAAAAAAACATCAAGTTTCTGACCCGGTTAGAGGAAATCATAGATCTGGATCAAGATACGCATTTATTTAACTTACTTTTAATACAGGACAGTGAATTCAAACAAACTCAAATCTATTAACTTTTTAAAACTTGTATTTTCTTGTTTTCAGAGAGCATGACGTACCTTACCATGTGAGAGTATCTATTGATGTCCAGATTTTTTGTGGTACATGGTACACAGTAAAAAGTAGGGGTACAGAGACACCAATATTTACAAAACGTGATGATATCTTAGAAAGACCTGATCCGATAGTGTTAGCTTTTGATATAGAAACAACTAAACTGCCATTAAAGTTTCCCGATTCACAAACTGATCAAATAATGATGATTTCTTATATGATTGACGGTCAAGGTTATCTGATCACTAACAGGGAAATTATTTCGATAGATGTTGAAGACTTTGAATATACACCTAAACCAGAATTTGAAGGGTGAGAAATCTTTAGTTTAAAATGTATTAAATTAAATAAGAAGTATATAAAGAAATTCATTTTACTGACTAGAAAAACAAAAATATGACTGCTTGAAATCAGATCGTATCATAAAATATAGTTCACAAAAAACATGCATAATGAACCGATTAGAGCGTCTAAGTGCATAAAATAAGAGCCCCTAACCTATGTATGTTCCCAAAAACATTTACCTTACACTTTCTTTTAAATAATTTGTTAGGTATTGTTAGTTAATTATTCATTCACATGAGAAAGATAATATATAATAATAACATGATAAAATATGTTCCATATATTTTTTTTTGGGAATATTCCACTTTTATTCTTAACTAAAAGTTTTATGAGTAATGTACATCATAGTATTCTTTTTCAGGCAATTTATTGTATTTAATGAACCCAACGAGCTGGCGTTAATACAAAAGTTTTTCGACCACATAATGGATGTTAAGCCTCATATTTTTGTCACATACAATGGTAACCATATAAAATAATTGTACCTCCATAGTTAAGTGTTCTGCTTGATTAGTCAGACATTCTAAGAATCTGAGTAAAATATTTATATGAAATGATAAGTGCCGCGGCCCGCGATCGTAGTCGTTAAGCAACTTTCGCAAGGGTCGGTCACGGGATGGGTGACCAAAAAAATTCTTATCTCGAGCTACTCCGTGCTTCGGAAGGCACGTTAAGCCGTTGGTCCCGGCTGCATTTGCAGTCGTTAATACCCTCCAATCCGCATTGGGCCAGCGTGGAGGGTCATGGCCCATCCTCCTTAACCATCCATAAGGAAGGCCTGAGCCCCTGCAGTGGGGACGTAAAAGGGCTGATGATGATGATGAATGAATGTAACTAAAAATATTTTTTTTAGGTGACTTTTTCGATTGGCCTTTTGTAGAGGCGCGCGCTGCCGTACTCGGTTTGGATATGAAACAAGAAATAGGTTTCAGTAAAATTGCTTCAAGGGATAATACCTATGCATGTCGCCCTGCAATGCATATGGACTGTTTGTGGTAAATTAACCATCATTAAGTATAATTATGAAAAAGAATTTAAAGTATAAACTTTGAACTACTCAGTTTGAGTCGAAAATAGTATTCCTCATCAGAAGTTTGTTTACATCATGATCTTACAACTATGTTCAGCTTTATCCAATTGTAATAAGGTTCCTATTTATTTGAATTTTCAATCTCCAATAATAGGTAACAACAAAAAAACTTTAATTATATTATTAGAAAAAAACTTCTAAAGCATCATGTTTACAAGATATAACATGTCATTAAATTTGTATTGTAGTGCTTTGTCACCTATTTATTTTATGCTCATATTTCGTCAAATATTGTAAAGATATATCAACTTAATAATATTTACAGTTGGGTCAAAAGAGACTCATATTTGCCAGTAGGCTCGCAAGGTTTGAAAGCCGTGGCCAAAGCGAAATTACGGTATGATCCCGTAGAATTAGATCCAGAAGATATGTGTAGAATGGCGGCAGAGCAGCCACAGGTAAGGATATTATATTTTATAATAATACTCGTTCATATAACACCATACAACACACATGGAACTTATGACATCATACCACGACAAATGAAATAAACCGTAGGCGCCGCATGAAGCGACATGCATAAAACCTAATAAAATATTCTTTTCTTTTAATTTTATAAAAACTTAAATTAACGAAAAGTTTACAATATCTGTATATACTGTACTAAAGGCTGAAGCAGTATTTTTTAAAAGTTCGTTAGTCCCGCCACTTTGACGTCAGAATGCATATTAGAACCAGATCGAAAAGTAACTTGGAGGTAATTGGGATGATGACTAATTTTTATTTGTTTGTCCGTCAGTTAGAGTTAAAAAATATTAAACACGTATTTTTTTCGTAATCATAAAATTACGGCGTTACATGGAGTTGAAATTTCGCATGACGTCACGTTAGAGTACGTTTTCTACTCAACTGTGACGTAGCGAGCCCCCACTCCTTAAATTTAATACCTGTTATCTAAGCTATTTCTTGTTAAATTGAAGTAAAAAAAATACGTATCTAATATTTTTCTTTTATCTGACTGACGGACTAAATAGAATTGCATTTTTTTTATATATCCCGAATCTCGAATGTACCAAATTTTGGATACAATTGTAGAGGTCGAATCAAAATTATGTGATTAAAACATCCAACGGAACAACTAATTTTTGCTGTATCGCTTTAGCCTTCACAATTTTTTTAATATAGTACATATCTAGCACTCTTAAATTTGACTTGCATTTATTTTATTTGAGAGTTTCGTCCCACCATCTTGACGTTCACAGGTTCTGACATCAGGAAATTGGTGCGTGAGCACTATCTCGGACTGTAATTGTATCGTTCGTATTCTGTATGTTATTTATGTGTTTGTATTGTATGTATGTGTAATTAGTATTTATGTAATTATTCAATATTTTTTATTTATATATATATTTTTTATTTTGTATTTCTTTTTACTGGATATATCAATCTTTATCGCCTAACATGCAAATCCAACATTCGCTCAGGTTGACTGGTAGAGAATGCCCTTGGCATTAAGTCCGCCATTTGTATTATTTTTATTTAATGCAATAAAAAGTAAATAAATAAATAAATAAAATAAATAAATCTGCATCTATGAGCAACAGAGGTGATAAATATATTAATTTCCAGGTGCTATCAAATTATTCGGTGTCAGACGCAGTGGCTACATATTATCTGTACATGAAATATGTCCATCCATTCATATTTGCTCTTTGCACAATTATTCCCCTGGAGCCAGATGAGGTAAGATTATTGAGCGTTATCTACTAGTAATGATAAAATTGGTACATTAATTTTTATTAAATATAAAAAATCAACCATAAAGTTAGTAAAGTTGTGTATTCTATGATATATCACTTTCACGATTCACATCTTATATATATAAAAATTTTGTGTCACGATGTATGTTGCCAATAAACTCCAAAACTACTGAACCGATTTCAATCAAATTCCACATGTACCCGTATTTTGGTCTAACTTACTGCATAGGATAGTTATAATCTCAATTATTCGCTTATGTCGTGAATGTAAACCAATAAAATTTACTAATTAATTGTTTCTTAAGCAAGTGTTTATTTACTGTTTAGTTTTATGAAGTTCTCATAGATGGCGGTGTACCTAAATTAAATGTATTTCTCGCTTTTTAATGTTTATTTGATCTTATACAAGCTATATAATGTTGAAGGTTTTACGCAAAGGGTCTGGTACTTTATGCGAATCACTTTTGATGGTGCAAGCGTTCCACGCGAATATTGTGTTCCCTAACAAGCAAGTTGAGGAATTGAATAAACTTACTACAGACGGTCACGTGCTGGAAACTGAGACTTATGTCGGAGGACACGTAGAAGCGTTGGAGTCAGGTGAGTTTTATATATTGCGGAGATTAAATATCTTTTTCACTGGCCAAATATCAGATGGTTGTCCAATTTATTACGCTCGTTTATATCGGAAACGCATGGCGGGTTACGTCCCGTTTTCCTGAATTGATTACTATACGATATATAAGGAAAGCTAGCTAAGTTAGAAGTAGTACTATCTCTTGACAATTGAAAGTAAGGAAATCGTCATTTATCTATATATAGTCATTGGCGTAATTACAGGGTCACTCACCAAGTCGGCAAAATGCCACGAGCCCTCAGTTGGAAGGGGCCCCCGGTTAGAGGAGACTCCTTACTCCTGACATTTATTATTACATAATTAGTAAAAAAAAAATATATCTAATGAATTTGCCACGGGCCTTAAACGGTATAGTTACGCCACTGTATATAGTATAAAACTAAGTCGCTTCCCACTGTCTGTACGCTAACTTTTAATCAATATATAGAGTGATTCGAGAGGTTTATATGTATAATACAGGTTTATATGTACAATAATATAATACAGTTGACGGAAAGCTAGTCTTTAAAAATCTAAATTTTTAATATAACATTCGTTGCGCAGGTGTTTTTAGAGCAGACATCAAATGCAAATTCAGGATAGTGCCATCAGCAGTGGAGAAGTTGATGGACACTGTGGAAAAAACAATGAAACACGCCATTGAAGTAGAAGAAGGGGTGCCGCTAGAGATGGTGACCAACTTCGATGAGGTTTGTGGTGAGATCAAAGCGAAGCTGCAACATATGAGAGACCATCCCAGGAGGGATGAGAACCCACTGATTTACCATTTGGACGTCGGCGCTATGTACCCTAATATTATTCTAACGAACAGGTTATTATTTTTTTTAGCAGAAATATATCTTTATATATTTCTGTGATTTTTTATTGCTGATTCTATGTGAATTTTTGTACTTGTAAAGATACCACAATGAAATAGTTTAACCACTCTCACTCAATTAATACGAAGTTGAACGAACGCATACTTTTTAATATTAACTACGTTACGTTTTAATATTTGGTTTGAAATTATAACTACCTACATCTATATAACTAAATCAAATTGGTGTGTCTGTTTGTAATATTAAAATAATCGCTTTTAACTAAATGCATATACATATATATATTCTTATGAACTGTGACCCGAATTATTTTTTTAAAAAGTAAGAAAATGATACTAACGTCGAGACGTAATTTATTAAATTTATAACTCACAAAACACAAGAAAAATCAATTAACACAGAAATGCCGATGTTTCTCCGATGAACGCGCGCGCAGCAAAGGGCGGTGCTGCCTTATATACCCTCAGTCCACAAAAATTTATTATCTGCTACAATATGTATACAATACATATACCAAAATAACATATTTTCATTTTTTGTCTGTTTGTTCCGGATAATCTCTAAACGGTCGGTCCAATTTTGACGCGACTTTCACTAGTAGTTAGCTTATGTAATAAAGACTAATTTAGGCTACTTTCCAAGCGGACGAAGTCGCGGGCGCAGCTACTAATTAGTATTTATTAAGTGCATTTTTTTTTACTTAGTGGAACTGCTAGATACCGTTACAATTTCCAATGTACACCATCTTGGAAATTGTAACTGTGTTGTAACTGTATCATGTAAGCAAACATAGATCTTTAATTTACAATGTTCAAATTCAGTTCCTTATTAATAGATAATTTCAGATTACAACCGTCAGCGATGGTGAATCCTAGCATATGTGCCGTCTGCGACTTCAACAAGCCTGGAGCCAATTGTCAGAGACACATGGAATGGATGTGGCGAGGAGACTATCGTAAGGAATTCTCTCTTATTTATTTCATCTACAATTTCTATCATATTCATATTAGGTATACGACATTACATAAAACAAAAATAAATTCTATAACTAGATAATCCGTTACATTTTTATTAGGTACCGCTCGAACTTGACTCTATGCTCAACTAGATGTAGATACTTCTCACAGCACGCAATCTTAGCGTTATAAAACACGTAACGATTTCACAACAGCACAACAATAATTTAAAAAATGAGTTTTGTTCAAATTATTGAGTTACGGTTAAATTCTTAGATCGTACGTATTTTAGAAAAAAACTCTGTATATAATTTTTTACTTAAGAAATGTCTCTAGCGCGAATGAAATGCAAGCTCGTTTAACTTAAAAACATATTAATATTGAATAAGGGGCCGTCTATTAATCACGTAAGGCTCGAAAGGGGGAAGGGATTAATCAAAAATCATAAAATATCATATTTTTTTAAATACACGTGATTTGGTTAAGGAGGGAGGGGGTAGTCTTAAACCTCACCATGTATCACCAAGAAGAAATGGGGGTCAGAAATGTTGAAAAAAACATCACGTGATTAATGGACGGCCCCTAATTAAATGTGTAATAAATACTTTTTTAATATGGATTTCCATTTTGAATTAGTTGAATCGTATTTGATTCGTAGTGCCGGCGACACGGAGCGAATACCAACGTATCCAGCAACAGCTGGAGACGGAAAAATTCCCACCGTTACACCCCGGTGAACCGCCCAGAGCTTTCCACGCTTTACCCAAAGAAGATCAAGTAAGAATATTAAAAATTATTATAGTGAAATAATTAGTAAAAATTGAAATAAATTTAATTAGTTTTTAGAATGTCGCCGTTCTTCCATTTTGTATAGTTTACAGGATACATTTCGTATCGTATTATTAATTGACGCCTATATCACCGCATGTCATCTGTCTTTAGTACATAATGGTACATTAGTGTGTAATATGAAGGTCCACTGTTTTGTAAATATTAGGATTTTTTTTTTATACGAGATAGGTCAAAATTATAATAATCAGCTGAAATACTTATATTCTGGCTTTAAATAGCAATGAACCTTCTTATGTCACTATTTTTTATATCAAATCATTTATTTTCGAATAACTATAGGATATATTTAAATTTTATAGTCGAGCCTTATACATCATAGAAGATAGATATATCTTTGTTATGCATTAATCATCATATATTAAATAAGATACATGTTAACAAAATACTTGTAGGCGGCATATGAGAAGAAACGCTTAGCTGACTACTGTAGGGTTGCATATAAGAAAACAAAAGTCACAAGGACGGAAGTGAGGACTACAACAATATGCCAAAAGGAGAACTCCTTTTATGTGGACACTGTCAGAGCGTTCAGGTAAGAGTTAATCGTTTTCATATTCTTGTAGTTAAAAATCAACCTTATTGAATGTTAAATCCTGAAATTGGTCCGGTAAATTCATTTTTTTGAATAAAGTGTATTCCTCAATAATGAAACATTAATAGATGATTTTAATACACTTATTACAATGATAAGAGGAGACTTTTATAATCGGGTAGTTATGTTTGAGTATTGATACGTGTAGGGATCGGCGATACGAATATAAAGCCTTGAACAAGCAAGCGAAGGCTAAGGTTGCTGAGGCGGTGGCGAGTGGCGACGCGGCTGAAATCAAATCGGCAAAGAGTCGTGAGGTGCTCTTTGACTCGCTACAGCTAGCACATAAATGCATCCTCAACTCTTTTTATGGATACGTCATGAGGAGAGGGTGAGTACTAGGATTTTTACTGATAATAATTACATATTTTAAACAAATAGTGACTGAATGTTAATTAAAATTTAAAACTACTTCGTCATTTTTTTCTTCATAATACGAGACACTATATCAATTACTCCAACTTTACTTTAACTTTACAAAATTATTCAATAAAGGAGTATATTTGACCAAATAATTACTGAGTATATAATATGGATTCTTACAAGATTATTTTAAGGTTTTTGTATTAGAACTATTTTAATAGCTTGAGTTTTTGTTACAATGATTACAACCATATTTGTTTACGGCAAATTTTCACTATCAATTGATAAATATAACATCACATACGTTGTTCAGTAGCTATACAAAATTACCAAAACAAGTAGTAAATGATTTGTAGTATCGATACGTTTTTCTTCCTTGCCCCATAGCAGAAGGGTTTTGATCTGTCTGCGACAGATTATAAAAACCTGAAAATAAAATTCTGTTTCTGCTAGTGTAATGTTTTTATTTATGTAAGACTGCCGAACTGTCTGCAGACCTACTCGGCTGTCTGCGACAATGTCGCAGTGTCGCTCGTTGTTCTGCCTTGGGGCTTCCTTGTATACGGGTCAATCGTCCAAATCTTCAAAACTGTTTAGAATATGTTTAAAACAAGTAACTTATTTTATAGAGCACGTTGGCACAGCATGGAAATGGCGGGTATAGTGTGTTACACGGGCGCTAACATCATAATGAGGGCGCGCGAGATCATAGAACAAGTTGGCCGCCCACTCGAGCTCGACACCGATGGTAATATCTCTAATTGTCTTTTCTAGTCTTTTTCACATAGAATGTGTACGGTGACGTTTGGGTTTTGAAGTTTCTAGTGATGTGCTAATAAAAAAAAACAGCAGAAACGTTATATTATTGAGTTCATTTTCTAATAGAGACAATCGATTTTGAGGTCAATGTATAAAACGTGATTTAAGAATAATATAGTCAGAAAAATGTAAATAAATATTATTAATTGTTATGGTTAATTTTAATTGTTACGAAAACAATAATAAAAAAATTGACAAATGATTAGCGAATACATATTTCGATTAAAACTTATTTTATAGAGTATTTTATTGGTGCAATATCTATTAAAAAAAAAAGTTCCAATGTTCGTAACAAGTATTGATGTTTTAAACTTTTAGAGGGATAGGATTCAGTAATAATTAGGCAATTAAAATTTTATTTATATTTTATTATGAAGATTTTTTATAAATATCAAATATGTACACAGTCAAACAATTTTTTTACAACAATGGTTTTTAATTATTGTGAAATACAATTGAGTGAAATGGATTTGTTAAAATACGTCACCGTACCCATGCTATGTGAAACGGACTATACAGACTACACGGACTATAACGGACTATACGGACTAGCCAGATTCTTATGCAAGCGTTCAAAGTTAACGATATATCGCAATTCACAAAAATTTGTATAATTTCTATAAAATTATGTGTTTTATTATATTGAACCCTATAGGTCGCCGATCCCACTCTGTACAACAATTGGCAGCACTGTGTAAACGAATCGAAGTTCTATGGATAGCGATACATATCATTTGCTGTCAACGCTCACTAAATACTTTAGTGTATTGGTCGCTTTTTCGCTTTCGGTTTAGACTATATATCTTCACTTCAGGCTCTTTGTGGGTGGGCAAGAACTGAGCGCCGCAATTCACGCTCTTGTTACAAGTCCTTTACTTCCTTGAAATTCACGATACTCTTCATCCATGTGAAATTTGAACGTTATATTTTACAGCCCTCCATAATCGGGTATTTATAAATTAAAAAAAAAAGCCTGTCCAAGTGATTGTTTTCATCATATTTCTTCAAGTAAGGAGGAGTAGCAGTGAGGGGGGAAGTTCAGACATCGACACATAGACTTATCCGTAGTCAATGTGTTACTTAATTTAACAATTTCTGACATGCAATCGACTGTATTTTAAAAATGAATATTATTTTGTAGGTATTTGGTGCATACTGCCTTCATCGTTTCCTGAGAACGTCACCGTCCTAACGACTCATCAGAAAAAGAAAAAGATTAACGTGTCTTATCCAAACGCTGTGCTCAATGCCATGGTCAAAGTGAGTTTATTTTTCATTAAGTCTGGCCATATCTTGACGATTTCATGGCGGCTATGCAATTCAATACAGTTTATTTTTGTAATTTTTTAAATCTTTATTTTTAGGATCACTTTACTAATGATCAGTATTACGAGCTGGTGGACCCAGAGACTCGGAAATACGAACAGCGCTCAGAAAACTCTATATTCTTTGAAGTTGACGGACCATACTTGGCGATGGTTCTACCAGCTTCGAAGGAGGAAGGAAAGAAGCTCAAGAAGCGATACGCCGTGTTCAACTTCGACGGATCGTTGGCTGAACTTAAAGGTAAAATGCTTAAAGCTGACTTAGATCAATCAAAATTTAGCGTAAAAGACATAAATTCTTCATTCAAATTAATTGATTACAGGAAATTTCCTAATTTATTAGATCTAGTGCAGATTACGTGACGCCTTTCTCTCAGTGATTAATGATTTAATATTGTATTTGAAAAAAAAAACTTATTAAAAATGCTTATTATAAGGTATCCGATTTATATAACAGATAAGAACGCTTGGACTTTGATGATCCAGCAACTGGATTGGTGATTGCTTCTAAACTCATTATTTTGTTTCCATTATTATTAAATGATTATGTTATCATTATAAGACCATGGTTTTTTTTTCTCTCTCTGTTTATAATGTATTGATCTGGTAATGACATGGTTTTTGTAAATGTCATTACTCTTATTAGAGCTGGTGAGTTTCTTGCTCGTTCTTCTTATCAGCTAAAAGACGTCCTGAACGAGTGGTAGGGAAAAAAAAATGTTGGACGATTCAAAAGTACTTTTAAGAAGTCTATTTGAATAAAGATTATTTTGACTTTGACTTTGAATATGAAACAGCATACTCATCAAATGACATCACGCTCACTGAGCTGCCGTTTCCGCGGCTTTTAAATGGTTTGAATTTAAACATATTATGTTGGCTTATTTATATAAATATAATTTTTGTGGGACTAATGACACAATTTTAAAATTTCTTGCAGGTTTTGAAGTGAAACGTCGCGGTGAATTGCAGCTGATTAAAATCTTCCAATCGTCAGTATTCGAAGCTTTCCTCAAAGGCAACGATTTGAAGTCTTGCTACAGTGCCGTAGCACGGGTGGCCGACTATTGGCTAGACGTTCTATACAGTAAAGGGTCCAACATGCCCGACTCTGAGCTGTTCGAGTTGATATCTGAAAATCGCTCCATGTCCAAGAAGTTGGAAGACTACGGTGGACAAAAGTCAACGTCGATTTCGACTGCGAAGAGGCTGGCTGAGTTTTTGGGCGATCAAATGGTCAAAGACGCTGGACTTGCTTGCAGGTCAGTGACGTTATAGTACAAAAAATCACTTAACGTACAAAAAGTCTGCATAATATTTTTATCTCTTCAATGCATATCATATTGAAATACAAATAAAATTAAATATATTCATAATTTATTATACAATATATATTCTAAAACTCATTTAGACAAGGATAGCTGTATATATACCCACTTACAATGTTATAGTCATAATCTCTAACGGCACAGGTGTGATAAGGGTAGAAATTATATCTTAGTTCTTGTTTCAGTAAAAAAAACTCTTTAAGTTGAAAATATTAAAACTAAATAATAATAAATGAGCGAATTTATTAGGTATTATTATTTTGAACGTCTACAAAACCTGTTTATAGATTCATAATATCACGTAAGCCTGAAGGCGCTCCGGTAACAGAGAGGGCGATACCTTTAGCGATATTCCAATCACCGGCGGCGGTGCGACGTCATCATCTACGACGATGGCTCAAAGACAGTAGTGTTACTGAAGACCTGGACATACGTGATGTACTCGACTGGGCTTACTACATAGAACGGCTCAGTGGTGCTATACAGAAGATCATCACCATCCCAGCCGCTATGCAGGGGGTAAGCAATATTTCTAGCTATTTTTGCTTGCGATGATCTATGAACGTAGATTAAACCGAAATTAATATTGACCTACCTGTTTTATACAAGTACTATATTATTATACTATACTTCATTAGTTCAGTAAAAATACCACAATAAATATATATTTTGGATTTATGTCACCAATTTGGCAACGTCAATTTATCCTTACGATGGGGTGACAAACCTTTTTTCTGCCACTGTACATAATGGAATGACATCTTTTCTAAGAACGGATTTTTCCGGTTTTTAATGCTTATTTTAATTAAAATAAATATAAGTACTATTTCAAACAGCGTAGAATACCCTATTACAACAGAATCTTTTAATCACAATCCAATATATGATGAATTGTTTATAGTTGGATAATCCAGTACCCCGCGTGCAGTATCCAGACTGGTTACACAAGAAAATGCTCGCGAAGCAAGACAAATACAAGACTAGAAAGATCACTGACATGTTCAGCGCCCAGCCCAAAGAAATGAAGGATAAAGACGACGCTGAGGCGTCTGGGAGTAATCAGCAAGGAAGTATGGTATGCAAGGTCACATCAAGAAGTACACTATAAGATGCAATAATTATGCAACCGCGCAAAAACTTTGTGGGTAGTTGGGTGAAATGCTTTTTCGTTTAGACATTCGGCATCTGTACAACATAATTGGTGAACATAAGCTATATTTTATCCCGAAAAACAGTAAATAAAGGGATGAAAATGGGAGTGGCGATTTGTATAGGGAATTGAAACGATACCATAGTAACCATTGTTTATTATTTAATTTGTCATTGTCATATCCATGTCAAGGTATGAATTGATATAAAAATAAACAGACCCCTAGGGACCACGCGGGCGAAGTATTGTTATATTATGGAAATTTGAAAAAACATTGCTGCAGGTTTATCGTATTTTTTATTATTAATTCTATTCCCAAATTGTCAATTAGTACGCGTATGTCTCGGGAATAACTTATCAGGAATATAATGTAAAAATAAAGTATCTAATTTAAATGTACTGTACCATTATCGTTACAATAATTACATAACTAAATGAAAAACATGCTTGATAAAACGACTCTTTTGATGAGTGTATTGCATCTTGGGCTTGCTACCACACCCTTCTCCCATCGCGTACTCCTTAGGGTTGCTGAGTTTAGACTATTAGTCTGCAAGCTTTAATTTTATGTTGATTTTACGGGTCTCCGTGATTAGTTCTTTGTGAAATATGTATTTTTTATTTTGTATACAGGACACAGAAGTGGATATCGAAGATATAGGTAAAGAGAGCAAAGGTAATGGGAACGTCATCCGACCCGTAGTTAACACTGTGAAGCGAAAACGAGAGGAGTCTCCTGTCAAGGATGCCGCGACCTGGCGCGAAGCTCTCGGACCACCTCCTCCGTTCGGAACTACCAAAGTGAGGATATGTTTAAAATCATAAGCAGGAACATTTTTATTTTAGTGCCCAAATTTTAGTATTGTTTTAGTATGTTACTAACATTAGAGATAGAGTAGAAAAAACATTTCTTTAAAAATAATCATACTTATGGTCACCCTATTGTATGCGGAGGTAAATGTCCTCACAGACGATCTACTTTTATCGATATACTATAATTTGATTATAATTTTTATATATAAAAAGAATGTAGTTAGTTTAGCTCTCTCTACTAATTGGTCAGTATGACTAATTTGCACATTTAATTTTAGGAAGAACGCCGGGCATGGATAGTATTCCAAAAAAAGAAATGGATGTGGCAAATGGAACAGCGTGGTTTACGCAAGCGCGGCAAGCGTGGTGAGGACTTATTCTAATAGAAAATCTGTTAAGTTTGTTCTCTATTTATCGAGTTGAGGTAGTAGTATTGCTCTCGTAGTTATCACCAACTGCAAACAAGCGACAAGGACAAAGTGATACAGTATGTATTTCATTTGTGCCCTATAAAATTTATTAGTTTGAAATGTGAAATTTAAATGTTCACATATAAACCACTACGCGAGTATCCGATATTGTTGCATAAATAGATTCATACATTTTGTAAATTAAACATTCTCTCTTTTTATATTTCAATAGGTAAAATGGACGATAGTAGCGCTATGCCGCCCCCTAAGTATTCGGGCCCGACTAATACATTAGGAGGATTTATTAGGAAAGCCCAAAGGACTCTACTTAACACGCCTTGGCAAGTTATCCAAGTGAGTAGCTATATTTGTAATTTACAAAGTGAATGTTGACTATACTCAGAAAAGTGATTTAATTTGTACATGGCGTGTACAAACACAAGCAGAACATCATATAGTACCACCAAAACTGCAAATGCTTTTGAACTTTATTGGCAATAGATTAAGGTATTATCGTTAGGACATTTGTCAGATTCATATAACTTCTTTAGGATCTACTTAACGTCCCTCAGAATATCTGAGGTACCAGAATAGTTTTTCAATTTCAGTTTCTACCCTTCCAGCAGTACAACCCTCATCATGCTGACTGTCATATCAATATATTAATACAAATAACTGACACGCTCGAATGTTCCAATTTTACAGTTCCGTACCCAAAGGGTTAAAAACGGGACCTTCTTAAAAAGACTCCGCTGTCCGTCTGTCTGTTCCTCTGTCACCAGTGTATCTCATAAACCGTGATAACTAGACAGTTGAAATTTTCACAGATGATGATATTTCTGTTGCCGCTATAGAAACATATTTGTATGTATATTGCAAAATTAGGTCGTATACACCACGTAAAAATAGAAAGGTTGGAACAGTTGGGAAACTGATAATTACATTGCAAAGTTAGGTCAAGTACAGAAAGTTAGTCAAACAAATGTTGTTTAGGTAGCAGAAACAGGCGAGCCGGGCTTATTCAAACTGTGGGCACTAGTTGGGTCCGAGTTGCATCAGATCAAGTTGACTGTGCCCCGTATATTCTACGTGAACCAGCGCGTCTGTAGGCCGACTGACAGCGGCCAGTACTGGCGCAAGTGTAACAGGATATTGCCAAGGGCTCATCCGGTGTTACATCTGTACCAGTATACTGTACCTGAACAACTGTACAGGGAACATCAAGAGTGAGTAAATATAATCTGTAGTATATTCAAAATTTTGTATAAATTATGTTATTGTAAGATAAAATTTTCTTAAAACATAGTAAGTGTTGAATAATATATTTATTGTATTTATAGAAAGCCTGATGAAGAGATATACTAAAAACACACTGCGATAGATTCAAAATAGTATTTCCCATCTTTATAAATACAATGAGTATGGTCTGTCCATACACATTATATAAAACATTAGAAATCTTCCACTTTGAATACTATTATCACTACTGCATTTTGTTGCACTAGGCCTCGATTCTGAAATTTTTTATATAATAATCGCATCTCAATTGAATCCTTCTCCTCCTCACTCACAAATCCTCACAAATCAATGTTGACAGATATTTTTTAATATTATTTTGTGATCGTGTAACAAGAATTGTGTTATAAAGGGTTGTAGTTGAGGCGCTATTGACATTTCATAATTACGCTAGCATCAGCAGAATTGCTCTGCTGGACTCTATAATTCATTGACCCCAACCCGTACAACAGTATTCCAAAGCAGCAGTCTAATGAAACGATATAGATTTCTATGAATAGCGATACATATCGCTTAATATAATGCTCATGTAATACTTTGGATTATTACGATTACGCTTTTTAACAAGATTATAAAAAAAAAAGAATTTGAAAACAACAATTAAAATTGCATATATCTTTTACATAGAGAATTAATGGGTGAACTGTCCACCCCGGAGATAGAAGGCATATACGAGACTCAAATGAGTTTGGAGTTCAGGGTGCTCGTCCAACTTGGCTGCATTTGTAGTGTGGATCAACAGGAAGCGAGACGGTTGGCTATTATTACATTATTATTTAAAATTATGTCTTTAAAAAAAAACGAAAGCACTAAAAAAACACCTCTGCTAGATGGCAACTCTAGCAAAAGTTGATTTTTGCAGGAAACGAATGGACCAAAGATAGTCGTTTCTGTTCCTTTTAACTAACAATAAAAACTGAAATTTAAAAAGTTCGAAACTTAGATATCAATACAATACGAAAAAGTACAAATGGAATATGAGTTGTTTATGAAAGAAAACCGGAAGGGTTTTCATGGAGAAATCAAGAACGTACCGTAGCGTGATTTCGGGAACTAATGTTTTTTTTTTAAATACTTCCTGGTATTAATTTCAAAAAGCATGGTATTAAAGACGGCTGAATGATTGAAAGCTCCTACTAGACGCAAATACCATTATAGGAATAAGGACAACTTTTTGTTTGTTTATAATCTATTTGACAGAGATAGATTAATAAAAAATATTAAACACGTATTTTACGTACAATTTATTCGTAATCAATAAATTGTGGCGATTTCAATAAATTGAGTGCATTTTCTACATAGCTGTGACGTAGCGAAACCGCACTTCTTAACTTTAATGCCTATCATCCAAGGCATTTCTTGTTAAATTGTTTATTATCATCATCCCTAATATACATATTTACTTATTCTAAATAAAGACATTATGACATGTTCAAAGCATTTTGTTTACTCTACTTAAACGGATTTCAGGCTTATTCAATTCGGCTCAAACAACATGGACTCGTTCACATTAAGCCAACTACAGTTTAAGAGTGTCGCACATCAACCTTACCTACAAAAACAGGTAGGAATATTTACCTATTTATTTATTTATCTTTTTACATTTGTGCTATTTAAATGCTGAACAATTTGTGTACAACAGGACGGCGTTTCACCCATGAAACACATATACCTATATCAACATTCGGCACTGAACTCTAGTCGCAGTATGTGGGCGCTCATCCTTGGGCCGAGCAAGCGCGGGTACATGTTCGTACTCGACACGGTACGAACCAATCAACTACCTAACTTGAATACCCTCTACTCGACAGAAAGGACCGCCAAGTAAGACTTATAATTTGCTGTTTAAAATTCAATTTCTTTAGTAATAATAAAAAGGTTGATTTTTGGAAGAATACTTCAGTGAGTATATTTGCTGGATGGGAGATTGCGGCTGTCTATTTGTTGTATCGTTATTATTTTGAAAAAAAAAGTTGTAGGATAGATTTATAATCCACGATCTTCACTAATCGGGTGACGGCGCGTCGGGGAGCCATTTCACGCTGTGCTAAATGAAATTAAGACCTCTACACTATTAGTAATTGTGTACATTCCGTAAATGAGCAGAACAAAAATCGGCATTTGCAGTAAAGAATTTTCCGAATATCAAAGAGTTTATTATTGGTAAATTTATACTATTTCCCTTTACAAAACCGTCTTCCATGCTATTATTTAAATTAAAGTAACATTAACGTGATGATCTTAGTTTGAAACTTGATTTGATAACCATTTAGTTTTGTACACTTATCTTTCATAGAATCAATCTAGGCAGCGACGAAAGTACTCTTCCCGGTGCTGAACTAACATGGGAAGTGGCCGTGGAGAGTGAAGCGCGGGCTGTATGGCGCGGTATACAGCGCGCGCTGCTCCGGTACCGCGACGAGCGCTGCGGGCCCACGCTGCTGGCCCTGCAGGCCGCGCTGTCCGCGCCCGCGCTGCTGGCACTCATGCCCGGTATGTGGGGGATATATATACATATACAGGTACCGCGACGAGCGCTGCGGGCCCACGCTGCTGGCCCTGCAGGCCGCGCTGTCCGCGCCCGCGCTGCTGGCACTCATGCCCGGTATGTGGGGGATATATATACATATACAGGTACCGCGACGAGCGCTGCGGGCCCACGCTGCTGGCCCTGCAGGCCGCGCTGTCCGCGCCCGCGCTGCTGGCACTCATGCCCGGTATGTGGGGGATATATATACATATACAGGTACCGCGACGAGCGCTGCGGGCCCACGCTGCTGGCCCTGCAGGCCGCGCTGTCCGCGCCCGCACTGCTGGCACTCATGCCCGGTATGTGGGGGATATATATACATATACAGGTACCGCGACGAGCGCTGCGGGCCCACGCTGCTGGCCCTGCAGGCCGCGCTGTCCGCGCCCGCGCTGCTGGCACTCTTGCCCGGTATGTGGGGGATATATATACATATACAGGTACCGCGACGAGCGCTGCGGGCCCACGCTGCTGGCCCTGCAGGCCGCGCTGTCCGCGCCCGCGCTGCTGGCACTCATGCCCGGTATGTGGGGGATATATATACATATACAGGTACCGCGACGAGCGCTGCGGGCCCACGCTGCTGGCCCTGCAGGCCGCGCTGTCCGCGCCCGCGCTGCTGGCACTCATGCCCGGTATGTGGGGGATATATATACATATACAGGTACCGCGACGAGCGCTGCGGGCCCACGCTGCTGGCCCTGCAGGCCGCGCTGTCCGCGCCCGCGCTGCTGGCACTCATGCCCGGTATGTGGGGGATATATATACATATACAGGTACAGCGACGAGCGCTGCGGGCCCACGCTGCTGGCCCTGCAGGCCGCGCTGTCCGCGCCCGCGCTGCTGGCACTCATGCCCGGTATGTGGGGGATATATATACATATACAGGTACCGCGACGAGCGCTGCGGGCCCACGCTGCTGGCCCTGCAGGCCGCGCTGTCCGCGCCCGCGCTGCTGGCACTCATGCCCGGTATGTGGGGGATATATATACATATACAGGTACCGCGACGAGCGCTGCGGGCCCACGCTGCTGGCCCTGCAGGCCGCGCTGTCCGCGCCCGCACTGCTGGCACTCATGCCCGGTATGTGGGGGATATATATACATATACAGGTACCGCGACGAGCGCTGCGGGCCCACGCTGCTGGCCCTGCAGGCCGCGCTGTCCGCGCCCGCGCTGCTGGCACTCTTGCCCGGTATGTGGGGGATATATATACATATACAGGTACCGCGACGAGCGCTGCGGGCCCACGCTGCTGGCCCTGCAGGCCGCGCTGTCCGCGCCCGCGCTGCTGGCACTCATGCCCGGTATGTGGGGGATATACACTGATGATCATATAATTAAAAACACTTCTTATGAATAAAGAAAGTATAACTTTAACGTACAAGTATTCTTGAAAAATATATGTATTCAATTATTAATAATCGTGCAATTATATTTTGGCGGCAAAAAAAGGGAGGTCGCAATCGATTGATTACTGTAATATCGATTTTTATTAATAATCATTAGTTTATAATTTCATTATAAAATAACTATTTTCCTCTAAGTAAATATATAATATAAGATTTGTATCAAATTCGATTAGTCAGAAATAAAATCGATCTTGTTCTTTGAAAAGAGATTGACTTCTCTAGGAATGACATTATTCGTTAATTACAGATGCGTTCAAAAATAACACAATTTAAACTGCATTCTAAAAAGTAAAGACATATTTTAGAGAGGATTATCTTTCTTTTCCCAGCTTTTAAAAATAAGTTGTTGGTATATAATAATTACATTCAACTTATATTACATTTTGGCGATAGTTCCATCTTGGCAACAAGAACTTTTTTCGTAGTCCTACATTCATAACAATAAGGTTTTAAATTGATCGTTGTTGACTGTAAATACATAATTACGTCTCGGGAGAAGCGCGCATTGCTATTTCAACGTAAGAATCGAACTGAAAGCTATTCGCATTACCTTACCAAAATTAGAGCTTCCAAACGCCCTATGTGTAGTACTGAGTAAGTAAAACATCCACAGCTCTGTCAGACTTCCCCCTGGTACCTCTTCACGTGCGCGATGTGGAAACGTTATACAACACGCTGGAATGGCAGCGTATAGGCGCTCGTGCCATCATACGCCATTACCTCAATCTGGAGTCCGTGCTTCAACTCACCATAGAACAGTGCAGGTTTGTTGATACTATATTTACTGCTTTTGGTTGATTTTGATTTCAAAAATGTTAAATTATAAAACCACATTTTTTAAAAAGATTTTTCAAAATTACTATACACACTCTGGTTATTTTAAAATTAAATAAAAATAATGCAAATTAACTGTATTAGGGAACTTGGCTCATGTCGGCGTTTTAATTTTGAATAACAATCCACCAAAAACTTAAATTTAAAAGGTTGCTTTTTCGACTTAATCACTAAAGAAATATTGTAGCGCTACTAACTTCAGTAGCAACTGATACTCAAAATATTTAAAATGCTTTTTGTTGTTTTTGATTTAAATAATAAATAAACATAACAATTTAAAACCTACAGCAAACACTAGTTCATGAATTTGTTAAAGATGATACGCTCATATTATGTATTTCTCGTGCAGATATTTCCACGTGCCTTTAGGCAACATGCCCGCAGATCCTACCGTGTTCGGAGCGGATTTATTCTACGCACGGCATCTCGTCAAACACAACTTCGTTCTATGGTGTTCTAGTCTTGAAAGACCAGATCTGGGCGGCCGCGAGACTGACGACAATAGGTAAGTATCGTCAGAGGAAAGTAATAAAATAGATGTACATGGCAATGGATCCGTTTATATTTATTTAGGATTCAAACTTCGACGAACGATCGGTAATAATATCAAGGGTTGAAAAGCTTATTCTTGGTTATGTGCATATTCTAAAATAAATGATTTACAAAATGTTTAATAGATTAGAGTTGTAGTTTTTCATATTTTATTTATTTGTGTAAATTTATACTAATATCATAAAGAGGACAGATTATTTGCTTGTTTGTTTATTTACAAAAATTGTTTATAAAACAAGATATGATATTAAATTTTTTCCCTTAAATCTCCTTTTAATTACTCCATCGGTGTTTTTGTTAAGTAATAAAAATTTAATCAAAGATTTGGGGTCATTTAAAAATTGTTTATAAAACAAGATATGATATTAAATTTTTTCCCTTAAATCTCCTTTTAATTACTCCATCGGTGTTTTTGTTAAGTAATAAAAATTTAATCAAAGATTTGGGGTTATTTAAAAATTGTTTATAAAACAAGATATGATATTATTTTTTTTCCCTTAAATCTCCTTTTGATTACTCCATCGGTGTTTTTGTTAAGTAATAAAAATTTAATCATAGATTTGGGGTCTTAGAGAGTGCAGTTGGCCGAAGTTTTGATAAAATGAAGTATTGTTCGAGTAAAACACTACCCTGTGTAAATAGTTGAGTTTTTTTAAGTTATTAGATATATGACTAAAATATAAACTACAACTACTTAGTTAATTGACCGCGCTCAAAAGTAGGTTGCAGGATCAGCATTAAATATAAATTAGTAATTGTACGTGATCGTACACGTAGTTTTGTTTACAAACAGACATGTTATTGAAATTTTATCTAAAAAATTAAATATTTTATACGAAAAGCATCTCTATTAACTAATTCAACACCAACTTACCGGTTTTCGATCGTCGCTATGTTTTGCTTCGTTACACAGGCTGGTGAGCGAGATAGAGGAAATGTGCGGGTGCAGCCACAACGCGAGCGGCGCGTACGCGAGCGTGTGCGTGGAGGTGGAGAGCGACGCGCTGGCGGTGTGCGCGCTGTTGCAGGCGCAGCACGTGCTGCAGGCGGAGGGCACCAGCGCGGCCACCAGTTTCGGGGCCCAACACGCCAACATACAGGACGCCATGGCCAACACGGGTACCTACGCGACACATATACGGCCGTTGCTCCGTACACCTCCAGGGGTGATACTGTGACGCGGTGAAATTGGCCCGTTATATAGTCCGTTCCACATTGCATGGGTACGGCGACGTTTGTTGAGGAATCCATTTGGCGAAATTTTTATTTCCAATTAACTAAAAACCATCGTTTGACTGTAGATATATTAGATAATTTTTAAATTTGCATAATCAAACAAAAAAAATAATATCTATAATTACTGAAATCTATCCCTCTAGAGTTTAAAACATCAATACTTGTTATGAAAATTGGAACGTTTTTTTTTAATAGATATTGCACCAATAAAATCGTTTTAATCGAAATATGTATTCACTAATCATTTGACAATTGTTTTATTATTGTTGTCGTAACATCTTGTTGATGAATATATATTTTTTATAAATTCTGTTTAATAAATAGATCTCAAAATCGATTATGTCTATTAGAAATAAGCTCAATGATGTAAAGTTTTTGTTTATATTTATTTTTACTACCACATCGTTAAAAACTTCAAATCCTAAACGTCAACTTACCCATGCTATGTGAAAAAGACTAATATTATAATAATGACTAGCAGTTTCCACACTGCTGTCGAATCCATATTCATCATTCTTTATCATTCGTTCTTCTTTATTAAAGTACATGTCAAAGTAGTAGAACTAGACGAAATATTACTATAACACAGCCACATGTAACGTATGGCTAAATTTGTAGCTAGAGTTAGGCGGTCGCTCTGCACGAGTCACTTATTGATGTGAAGGTGCCGGGAACGTTTCTGGCGGAGCTGAGTTGTATGGAGTAACTTTCCGGCGGAAGTTTGCCTATCAATTTTTATAAACCATCGGATGTTGGAGAGTTGTTTCAGCATATAATTTTGAGCCCTCTGTATGTTGCTTATATTAGAGTCACGCGCTGTGCCCCAGAGCTGAATTCCATAAGTCCAGACAGGCTTTATTATGGTTTTATAGACGAATAACTTGTTCTCCAGCAACAGTTGAAAGTTTCTTCCCAACATCAACTTTCTGAATCTGAAAGTTTATGTTGGGAAGAAAGTTATTTTTGAGCTGAATTGCTTTGACATAGTTGATGTCCACGTAGTGAGATTGGAAGACGCTTTCCCTTACGAAGAGTAAAAGCCACGTGTACCGATTTTGCAGCACTTGATTTTTTTCTTTACTTGGCCAACAACGGATCTATTGCGGAAAGATTATGTTGCAGTTTTAGTGAGGCTTCATTGGGGCATTTGGTTCGCACCAAAATGGTATTGTCATTTGCGCAAGTGGTCACTGTGACGTCTTCCGGTTGTGGTAAATCATACGCGTAAATCACGTAGAGCATTGGCCCCAACACGGAACCCTGTGGCACACCAGCTAAGATTAAGTAGAATTAGGATGTGCAGTTGTCTTACGTAATTTTGAATATTCTCTCTATAAAAAATAAGTGTAGGGAAGCTGTTTTGTCTTACATAATAAGTCTTTGTGCCAGACTTTGTCAAATGCCTATTTTATAACAAGAAATACAGATGTACAGTATTCTTTCTGCTCAAGGGTTTCCCGAATCTCTTTATACACTCTATGAACTTGTTGTTGCCTAAAGCCAAATTGGTGATTTGGTATTATGGACCTCTCTGCTAGTTCTCCTGACAGTCTGGATAAGAAAACTTTATCAAACAACTTGGAGATTATTGGTAACAAGCTTATTGACCTGTATGAGGATATTTCGTGGATTGCTTTTCCTGGCTCTTGAATCATGATGATTTCTGAGACTTTTCTGATAGCTGGAAAGTAACCAGTTGTCGTGATTCCGTTAAATAATGTTGTTAAAAGCATAATAGCTCTTTTTTTGTAAGTTTACTCAATAGTCTATTATCAATGAGGCCAAACTATTTGCTTTTTTTTTTTCTTATTACGCTTGATGATTTCTCTTCATTAAGTACATCATCTAACAGCCAGTTGCACAAACAGCCATTAATATTTTCATTACTTTAAAGTGACATTACCCATACAATTTTGACATTCATTAGAGTTTTAAACCGTCATTAAACTTTAATGAACGTTTGAGCAACTGGCTGTATGTCTTTCTCGTCAAAAGCCAGGTCTGCTTCATTTGGCTTAAATATGCCTGCCAGATAATTCCCAAACGGATGCGTTTTTTCCTTCTTTGATCTGGCCACACATTATGTCTCAATTTAATTGGTGGTTTATGCCCTATGAAATAGTTGAGGTCACTCTCTTTAAATGATTCTAAGTAACTTGCTATGGTCTCATTATTTGCTTTGTTAAGTACAACGTTAAGAACTTATATTGCCTTGTTAAGTGCAGTTTTATCTTTTGGGTGTCTACTGACATGCTATCTTTGACGCATTCTTTTTTATTTCTATTGGAACTTTATGGTGTCTCGGTTTAAAATTCAGTTCAGATGTGCACTTCCAACAAGCAGTCTGAGTAGCAGTGGTAAATGAGTAGGTGGCATATCTGCGTCATTTTCAGTTTTCAAAGCTACTGGCAATTTGAGTTTAGCATCAATTTTTTCACGAAACGCCTCTCAATCAGTGTGTTTGTTGTATGGGTAAGGGTGTTTTTTACAATTTATCACTTCTATGCTAATTGTCAGTGTAACTGGGATATGATTAGAAGATCCATCAAGTCAGGAGTGGATATTGTGGAAAGAGCTAGACATTTCTTTCACAATAAACAAAACCAGCACATATGGCTGCCTGTTTGGATCGGGAGGCTAGTGTGTTACTTCTAGCGTAGCTATAGTCTTAAGGTTGTTATTTTGGGTACTCTTCTGCAGTTCTCTACCTCTTGTTGTTGTTATCCTTGAGTACTATTGTAGTTGTTTGAAATTACAATCACCGCCAGCCACGAATCGGTGGCAACCAAAACATTCGCTAAAAATGGGACTCAATTCTATTAAAATAGCAATAACATTGGTCATCCCCACTTTTACTCCCTCCCTCCCTTCTTAATTTGAAACAGCTATACCGATTTAAATCTAACTTACCGTATAATAATATAAGTTCAAATAACTTCACGCTTTCAATAGGTAATCTATACTAATATTATAAATCTGAAGAGTTTGTTTGTTTGTTTGATTGCTTGAACGCGCTAATCTCAGTAACTACTTGTCATAGTGTACCTATAGTATTCTCGGAGTCATGACAAAATATGTATGTAATCCAACATTTTGTGGCGACGGCCATCTTGTATATAAAATTTTGTCATAGTATAGAGTATTCTACTACTCAAGCCCTTTTATTTGATATCCGTATTGAGGGAGTCGTGACAAAATATGTAGCTAATCCAACATTTTTAGTGGCGGCCACCTTGGATTTGAAAATTTTCATAGTATATAGTATTCTACTACTCAAGCCCTTTTATTTGATATCCGTATTGAGGGAGTCGTGAGAAATATGTAGGTAATTCAACATTTTTGGTGGCGGCCATCTTGGATTTAAAATTTGTCATAGTGTTCAGTATTCTACTACTCAAGCCCTCTTATTTGATACCCATATTGATGCAATCGTGACAAAATATGTAATCCGACATTTTGTGGCGGCGGCCATCTTGGATCGATTTTCATCAAACATAGTGAAGGACACTCCCGACTAATACATCGGGGGGGGGGGGGTTAAAAAGAATTTCAGTTAGTTTATGTCTAGGAGGACAATAAACGGCCGAGATGGTAAAGTCCTCATTTTTGTCGGTAATGACAACAGATGTTGTTTGTATCTGTGTTTCGTTGCATCCATTTCAAGACCACTAAATCTGTTAGAGGTTTCAATTCTGTCTGAAGGTTGACACTTTCTTCCTTTTGGTATTCCGAATTGCAGGTACTCTTTGCCAGTCAGGTGGCATATCTCTGTTGTTTTGAAAGTAGGCCCTTTATCCGCAATTGTATTATTAGTCCTTGGTTGAGTGCTCGTAGAAATACTTGGACTGCTGAATTTTTTATTTTATTTTATTTTATTTATTCAGGTAACAAACAGTCACATACAGATAATGTTGAAGCTACTGTTAAACAGACCTATAGTACCATAAATTGACAGCATAATAATATCGATAGCAAGCAGTGCATGTAAGTGGCGAACATCACATAAACAGTGCACTAATATCAACCAAAACTACGGCCATAGACCACCCATTTTAAAGGGAATGAAAATATATCTCATATGAGCCACATTAATTATTACAACATCACTATTTAAATGATAATTCTCCTACTCTTGTCTGAAAACATTAATTGAGATTGAAAAAATATCTATCTCATTCAAAAACCCATTGTAAAAATTACATGTTCTCCTGAGAAAGGTATATTTCGTATGACAAAACGCAATTCAAAAAGTATCCTTCGAACGTGTTGAGGATCGAGGAACCCTCAGTGATATTTTTCGTAACAAAGCTGCCGAATCAATATGACCGTGAATTAGCTTATACAGAAATATAGAATCTAAGTAGTGTCGCCTACTGGATAGTGATTGTATTTTATGTTTTCTTGCGCTCTCTTCGTAATCATGGCAATAAAAGCCAGCTTTGTAATTCAATGATTTCAAGAACTTGCGCTGAACACGTTCTATTCTATCCTTATGGACTGCATACTGAGGATTCCAAACTACACTACCAAATTCGAGAATGCTGCGAACGTAGGCGCTATATAAAATCTTAAATCTATTACTATTTTTGAAAACCTTACCCAAGCGAAGGATCAAGCCCAACTGTTTATATGCCTTTGCTATTATATAATAAATATGTAAGTTAAAATGTAGTTTCGAGTCTAAAATTATACCAAGATCACGGATTGAATTAACACGAGTTATGCTTTGATCAGAGACTATAATCAAAGTGAATATGGTTATGTTTACGAGTAAAAGTTATTATATTACATTTACGAGTAAAACGACACCTTGAAACCGGCGTGCGAACTACCTCCGTAGCCGAGTAGTTCGCACGCCGGTTTCAAGGTCTCGGGTTCGATTCCCGGTCGGGTCAATGTAGAAAATGAACTTTTCTATATTGATTCGGGTCTGGGTGTTGTGGTACCTTCGTTGTCTCAGATACTCCATAATACGGGGGCTTTAGCTACTCATCTTGGAATCTGAGCAATCTATGTGATGTTGTTAAATATTTATTATTTATTTATCTAAATTCAAGGACAAATGATTAGCTCTACAAAAATGTTCAAAATTATTTAAATCTTCTTGCAATTTTTCACAATCATCGAGACTACGAATCATCTTGTAGATTTTTGTATCATCTGCATACATAAGAAAATGAGACATCTACATCATTTACATATAAAGAAAATAGGAAAGGGCCCAAATGGGACCCCTGAGGAACTCCCGAAGGAATATTAAGGAATCTAGATCGGTAACCCTTAAGCGCAAGAGCTTGACTTCGAATCTGATGTATGATTCGATCCATCTAAGTAGGTCACCATGTACACCGATCCCCAGAAGCTTTTCTATTATGACACTATGATTAATTTTATCAAAAGCCCTGGAGAAGTCGGTATATACGGCGTCCACCTGATATCCAATATCCAATGCATTCAGCACGAAATCAGTGTATTCAACCAAATTCGTATTAACACTGCGACCGCCGATTAATTTCTTATTTCAAGTAACATTAACAACCACTGGGGCTTAGTCGCCTACTCCAATGGTGTCTTCCGTGACAGATTTCACACTCTCCAGTCCGGGTACTAGAAAGCGCCGGAGGGTAACCGGATGGCATGACAAATCAAAGGACATATTCATAAGAAATGATGCGATAATTTAAAGTTGTATTTTCTCAAGATACTATTGTCGCCATGTTTTAAAGGTATTTAGTGCCTTTTGGCTAGTGGGAGCCATAAACAGGTTATTAGACCGCCGCCGTAAAGGAGTTAATAATGATTAGAGTTGTTACACGTCTTCCAATAACTGCCACAGGTCCGAACGCATCGGTGAATTACGACGAGACGGCGCAATGTAATGCAGCGTTCAAGATCCTTCGCACAATGGTAGCGTCATGGTTGCGTGACGTCACACAGTACAAGAACGTGTTCGCAGACTACCAGATATCACACTTCTACAGGTCTCGAAACATTATATTTATTCTATTCGCTTTAATACAAAATTAATAAATTCTACAATCTATATTGAACTCAACTATTAATAGATTAAGGCTTATAAAACTCGGGAGATGACCTGATTTACGCATTGGACAGTCAACAACAGTCAGGTTACACAAAATTGTCTAATTTATATATATTAAACCTTAATAAATCGAGGGTGGAGCTCAAATGAAATTTTGGTATGACATATTGTGATAAATTGACGTGCAGCCGTGTGTCCTCCTTGATACCCGATTTGTTCACTGTGAGTTTAAATTAGACTATAGAATAGATAATTAGCCAGCTACGTTGATCTATCAAATTCTATAAAATATATTTTATAGAATTTGATAGATTTCTCAATTTTTGTCACAACTTTTCAAATGATGCTTTATTTTAACAACGATGAATATTCTCATTATTTTACTATATAACTTAAATAACATTTTTTAGTCGGTTGTTTAAAATCACTTTATATAATTGCACAGATGGCTGAAAACACCTACTTCGTTATTGTATGACCCGGCGTTACGTCGCACTCTATACAATCTGATGAAGAAACTGTTCCTCATGCTGGTGGCCGAGTTCAAGAGACTAGGCTCTATCATAGTGTACGCTGACTTCAACAAGATTATACTATGTACTAAGAAGCATTCTGTTCTGGATGGCATTGGTTAGTTTTACTTATTACTTTTTCAAATTCAAGCTAAAAGATAAATTTCGGAACGCGGCAAATGTCTGCCCATCAGAATGATACAAGTATCATGCCATCAGGCGATCCACCAATATAGATAATATATCTACACGTTCATAAAATTTATCTTGTTTTTGTCTAGTGTACTCTATTAGTTTTTTAAAGAACAAATTAATTTACGCCCTGTCGGTTCTCGGTACAAGGTCTCCCGCTGTAGATTTACGAACGAATGCCATAGAGTTTCGACTTACACAAGTAACAGCCCAGACTAAATAAATGATTTTGATTTGATTTGTAAAAAAGATTAATATGTTCTGGTTTTCTTATATGTTTTGATATAAGCAACTGTTACACTATCTAATATTATAATTATGTTTAGGTTACGTGGAATTCGTAGTCCAGAGTATCCGCAACAAGGAACTGTTCCACGGTATCGACATCCGATACAAGCAGTGCTGGTCTTATTTACTTTGGCTAGATGAAGCAAACCACGCCGGAGTGCAGGTGATTCACGAATAGGGAGATATAATAGCGCCATTTTAAACCTGATTGTATTATCTATTCAAATATAACTTTATATATATTGTACTGTTGGTATCCGAATTTGTAGATCGGTGTCTCTGAAAGAGATTTCATATAAAATTGATCCCAGACGAAATGCGATTCAGTACGATATGGACTAGTTTATATGATTAAAAAAGAGATTTAAGAAATACCATATTACGTGGAAAGTTACATTTTTCGACATACTGTATACTAAATATACGACATATATTAAACAATAATATATTTTTTGAACACTATGTTCAGGGTAAATTACCACCGGGCTTAGTGGAAGTGGGCTCATCGCAAGTGCTGTCATCGGAACAAGCTGAAGATGAAGAGGTAAATTTTTATTCTCTTTTCCTATATTTAAGGTTAATTTTGATACAACTGAGCTCTTGGATAAGTTAGTTTTAGTATTAAAAAGTAAGACTCGAAACATAGAAATTCTAATTTTGAGTTACAAAGTCGCACGATTATCTTAAAATAAGTCGTAATATTTTGTCAGTGTGTCACGTGACTTGAAAGACGACCCTCCATTGTGTGACGTCGTAAAGATATGCCTATTATTAATTATAAAACTAATTTCTATATGGGGCTGTTCTTAGCTCATTTATATCTTTTTATTTCGTAATCGATCGTTAGATGTCATTGTTCTTGTTTTATTGACATCTTTTAATCTTCTACTCTATGCATCTGTTTTGTGCATAGAGTTAAGGTTTTGTGTACATATCACAATGGCATCATGAATATGACGGACAGCGTTTTTGCGGGTATGCACAAGGTTTAAATTTTGATGTAATCTTAAGGCAATTAAACGTGTTATTTTTTCCGAAACATTTGTTTTATGATTTGTAAACGCAAATAGGCCATGAATTGAAAAAGACCAAAAAGAAAATCCTTTTATGACAGAACTTGTCAATGTTGACCTGTCAAAGAAAGAGACTTCTCTGTAATTATTCTTTTATGAATGATACTTGGCCCAGTGCTGTAAGTGTTAACGTCCACAGATGCTTGCGGAACCAACAGCTTAACGTGCTCTCCAGAGCTTGGATGTTTATTTGTAAACATTTTGTAAATTGTGTATGTGATGTGTGATGTCAGATAAAAAACCCTATTCTATCCTCTGTGCCCTCCAAATTAAGGCTCGAGCTAATTATATTTTGTTCAACCATCCTACAATCGATACTTGCAAAAATTTACCACTGCGCCATTGAACTTCTCAATTTACGTATCTTATCCTATTCATCTATCTACCTTTCCCATAATCTCACCGTCATCCTATTTATAGTTATATTTTACACATATTTTTGTAAAAGATCAGCTATCATTTGGCCTATGGCTACGGCTGCAAGGTCAACCGTATAGTTTCAGCACGACTAAATTTAATTTTATTTTTATTCTTAGGAAGGCACTATAACGATGCAATGGAATCTAGCGCAGTTTCTGCCGCCAGCTGTGAGGGAACAATTCACGGCGGCAGTAGGAGGATTCCTCAGCGCTGCTTGCTCACAATCTCAAAGATTATCCGCTATAGTCAGTGGTGAAATAACACAGAAACTTTTCCAGTGAGTATTATTAAAACGTTCGACAACAAAACATTATAAACAGGATCATGGACAATTTTTTTCAAGTGTTGTATTTTGCTATGTCTATTCATTACATGATTAAAACCTTTACAGTTATTTAAATAAGGTTTAATGTTGGAGTAAACTGACACTGAGTCTGTTCTTAGTATAAGTCAAAATTCATATTATTAAACATAGACTTAGTAAAGATTAACCTAGTACGAAATTCTAGAGGTAGTAAGTTTGCTTTTTCTTTGTATAATGGAATTGGGACTAATACAAAAATTGCAATTTTAGCGTAAATTTACTCTGACGCTCAACTTTGTTTATTAATAGTATTGTTAATGTATACTTTTCCGCAGAAATTGTAATAGGTTAAATAAATTCAAGTACTTTTGTTACTTTGCTTTCTATTTCAAAAGTACAACATGGACCGTAAATTATTTTCGGAATGTCATATCCATGTTATTCTTTCAACGACCGTTTATCATACAAGACCCAAAACATAATCTACCTGCTCCAATTACTATTTATGGCTACATATTTATCCTTGTCTCATCAAGATTTTGAATGTTAATTTCTCGGTAAATTTTTGGAATATTAAAATAAAGTTTACACTCCTATTCACCTTTCAAAGACGAACGAAGCCATTATTTAACTTTGTGATTGATTGAACAGAGTGACGGAGAAAATCAACACTCGTATGCCAATGTTGAAGCCGTCGGACATAGGAGATCAGCCGGGGCTTCGGCCCGGAGCCCTACCGCCGGACGCGACGCCTGCACTACTTTTTGTTAACGCCGTGTGTAAAGTGTTCTCGCTGGATGCCTCACTTGATGATGAGGTAAAGATAAAATTAATTAGATGAATATAAATTCAAGGCTGAACTTCATTCCATTGCATAGTTAGTCTCTTATTTATATGAGACTAATAAATAAGTTTACTATTCAAAGATTCATATTGATCAAACTAGAGTTCTTGGATAAAGCTTTTTATAATTACATTCAACAAATTACGTAAAGTGTAGTGGTGCATTGGAAGCAGATACAGAATCAGAAATTTAAAAAAAATAAATAAGGAGAAACGGAAACGTAAACACTATGAAAAATAATATTTATTTTTTATAAAATGATAATAATGACAATATAATAAGTGTTATATTTAACTACAAATAAACAAACACGTAGCGACAACTCAAAACAAATATATATAAATTACGAAGGTAGCAGCCGTAGGTCTTAAAAAAAAAAACGAAAATGATTTGAACTATAATATAATACTGATAATTTTAAAATAATATTTCCATGACTATTGGCTCCGCTCAATGTTAGAAACGAAGTGGTGGTTTTCACAGTCCAGGCGATCCGGCGATAGTCACGCGGCAGCACGTCCGTGGCACTTTAGGCTGAGGAGGAACTTTTCCGATGGTGACCTTCTTCCATATGCAGCATCACCAATATTCCTACGTCTAATTGATATAATTCGCGCCTTGAACTTTCCCCCCAAAGCGCGCTCCACAAATAAACAAACCTGCTATCAAGCAATCGTGCGTCGTAATGTTCGTTTTAAATTTTTGTTATAAAAGTTGCGGAACCAGAATCAGATGTCTGTTGCATCACTAATAAAGAGCATACTCTTTATGTAAGTTGTTGGACTAATGACTGTACTAAAATACACTTGACAAATTAAAACTCGAGAAATGTTCAAAATATTGAGCTAAAGCTCGTAAATAAAACGTTATTGTTGGTGTTTTACAAAATTCCCTGTTTATTCGTAGGTTGGCTATTGGACTGTTTTGGGAAAAAAGTATTTAAAAACTACCACATCATCATATTAATAAGCTACCAAATATTTTTTTTCTTCAAAAAATATTATTTAAAAATAAGAACATAGTTCTATGTATTCTTGACAAAAACTGGCGCTCTGAAATGGGACCCATAACTATGAAAGGTCATATTTTTCTATATAGCATTGTGAATGCAAAATTGATCAAATATCCCACGACATTTGTCTAGTGACATTTCAGTAAACATGAGAACTAATTGCACTCTTAATAAAACCGTCGACCTTTAGTTTATTGTAATGTGACGTCTCACGATGATCCGTCATGACCGCTTGCGTTTTGGTTTTTGTAATCCATACATTTATATCGCAAGTTAATTTTGCAAAAATAACACATACCATTTATTAATTTTATACTACATATAGTGTTTACATATAAGTTACAGTTTCCAACATATTTCAAAATTTATAATTTAAAGTAGCCAATTTTAGCACCTATGTATATTTGTTTTGTAGTCATTTGATATGGGGTTCGATAAAAAAATACTTTATTATATGCGCTGAACCGTTATTCGAGACCTAAGAGTGAGACAGCACTACTTCCGTTTCCTAGAACAGCCCTCCTCCGATACCCTCCACTACGTAACTACCGGCAGCGCAAGTGCGGTAGAAGGGATTTTTGTTTTTGCTTGTCACCGGCAGCCGTGGTTTGACTCGTCACATTGGCATCGACTTTCGTCGAGTGAACACCTCCTTATTAACAACGTTGTTGTTCGTAAAAAATTGTAGGTAGATATTACAAGTTTATTTTAAATTTTAAATATCATGAGTGGAACTCCTGAGCGGGCTTCTAGGCCCAGACAACATAATTTGTCACCAAAGCAGGCTTCTAGGCTGGGTGAACAGGAAAGAGTTACTCAGGGGGCTTCTAGACCCCGAGAAACGCATAGAGAGGCTCCCAGGCCAAGAAAGCGTCGTCTTTCGTCTACGAATTCGTCGGTCAGTGATGACAGTTCGAGCACCAGTCTGTCTACGTCCTCGTCGTCAACATCCAGCGGCAGTTCATCATCTAGGCCACGGCGTCATCATAAAGAACGTAATAGGCGGCGAAAACAAAGTAAAAGTGACCGAAATTTTGAATCATTGGCGAATCAAGTGAGTACAATTATTAAATATTTGAAGGATCAGGATCAGTTCAATAGTTCACAGAACTTAGATAACGATTTAGAATTGCACCCTACCCGAGAATTAACGAGTTCATTAATTCCTAGTGAACCTCTTTTAAAAAGACCTCGATTCGATAAAAATATCCATTGTAACATCAACACTAACTTAAAAGAAGCTGCGATTGATAATGCTTCCGAATCTAGGCTAAATATTTTATCGAAATTACATTATTTCGATACAAATGATTGGGATCGCGTAAGGTATATTGACACTGAGAAAAAGTATCTTGCAAAACCTGGATTTCAAGACTTGGATGTTAATACTGAATTAAGATTTTATGATCCTGATTCTACTTGGCTAAAATCTTTAGACCGTTCTTACGGTGCTTTAACCCATGCAGTAATACAACAAAATGAGCTCTTCAAGAATAATTTACAAAATATAATAGAATGGTCTCACAAGTCGGATACTGTGTTGACCTCGGACTCATTATTTAATAAACTAAGTGAATTATTTTCTGAGAAATCACAGTACATAAAGGTTTCCGAGGACATACTTCAGCTTGTGTGTGGGAGACGAGCCGATACAATACAAAAACGCCGGGATAGCATACTATCGAGTGTTAAGGATCGCTATATTAAAGAAGATTTGCGGAAAATTCCACCTACCCTCACGAATTTATTTAATTCAGAAATAATGAGTTCCTTCTTATTAAAAGTGGGTGGTACAAGCAAGCTGTTTCATAGTAACAAGCGCTCAACGGATGAGCCCATTATGTCTTTTCAAAATAAAAATAGTATTACTCGCGCTAAGCGGCTGCGGAAGCCGGCACCACGCGAACGCAATTATGATGATGTCGAACCTGTTCCGGGTCCATCATCAAATAAAAACAATAATTATGTTAATAAAAACAAGAAGTTCGCAACAATCAATAACAAATTTAATTTGAAACATCGGGACGGTAAATTTAATAATTCAACTGGCAGGAATAGTAATGGTAGATTTCGCAAATGACTGGAGACAAAACTCGTTTTACGGCGGTTGTTTAAAAGATTACATAAACTGTTGGAAAAAGTTAAATGCGCCGAGACATATTCTAAAAATAATATCAGGTTATCGAATACCATTTTGCAAAGTACCGCCATTAATCAGTCACAAACGTTTATTAAAATATCAGACACCAACAAGTGCAGAAATGTCACGAGAAATTTTAAAATTAAAAAATCAAAATATACTAATACCCGCGCCGCCGACTCCAAGTTTTATTTGTCCGATGTTCCTCGTGAAGAAATCGGATACCAGCAACAGGCCAATATTCAATCTAAAAAACTTGAATCGATTTCTAGCTCATTTCAAGTTCAGATTAATCAATGTCAATCGGGTGCCGGATTTTCTGCAACAGGGCGATTGGGCAATAAAAATAGATCTTTCGCAGGCCTATTTTCACGTTCCACTGGCTCGCTCTCATCTGCCGTTCCTGAGGGTTTTATACCAGTCAGAGAATGCAACAGAACCGGAACTTTTACAAATCACCAGCTTACCGTTCGGCCTTTCGTCAGCACCCGTGACATTTGCGACAGTTTCCAACTGGGTAGCAGAGGTTTTACGCAACAGAGGTATGAGGGTAATCGTATACCTCGACGATTATCTGATTGTCAATCAGAGCCAAGCAATGTTACAAGAACAGGCTGCGGAAGCCGTGCAAATTCTGAATTCCCTTGGCTGGAGTATCAATTGCAAAAAGTCAGTATTGGCTCCAACCCAGACGATCGAGTATCTGGGCGTCACATGGGACCTCAGACAAAATATCAAATATATACCCGCCAAAAAGAGACTAAGAATAAAAATAAAATTGGAACAACTTCTAGGTCAAGGTCTTTGGTGTCTCAAGGATGCTCAGAGAATATTGGGAATGCTAAACTTTGCCTCGTTTGCGGTTCCCAGAGGTCGGCTTCATTGCCGCCCTTTACAAAAAGCAAGTTTTCGGCTCCAAAAAGATCAACCACTGTCGAAGAGCACAATTCAACCCCAGGTCTTGACAGAGTTCCAGTGGTGGTTAGAATCCATGGGAGCAAGTACACCGATTCATTTTGCACCCGCTGCTCACTTTCTGACTACGGATGCTTCAGGCACCGGCTGGGGCGCAGTAGTAGACGGTATTCATTTGACGGGAGGCTCTTGGCGTTCCGATCAGATAACATGGCACAGCAATCTAAAAGAGATGTGGGCAATAATCAATTCCGTTCAAACGTTTGCGACACAGTTTCGGAAGACGACTGTTCTAATACAATCCGACAACAAGAGTGTCGTGAGCTACATACGGAACGAAGGCGGACGTTCGAAAACTCTCCTTCAAATGACTTGGATACTATATCAACTGTTAGATCAGAACAACATCCATGTTGTTCCTCAGTATATACCCGGAATATACAACGTAGAAGCAGACATGATCTCCCGACAACAGAGACAGACAGAGTGGACGTTAATTCAACCAACGTTACGGGAGATATTCAGGCGCTTGGGTACACCAGAGATCGACCTCTTTGCATCTCAAAAGGCTCACATTCTTCCACGATACGTTTCACGAGACTGCAGAGATTCAAAAGCAGAATACCACGACGCATTCAGCAGAGAATGGCGATACCGCAAGGCCTGGATATTTCCACCACCACACCTGGTACCTCGAGTTTTAGCACACCTAAACAGGGCCGAGGGCATATTTCTACTTGTGGTCCCACGATGGAGAAAGGTATTCTGGCGTCCGGACCTGAAACGCCGAGCTATAGCCGCACCTTGGACAATAACACATCTGAGAAACTGTTTATTGGACACACAAACTTGGAAACCACCTGCACAGGCGGATCAGATGTGTCTCGAAGTTTGGTCAGTAAAAGGTGGAACCACTTACTAAATGAATGGTCATTGGATGAAATTGAGTTACTAGACTCGAGCTGGAGAACTTCTACAAAGAAAGTATATTCATCAGTTTGGGAGAAGTGGCGAAATTGGTGTCACGATAAGGAAGTTGATGTTTACTACCCAACGGGATCGCAATTGGCTAAATACTTGGCTAATCTACATTTAAGAGAAGGTCTTGCTTACAAAACGATTTTAGTATATAAATCCGTGATTGCTACTATGACGGCTTCCGAGACAGACTCTTTGAGCAATAATCCTATTGTAAAACGTATTTTAAAAGCCATATCACTAGTGGCTGCTAGTAAAACACCTAAAAAATCTTACATATGGGATCCATCGAAAGTTGTGCTATGGTTGACATCTAATGTTCCGTTGCACCTAACACTTTATGAAGTATCACGACGTACCGCTTTATTGTTGCTTCTGTCATCCAGCCGAAGAGTCCATGATCTCACTCTCTTAAACATTGACGAGGATCATTTCGAAACGTTTGACGATCATGTCATACTACATCCACGGTTCGGATCCAAGACCGACAATTATACACATCGACAATCTTCGTGGAAGTTGATTAAAATAAACAACGACAAAATATGTCCAGTTTATTGGATGAAACGGCTCATCGAAATATCAGCTCATCGTCGAGAAAACAAAAATATGAGTGAACTGTTCATAACAGCACGAGGACCAGTGCGGCCAGCGTCTCGCACAGTACTCAGTGGCTGGGTACGATCGCTATTGCGCGCTGCTGGAGTGGAGGCGAGCGCTGGCTCTACACGTAGCGCCCACGGCTTCCCAAAATTGGTTGGATGGGTATGACATTGATGAAGTTATGAAAAAAGGAAATTGGCGAACTCCGAATACTTTTGCTCGCTTTTATTCCTCTGAAATTCGTAATTATTGTAACTCGAATTCCAATTTATCTCACGCTTTTCAAGCTATTTAAGTAATCGATTGATATAATTTAAAGATGATTAATTGCATTTGATTATTTCAAATTATGTACACCTACTTACCTGCTTATGGGAAAATAAAAGGAAAGAAGTATTCTTCTTCTTTGTTTTTCTTTTTATAGTTCTCTTTATTTCTCACACATTGGCATGATATAATTAAGTACTTACTTAATTTTAAAACTTTTACTTGCCACCAGGCGATAACAAACACATCTCACTCTTAGGTCTCGAATAACGGTTCAGCGCATATAATAAAATGTTTTACCTGAAAATAAAACAGTTATTATATGCAGAAACCTTATTCGAGACCTAATTTTTAATTACTGCCTAGTGGCTAAATTCTACTGACTCCAGTGAGATACAATATGACGAGTCAAACCACGGCTGCCGGTGACAAGCAAAAACAAAAATCCCTTCTACCGCACTTGCGCTGCCGGTAGTTACGTAGTGGAGGGTATCGGAGGAGGGCTGTTCTAGGAAACGGAAGTAGTGCTGTCTCACTCTTAGGTCTCGAATAAGGTTTCTGCATATAATAACTGTTTTATTTTCAGGTAAAACATTTTATTTCATTGTCTTAATTAAGGAATAAAAAATAATATTTCAGAACAAATCTATTAAATTTTTATTTATATTTTAATATCAGGTGACCCTCCTCCGTCGTAATCTTCTCCGATTGATAGGCGTCGGTGAGTTCAGTAGCGCGGCAGAATGGCGTGATCCCTGCGCCTCGTGCTCTCTCTCCGAGGTGATCTGTAAGGTGTGCAACCACTGTCGGGACCTGGACCTATGTAGAGATACGTATCGCGCGGTACACGACGACTGGTGAGACTTGGTTGCAATTTTTTAAATTAGCAAACTAGCGAGCAGGCACACCAATATCTCTTAATTTATAGTGATACTATTTATATACTATGTATCTTTATTTATTAGTTTTACAGCCAGTTGCACAAACATCTATTAAAATTTATCATTAGTTTAAAGCGACATTACTCATACAAATTTGATATTCATTAGAGCTTAAAGGCGTCATTAAACCTTAATGGATGTTTGTGCAACTGACCGTTAATAATACATAATATGTTTATCAAAATTTGATGTAACATTACAAAATCATAGTTAATATAATAAGTTCTTTCTAAATATGTCATCGAAATATTTCTGTTATTGGACAGATAGCTTCCAATTATTTTGTTAAATATTGTTAATATGGTTTCGAAACTCTGTATCGTCGCGAATAATCGACGAAATCGTTGAAATTTCATAAAAAGTTTATGTATTTTATACTCTTCGAATATAGAACCTCCTTCTTTTTGTTTGATCGCTTAAAAGTGTCTTTTTTTCTCTGTTAACAGCCCTGTGTGCGTTTGCCCTGTATGCGGAACTGCGTATGATAATCAAGAATTAGAATGGAGACTCATCGAGACCGTAAACAGACGGTCTATGACGTATACACTGCAGGATCTTATTTGTGGCAGATGTCATCAGGTGCGTTGAAAAAAAAATTTTCATAGTGAGGACTGTCATCATTTTTGTACTGTTATAGTACTATTATACTATTATTATAGTACATCTAATGCCGAATATGTTTGATCGAATACTAATCTATTTAATCTTTATAAAACCGGATATTCGGTCGACTTATTCTATTAATCATTTCATTTTTTGCTGTGTAAACAAATTTAAAAATAAATGTTGATTTGATATTTAATTGCTTTATTGAATATATTCTTCATAGGGTTTGTTTGACTTATACACTTCGATCGACAATACAACTAGATGAGCGGTCAGTCTCAAAAATTGGCGAAAACATAATGCCTCACTTCAAAGTGCAGTCTTATTTTGTTTTATTGGAATATTTTAACTATATAACTATTAGAATGAAATGAAATTATCCTTATTCAAGTAGGCTTATTACAAGCACTTTTGAATTGTCCAAAATTTTTTTCCCTTATCATTTGTTCAGGACAGAATTAATAAAAATGTTAAAAATCTGTTAAAATATTATATTTTCGGGTTGTAAATGTGATTTTACTATGTCTATAATTACTAATTAAAGTATTTACAATAAAAACTCTGTTAAGTTTTGTATCTGAGCCAACCCACGCGCTAACATGGCAAACATGGCAAACATTCACAAATAATCGATGTTCTAAGACAGCACATACATAATATAACATTTTCTTTTACCGAACATTGTAACGCTAATTAAAATCCGTCGTGGTGTAGTGGGTCGTGTTCTCGATTAGGTATCGGTCTGGGTGTTTAATATATATTTTGAGTGTCTATTTACAATGAAACTAATTAAAAGAAAAGATGCGTTCCCTAAAAGTGACCAATTAAACCATAAAACAGAATTTCTTAAATCGGTGATTGAATGCTAATAGTTTTTAATAGAGATAAAACTAGGAATACACAATCGACTTCGGATCCAGTCCGGATAAAATTTTTGTATTGTGGATGTATCCAATAAGTATTGTTTGAAGGTAGCTATGTTCTTAATTAATTCTTAATTTTAAATTATAATGTGTGCAAAGATAATATTTTTAAAATTAAATGTTTAAATTAACCGCGTAAATGGCGGCTCTGGGGACTTGTCGTCATTAATTCTAATATTCAGTACCTACGTATAGTCAAACTCATAAATAAATAATGTACTATACAGATTCTTTACTTGCATAAAATAAATATAATCCTTAAAGTCATTTTGCACTTTGAAGGCTTCCCGTGCTTTTCCTAGATAATTTTACTTTCAATTTGCCTACAAATGACGTTATGCGCTCCGATTGGTATTTTGTTTGACGTGAGACACAGACTGCAAATATTGCAAAATTATATTTTTGTTGATTGATTTAAAAATAGAAATAATTATTATTTAGCAAAAATATTCCGTGAATAATCACTTACTTTATGAATGTTTTAACCGAACACAATTTAATTTTTTATCTTAATTGCTGTGCGGGACACACAGGCTAGCGAGGATAATGAATTTTAATTTCTTGTTGCACAGGTGAAACGTGAGAATTTGACAACTGTGTGCGATTGTGCTGGCGAGTTCGCACTAATGGTACCCGTCAACGAGATCCACACACAACTGTCAACTTTCAAGACAATTGCACAGTACTACAAGATGCCTCTACTGCTCGAATTGATTGATTTCCACTTAACAAAAATGTGATACCTTGTTAATTTAGTTTTAAGAATAAATGCTTATTTATTTGATGTTTTTTCTTCTGTCTTATTCATTGAATTCAGTGGAACCCTGACCTGTACGAGACTACAGCACGCGTTGCATGACGAACTTGAGCAGCTTGAGACCCGATAGTTGCGAGTGAGATATTGTACCCGAGAGGTGACATTTGGGTGATGAAGACGAAATGTAGAATTCGTTATAATACTCGGACTGCTGGCCGTATTTATTTCGGGATATCAAATTATGTTCGAGGCTTATGATATGCTTGCAGTAAATGAATTCATACTAAAATGACATGTCATTTAAAAGAATGAACTTCAAGTGTTATAGTTTAGAAATATAGCGCAGCGCTGCTGGAAACAGCGCAGCAGCGCCCGAATATTTCATAATTAGCGATTTAAACAATTTAGCAAATTTTCACCAATATGTCTGAAAACTGATAAAAAAAATTAACGAATTTTGCTGAAAGTATTTCGGAATTCATTACCTGTGGCGCTGATGAACTGACGTCAGCCTAGTCCCTTGTTTGTCACGAAAACGTCTGTCCGCTCTGGCGCGCAACTCTTTTCGATTTTAAAATGAATTCTTGTTCCGTCTGGTCTCTGATTTAACAGATCGTTACGAAATAGAAACAATTAGATAAATCACGCAACAACCAAAGTATTTTACTGCTCTGACTATTCCAATGGAATGGTCTCCATCAGCCCTTTTACGTCTCCACTGCAGGAGCTCAGGCCTTCCTTATGGATGGTTAAGGAGAATGGGCCATGACCCTTCACGCTGGCCCAATGCGGATTGGAGGGTATTAACGACTGCAAATGCAGCCGGGACCAACGGCTTAACGTGCCTTCCGCAGCACGGAGAAGCTCGAGAAACTAATTTTTTGGTCACCCATCACGTGACCGACCCTTGCGAAAGTTGCTTAACGACTACGATCGTGGGCCGCGGCGCTTATCCACTACGCCACCGAGCTACTCTTTGGCTTTCATTAAAAGCTACTGAATAGATTTTGATGAAATTTTTTATATGGTTAATTCTCACTCTAATTAACATAAGTATAGGCTATTTTTGATCCCATCAATGACTCACTAGGAAGCATGCGGTGGATGGTGAGCCAAACTCGGAAACCCATGAAAAATTATAGACTTATCTAAATAGTTAAAGAATTTATTAAAGTTATCAAATGTACAAACTAAATCATATTACATAATTTATTAATAATTGCAATTAAAGTGTGCTTCTCTCTTCATTAGGTGCTTGCCCCAATCCTTTAGCAACTTCACTTATACATAACCATTGACCGTCTGCACTTTCTTTCCAGAGGCTAACCTTATTGTCTCCTCCAGACACTGCCAAAATATTTCCAGTTAATGACCAACTTAAACTCCAAACAACATCATCAAAGGTGTTGAGGATTGTCGGTGTCCAAGAGACATTGTCATCACTGGTCCATATAACAACTCTTTTATCTTGAGAACAACTTGCAATCATAGACCGTTGTAAGCCAAGAGAGGGAGCCCAGGCTACATCTCTTACCCAATCCATATGCATTTCCAAGCGGTTCTCTTCTATCCATTGGTCACCTTGCTCTCTCCATATCTAAAAGCATAATAATTTATAATGAAGTATTAAATATTTTCAAAACTAATTGTTATTGATAAATAAAACAACTTTAAAACGGTTTCGCATTTGTATTTAGTTTTATTGATGGTTCAATGAGTCAAAATCTTAATCTAGATCACACATCACGAAACCAAAAATACAGTGAATTAATTTTGTAAATATTAAATCAAAGGGAGCAATGACCTTTTCTTGTCAGAGTTTGCTTTGCCAGTTCTTCTCGGACAAGACTCCCAATTTTGGAACTGGTGATAAGATTACAGTAGCCAGGGGTAAATAAATGAGTCAAATGTATTTTTAACATAATTAAGTTTAATAAATGTAAATGTTCCTTATTTTTCTTTTTTTGTATTGTGAATGTGTCTAATAGTATTGTTTTGAAGGTAGCTTTATACTTAATTAAAAAGATAATTACCACCTTAGTCTTATGTGAACAATGAAACTGTAACGGGTCCAAAGTGTCAATAAATCTAAATACAAACACAATGAAACAGTTTTAAAATTTTTCAAGTTGTTTCATTTATGGTTAGTATGGGTGAAAATATAAGAAATCTTTATTAAAAATTATTATTGGATAAATATTAAACTCACCTTGATCAAGTTGTCACATCCACCAGTGACTATTCTTTTGGGTGCGTCTTTATTACTGAGAGGATCTAAATTCAGATCGGCTGATATAGCTGGACACCAACTAATCGAGTTCACTCCGATAGCATGGGCAGCAGGGATTTTTTTGACATCCCAGTTTCCACTGTCTTGTATATATGTTATGATAGATAGAGAACCATCGGAACTACAGCAAGCCAAAATCAATCCATACTCAGCCGGAGCCCAGGCAACGGAATTGACAGAACTCTCGTGACCAGCATATTCATACAATTTTGTCCATTCTCCTGCCTCTTTCCATATAATAACTTTGCGGTCGTAGGAGCAGGAAGCCAATAAATTACCGTATTTAGGATGGGCCCAAGCAACTTGCCATACGGGACCAAAATGACCCTTCAAGTCAGCAGCTAAAGTTTGAGTACCACTTTTGATATCATAAATTTTCACAGAATTATCGGAGGAACATGTTGCTAGCCTAAGTCCATAGTAATCAAGTTCCGCGTCGTGTATCATATCTTCATGGCCGGTATCGATTGTATTTATTACGTTAATCATTTTGGAAATTATTCAAAACCAACAAAACACGATAACTGCAGAACGAACAACTGTCAAATCAGACGGGACGTGGAATGTACACGGGGGGGACACTCCCTTAGTAGCCATAATTTTGCAAAGATAGTAGCGACATCCATTTTATTTCCCCAAAACTATTATGAGTACTACCAGGTGTGCATAAACAATACTAGATGACGCTACACGCACTCTCGAAAAGACGAAATTTTTTACTTATTTGGATCAATTTGTCAAAATCAATATGGCGATTACTGTGCTCTTGCGTTCATATATTTGTATTTTGTTCTAGTGGCTACAAAACCTCAAGTTAAGTGTGTCGAGTTGAGATTTATTCTTCTCCACCTTACTGTGTATTTGTGCTGTGGATTTCTGTAGTTTCAGAACTTTATCGCGACAGGACGCTTATTTAAGTTTGTTTTGTGTTAAGATTATTATTGTCGTAATGCCCCGACTTTGTTCTTTCGGACGACACCTAGTGGTAAGCATAATAATAATCTATTGAACTTCAATGCAGCTAACTCACATCATGTTTTTAATTGACTTTAACAATGAGGTTATCAATTATTTATTTTCCTTCTTATCAACACACTAACGAAACAAAAATAACCAATAAGTTTCTATAACACACCGTATAAAGTGGAAAGAATGAGATAATAACTATATAATGGCTATATCTTTAATGTCTATAATATTGCCATGACTTCCTGTTTCAGATGTCACTATGCACTCATTCCCAAAACCTGAAGTTTCCTGAACGTTTCAAAGCTTGGGTTACATTGGTTGGTGGAAAACTGGAAACAGAAGGAAAAAGTTTGCGATATTCATTTTATACACAGACATACAAGTCGTTTTAGACGTTTGAATGCTTTGACTGTCCCATCAGAGAATTAACAGGGTATGTATGTTTATTTTGAAATACAGTAAAAGTTTAGAAATCGCTTTAGGCACAAATCTTAGGAATAACATAAAAATGTGTAATGAAACAAACATTATGAAACAATGGGAATAAAAAAAGGATGGGCTATGTTTTGACAAACTCCATATAGGTGCAGATGTGCTTGTGTGTCATGTGAACATTAATTAGTATGGCCCCGATTGACAGATTTAAAATCTAGACTTTAACAATGAGGTTATCAATTATTTATTTTCCTTCTTATTTTCTTATTAACACACTAACGAAACAAAAATTACCAATAAGTTTCTATAACACACCGTATAAAGTGGAAAGAATGAGATAATAACTATATAATGACTATATCTTTAATGTCTATAATATTGCCATGACTTCCTGTTTCAGATGTCACTATGCACTCATTCCCAAACCCTGAAGTTTCCTGAATGTTTCAAAGCTTGGGTTACATTGGTTGGTGGAAAACTGGAAACAAAAAGAAAAAGTTTGCGATATTCATTTTATAGACAGACATACAAGTCGTTTTAGACGTTTGAATGCTTTGGCTGTCCCATCAGTGCATTAACAGGGTATGTATGTTTATTTTGAAATACAGTAAAAGTTTAGAAATCGCTTTGGCACAAATCTTGGGAATAACATAAAAATGTGTAATGAAACAAACATTATGAAACAATGGGAATAAAAAAAGGATGGGCTATGTTTTGACAAACTCCATATAGGTGCAGATGTGCTTGTGTGTCATGTGAACATTAATTAGTATGGCCCCGATTGACAGATTTAAAATCTAGACGGCAATACCTGAAAGCGGTTGGCTTATTTAATATATGTCACAGTGAGTATGACTGTACTGAATTAATAAATAAAATTAATTATTTAGTACCTAAGCGGGCGCAAACGAGCTCCCTGCGTAAACACTAACTGTTTGCTATATTTAAATTTAGTACAAGTACAGGCAAGAGATCTCCAGTGCATTGAGTAGCAAAATTTTATAACAATGGTTTACATGAAATCGACATATTCAATTTAAACAAAACAAAATTCAAAGAGTTAGTTAAGAAAGAATAAGTGAACTAAATTGCAATGCCATATCATCATAAAGTAATATATAATATCATATTTGTAACAGTTTTGTTTGTGTAGTGTTCATTTTTCTTAGTAAGTGTTTAAGCTGATAACATATGCAACTTTCAACTACTCATAGTAACTTGTAGTTAACGTTGCTTTTGCAATTATAAAACTGTGTACATCATACGAGGGTCAAACTGAAAGTTCTTAGAAAATCAAAAACTGATTACATTAGCCAGTTATTAGTTTTATTATATCTTTTCAAAATATTGTCCATTCACGTCAATACACCGCTGCATGCGATGGAACCACTGGGAAAAGCACTTTGCCCACTCGTCCTTAGGGGTCTCTTCAATGGCATCGCGATACGCAGCCACCGCTTCTTCAGCATTCATAAACCGCTTTCCTTTAAGTTTTTCTTTAATTTTTGGAAATAAATAAAAATCACAAGGCGCGAGGTCGGGGCTATACGGCGGGTGACCCAGTAATTCAACGTTTGATGTCGCCAAATAGTCGATCGTTCGCTTGGCGGTGTGCGACGAGGCGTTGTCGTGGTGAAGGAGGATCCTACTGCGAGGTCGTTTCTCTCGAACTTTTTCCAAGACAAGTGGCAAACAATTGGTAGTGTACCATTCTGCAGAAACTGTTTTTTGATCCTCTAACACAATTGTTGCAAAATGACCTATCCTTCCAAAGAACGAGGCCACCATTTTTTTTCCCGCACTTCGATCTCTCTTCACTTTAGTTGGCAACTCCTCGAAAGGAAACACCCACTGAGCAGATTGTCTTTTGGTTTTAGGATCATAACAGTAAATCCAGCTTTCGTCACCAGTTAGTATGTCGAACACAGCATTTGAGTCACCTCCGTTAAATCTTTCAATCATTTTACGACACCAATCCACACGATGGAGTTTTTGAGCCTCAGTCAAATTATGAGGTATCCACCGGGCGCAAAGCTTCCTGACCGCTAAATGTTCGTGGAGGATTTTGTGCACTTGACTCATACCGATGCCTAAGCTTGTCCGAATCTGTTGATAGGTCACTCTTTTGTCAGTCTCTATCATACGCCGCACAACACAGATGTTATCTTCAGTCGTCGCCGTAGAAGGCCGTCCCTCACATAAATCATCAGTGAGATTAGTGCGACCACGTTTAAACTCATTAAACCAGTTGTAAACAGTCGCACGAGATGGGGCTTCATCGTGAAAGGCCAATCGTAGTCTATCATAACTTTCTTGTTGACTTAAATGACATCGAAAGTCATAAAAAATCATTGCACGAAAATTTTCTCGTGTTAAATTCATGATGACGTGACACAGACAATATTCAATTTGCCGCCAAATCGTAAAACAAATGACAAATGAATGAAATATATACTCAGTAATATTGGCAAAGAGTTATATTTTCAAATTTTAGAATTATTTTTTTATTATATTGTTTATAAGTGGCCAGTTCTAAGAACTTTCAGTTTGACCCTCGTATCATAAATTGGAATGCTATTGTAAAACTGTTTGTTGACCCAAATAAACAAAACAAAAAAAAAAACTCCAAATCTATGTTGGCTTAGTAATAGTAACAGGACAAATTATAATATTACTAAATTCTATACATACACTTTCCTAAAAGTCACGAGCACAGCTAGATTTGTAATGATTCAATTTAATATATTGATCAATCACATGATGTTTTCTAATTTCTACTGTATATAAAAATTACCACCAATAACCATTACATATCCAACCAACCAGTGACATGTATAGTTATTGTTTTAGTAAAACTCAAAAGAGTATTTTTATAATTTCCAGGTTCAAGGGGAATTCTTGAGGAGCTCCCAGTTGCTCCTAATGAAGAAAATAGTCAATTGTCAAGAAGTTCAGGTAAATTTAACTTGGAACTATAAATTTGAATTAAATTTAAAATAAAGATTTTAATAATCTATTTTTTATGGAAGAAATTACATAATTGTTCATTTTTATTACAGGTTTGTTTCCAACAATGACAGAGGAAAGTTTGTATTCTTCAAAGTATGGCAACCAATCTCATGATAAATTGCAATCTTCCCAAATGTCCTCTTCAGGTAAATAAATAATTATTAATACACACTAGTATACTGGGTATGCTTAATTATTATAATAACTTTTTATATAATTTCATATCAATAATTTTATTATTATAAAATGTACATTTGAAATAATGACTATTGACATTTACTGACTGACATTAACAAGACATTTAATTAGCTCAGTGTGATCTTATATTAGGTGAAGGTGAATGAATATATAAATAAATAAATATTTAACAACATCACATACATTGCTCAGATTCCAAGATGAGTAGCTAAAGCCGTATTATGGAGTATCTGAGACAACGAAGGTACCACAACACCCAGACCCGAGTCAATAAAGAAAAGTTCATTTTCTACATTGACCCGACCGGGAAACGAACCCGGGACCTCAGAGATGGCGACACCTTGAAACCGTCGTGCGAACCACTCGCCTACGGAGGTCGAATTTTGTTTAAAATAAGACAGGTGAACTTTATATAAGTGCTAAATGAATTGTTTTTAGGCGTCTTGAATATTATAAAAATGAATATTACTTAGTACAAAGTAAAAAAAATGAATATTACTTAATACAAAGTAATATTCATTTTTTTTTATATCAACATATATAATATTCAAGGCGCCTAAAAACAATTCATTTAGCACTTATATAAAGTTCACCTGTTTTAATTTTTGTTAATATAACCATCATTCTATATATCACTCAAATAAAGTTTTTTTTCTCATTAAGTTTAATTTGTATACCAAGTAATTAATATAACCATTATTTTATATATTTAGCAATGTTTAATTACAATTTTATTATAATCTCTAAAAATTGATACAAAGATTATAATCTAATTTATGAAGATTATATAGTTATACAACTAAAGACTACAAGTTATACTACTAAACATATATATAGTCAGTAGTTTTCTGTGGAAAATGTAAGAGCGAGAAAAAATTACTAAATAGAAGTAGATACTACAATCATTTCTGATATAAATAATTGATTTCGTTCTCAAATATTAGTTGAAGACATAGATTATTTTTTGGTATTAATAATATAGATATATCTTTAATTTTCAGTTGACTCTCAGTACATCCCTTATGTAGAAGATATCATCAGGGAACATAACTATAGTTCGTGTAGCAGATCTAAAAGAACGCACCTCCACAAGGTATTTAATTTAAACAGTTATAGTAAATAATTTTAAAAACTATTATCATGGACCTTTATTATAAACAGTACACAAAAGGTTTCTTTTTTATTTTACAGTTGCTGATTATATTACCAAAAAGTTTATGCGGCAGATAAATGCTATGGAGAATTAAGATTATTAAATAAACTAACGGAGGAACACATTGATCCTGAAAAAAATAATAAAATGAGAGTGAAATTAGCAACACAAGTATTCAGTCACAGTATTGCTGTAGTTGCTGAGCACCTTACGGCGCGAGGAGATTTGCAAGAAGAGTGTCGTCAACTGGTGAACATAACATTATTAATTGATGATTTATTTGACAGTCTAAATATCAACACGCTAAACATTCCCAATGGAAAAATTTATAAAGGTCCGGTAAAGCGAATCTCACCCATCACGAGTTATGGACTAGAGCAAAAAAAATTTTGCATAGTGTAAAATTCATAAAAAAAAAACAAAATATTGCTGGTCAAGTCATTGCAACAGAAAGTGTAATTCCTTCATCCAAAAATTTTATAAAAACAATTGAAAACATGGAGGCAATTTGGAAGGTTTTGTATCAAAACTATAGGTTAGATTGTTTGTTGACTAACAATTTAAATCAAGACCCCATTGAAAACTTCTTTGGGAATATCAGGAGTTAGAAACATAGCTCCTAACACTGTTGGATTTGAAGGAGCGTATAAATCATTGCTATTAAATATTTCAACACGCCTCATTCACTCAAAATAAACTGTGAGGCAGATTATAATCAATGTCTACAAAACATAATTTTTTTAACAGGAAATTTAAAAAACTACTGATATTCCCAAAAATGATAGTGAAATATTTATTAATTAAAATATTATAATGGGCTCTAATGAGAATAGTGACGCCGGTCAAATTAACTATGTATGTGGATGGGCATTAAGAAAATATTTGAAAAAGGTGAAATGCAATGCATGCAGCAATATATCGCAAGATAAAAATGGAGAGAACCTACATAATACATTTATAAAATCAAAAGAATATAAAAATTGGTTATGTTATCCAAGTACTCTACTAGAAAATTGCTTCCGTGATATGCAAAATATTACTCACATAACGTTAAATTTTTTTTTTACCAAAAGTAATATATCAGGAAATATACTTTGTTGTAAAATTATTTGTAACTGCCTCCTGTGTGTTCTTGTTCTTATCACACTGATTGTTTTTATTAACATTTTGTTAAAACAACTGTACATTTAATTATTTATAATTGGTGCAAGTCAGTAAATAGAATTTTAAGTGGAAGAATTAATTACCAGGGTGATGACGAGACCAAATTGACAGCGCAAGTATATTATAATAAGAGGAAACAATACAAAAACAGAAAATAATAAAATGTATACTTGTATTTTTTATGAATGACTATGCTGATCATGTGCTGTATGCATTTGTTTAACTTATCGAAATAAACAACTTATAATAAGTGAACAATGTCGTTTCTTTTTCAAGTTTTTGTCCTCTTTTTGTTATCGTCGCTCGAAAAATACAAACTGTAAAAACCATAGTAAAACTTTTAAAAGAAAGTTGTTCATTATGCTCAATTTTCTTTTAAAAGTTTTACTACAGTCTTTACAGTTTGTATTTTTCGAGTGGCGCGAAGAAAGAATCCTATAACTATAATACATACATACTATAGGTATACCTATATAGCAATAGTTTTTGGGGAAGTAATGCAGATGGCGCTTCAATTCTGATTGGCACTAAATACACGCGAGAGGGCACTCTTTTTCCGTATTATTACTGTACTCTTTGGGAATGTAATGTCAGATAACTAGTGATGAGCCCCTCAACGGCAACGTTGTTTCGTCTACTCGTTGCTAGATGGCGTTATGCGCCGCTCTCGCTTACACTGTCAAAAGTGACCGTCCCTTTCTCACCGACGTATACCTATATGAAACACGTAACTTTTGTTTTCTTGTCAAGTGACGATCACCTGGGAAGGACAAACCTTGGCAAATAAATTAATAGTTGGGCCACATTGCAGGTGAAAATTTGACCTCGGGCCAAATATTTTTTTTTCAAATAGTAAGCAAGTCGATCAAACGTTACTTGGAATTTAACAATAACTTACAACGGACAAAAAAAGTCGCTGTTTTGTATAACTTTTGAGAAAATTTGTTCACACTCTTCGAATTGTAAATATCGACGCTGGAAAGCAAACACGTAAACCCGCAAAACCAAAATTGTTCTTTAGAACAGAAAATCTTTTATTTTTCTCGATAAATATTCCTATAAACATCCATGGTAACAAATAAGGTGTAAGTCAATTTATATGGAAATAAGTTTTTTTTTTTTTAATATATAGATTTTTCCACTCTAAATATCCATTTTGGTTTTGTAGGTTACTATGTGTTTGCTTGCCAACGTTGATATGTTAAAGAAATACACCAGTTTCAGTTTCATTGTTTCTTTAGTGTTTTACGATGCATGCACCCTCAGTAGATCTAAATCTACTTTTATTTTGTTTAATTTTTGGCGTATTTATTGCGGAAATATTTTTCTCCAAACTAAATTAATATAAAATAACTTGCATTCTACCATATCGCAGGAGAAAATGGCGGCTTTAGATTTTAGTTATTTTGTTTATTCATGCAATATGAAAAAGTACAAATAGAATATGGGTTGTTTATTGAGTTTTGAAAATTAATTTACTTTTACACATGAAAGAAAGCCGAAAGGGTTGTAATGGAGAAATCAAGAAAGTACCGTAACGATACCTAGTTTGATTTCGGGAACTAATGTTTTTAAATACTTCCTCAATAAAAAAGAAGAAAAAGAAGAATGCAATTAATATATAGGTATTATTGGTTTCATTCATAGTATATCTTAACACACTTTTATTTATTTATTATAAGATTAAGAAGAAAACTATTTTGATAATAGAAGTTCTATCGAAAGAAAATTGTGTTTTGTTAAGAAGAGACTATGAAAATGCGTTATGCGTTGAAAAGTACACGACATACCATTGCTATATAGACTGTTTGATAGAAGATAGAACAGATAGAATAAAATAAAAATGTAGGATCGACGTTATTGCTAGTGATATTGAAATAAACATTTTATTAATCTATGTACAATGTTTTACAATTTTTTTTAAATTTGTTAGTGGATAAATATCAAATATACAAAAACAAAGTATATTGACATGACTACACCGCGTTGACTCGGTCACGCCATTTAACAGATTTTTCTCTAAAGCTATATCTGTCGATGTTCTCACAGAGTATGACAAAAAATGGGAGAGTGGGCTTTCTTTCCCTGTATGTAGGGAAAGGGATGATAGATATTAGAAAAACATCGATGTTGACATCATTGTTACCATCGTAAACCCAACATCGATGTTCAATTTCGGTAAATATCGAACATCGATGTTGGGCTTACGATGGTGACAATGATGTCAACATCGATGTTTTTCTAATATCTATCCCTTTCCCTAAACACCGATGGTATTTTTGCAATTATTTACAAAGAAATAAAATACAGTGAAATCTTTCGAAATTTATTAAGAAACAGACTAAATTAGTATATATTCCAATATTTTTAATTAACTGATTGAAGGAAAACTAATTTTGATAAAGAAGAACCTTTAAATATATTTCTTTGTTGTTAAAGAGTAGAGCCAGCTTTTGTTAACAAGTATGTAAAATATGTATTTCAAGAGATGTATGTTTTACATACATAAAAATTCGATTTCCCTTTTATCCAAATTTCGATGTTTTTGGTAATATCAATTAATTTATATTGATATTAATAAAAATATCAAATAATGTAATGTTCTTGCGTGAGGCCATAAGTTAACATTGATGATTGATTTTGTTAACATCGATGTTACGTTATTTTTCGTATAGCAACATCGATGTTAAGACATTCATATTTTTGCTTTGTACATCGTTAATTATCTAAAATCGATGTTCATCGACCATCTTATTTTAAAAATATAAAATAAAAAAAGTTTAGTCAGAATCTTTTTCACGAAAGAAGTCCCACGGCCTAACTCTAAATCCTTTCTAATAAAAGGGAAACGAAAAAACTAATCTTCTAGAACCTTCAATGCGAAACAAAAGCAGCAAGCAGTTAGTATCGGAATCTTTTTACAGGCAACTTATTTATTTTTGTTCCCAAAATAACCCATAAAAAAGTAATAGTAATTGAAGTACGTTATTGGTTAAATTATTTTCTAAAGTAAAAGTTTACTGGGCAAAGAAATAATTTATCATACCTGTGTTTTTGATTCCGATGTTTCATTATTATTAATTACAAAATAAAGCAACTTCAATTCACGTATTTCACTTTCGCTTCACACTTCTCTTAGTGCCACAAGAAAATTACGCGCAAGCTGAGAGAGAACAAGCACAACGAGCATAAAATAACTTAAAGGGTACCAAAGAGCTTATTTTAGTTAGACAGATAGACAGATTTATTTTTAACTCCCTTTTAAAATGCAAGCAGAGAAAAAGCTATTTGTTTGGATACTACAGTTACGAGTGCAACCGTGACATCTAGTGTAAAATAGTTGAACATCTAGAGCACGGTAGATGACCCTAAAGATATATTGAAACTTTATTCAAAATATCGATGTTTGGCTAGAGCACATCGATCTGCCGATGTTTCAAAGTTAAAAAATCGTTTTTTTTCTAGTGATGTTTATTCAATATCGATAAATATCGACCATCCCTATGTGGGGATAGGTACCTATATGACACTTATTCAAAGTAGGTATATATTTAATTTTACTCTTTGGAAGGAACTAAATAGAAAGGAAGGCTGTAGAAGGCAGGGCCGGTAAAAAAGAAAAGAAACTAAATGTCAAAGTCAAAAGTTTGTAAAGAAGATTCCTGAAATCTGAAAATATTGGTGAGCTAATAACTTTAAAATAAATTATGAAATATTGGTGGACTTTAAAATCCTACAATGTCAAATAAAGGTGACAGTTTTATTAGCAACTTATCGAATCTATTACAGCAGGATTATCGTGGAGTAAATGTAGGTATTATTGTTTTGAAAATAAAAATTACAATGTAGACTTAAACTGTCGTGTTATTGGATTTTGTGGTTTTACAGATAGCTGTTTATGCTCTCGCTACAGCTGGTTTAGCTGTTTCCATATACAAAATCCGGCCGGTAAGACATTGACTCCTAATAACTATTTTATCATAATAATATTACATAACTAAATATTACACTGTCATTTAAGGTTAGCAAGTTTTCGAAAGCGAGTAAAATCCCAGATCATTTCCTACGCAATCATGAACCGCTGAGAGGAATGTATGCAGGCATACAACACTCACCAGTATGTTTGCTAGTGAACCACCAAGCTCCTATATATTTACCTTTATGGCATTCCAGCAAACCTCCTTTACCAGTAAAGGTAACTAGTAAATGAAACATCTACAATGTGTGTGAAAGTTTTGACAAAATATAAAGTATTGATGATTGATGCTGATTTTGTAGCTTTGGGGTGTTGATGTTGTAAGTGGCAATGCTGTAAATTGGCTGGAATGTGTTGCCCGTGGACAAAAGCTTACTCTGAAACCTATTACCAGGGAGCAGGACACTCTCGTTTCAACTGTATTATTGCATTTACCACAACCTAAGGTATCTAATTTAGTTTGGAGCCATTAGTAAAGTATCCATAGATTATTAGTAATTTATATAATAATTTTCAGACTAAATCGGTGGAGACACTTGATGTTGGCCACAAATTGGTTGAATTGGGATTTGCTAAAGCCTCTGTTCCACAAAACATTGCTAAAGACACATTGGAGTCCCAACTTGCTCCGGCACTGTTGTCTGCGGAAGCTCGTGCCAAAAGCTATCGAAATGGTGTTTGGTCTGACATACTCCCTCCGCTTCCACTCTACATCTTATATTGGAGAAAGAGTTCTCAACTTGTAATAGAGTTCATCTCAATCAGTTTTAAAAAATTGTTACCAATTTTATTATTTGTTTTCAAAAGTGCCTTGGTTGGTGTGAAAAAACTAGCTCTTATGCCATTCAAATCAAAATCTAAGCAGATACAAGCAACATGATAGCATTTATCGTTAAATGAATATTTTACTTAAATTTCTTGTAAGGATAGGTACCAAATGCATTATAAAAGAATGTGATTTTTAGGTACTCTACAACTTCCAAAATTTACATTTGTCTATAACAAAACTGTATATACTGTTGGTTAATAAAGGTTTCTAAATTATTATGTTTTCATTGTTGTTAAAAAACGCTTCAAAACTAAAGATTTGTAAAAAAGCACTATTTATTCAAATTAAATAGTATATATTACAATAAAGTATATATATAATTATCTTAATTAAATTGCAAAATGAAAAGTACAGCTAAATAATCTATGAAGTATCCATTGACCTTTAAAAAAATTAACACCAAGTAATTTTCCTTAAAATAACTGTCACTTGAAAATTAATAAAAATAACATTTAACTTTTATGACAAAATACTGTTTTAAAATGAACTTAGAGATGATGTAGGTAAGTTTGTGGATATAAAAATACAAAAGCAAGTCTCATCCCCGTTTGAAATTGATGCACCAGTAAGAAAATGTTCAAAATATATAGAGGTGGGGTGTATTTAGGATCCACTTCATAATGTTCTTGCAAGAGTGGTGCTGACTGGAGGAACTCTGCGGCCGTCAGAGCAGATTGCAGCGCGACAGCCATGACGTCGGTTTGCGTTGTTGTTCATTAGCACGCAGCTGATGCGCGCCACTTCTTGGAGTTGGATTACTTGCTTCCTATTGTATTGTACAAGAACAACAAAGTTATAAACTTAAGTCTTATACTATACTTTGTTACATCAAATCAAATACTCAGCTTGTGTAAGTTTTAAAAGATGACTGAATCATAAGTTAAATATTAATAATTATAATTGAAAAAAAAATCATGCAAGGACAAAACAAGATTTCAAACACCAAAATAACACCATAAATGATTACCTAAAGACTCATTGATACGTCATTTGCTACAAACAATTAGTAATTCTGTTTTTTATATTAAGTTAGTATGACATTCTATCAAATGCGACCCATTCCAAACCACATACTAAAGAATAGCAAGCTAGCTACACACAAACAATATTGCAACAAAGATTTTTACCTTCTGTTATCATGAGCCATGAAACAATAAAAAGATAATAAGTTTCTAGTTTTTTTTATATAAAATATAGATTCAATATTCAATCAATTTATTGATTTATTGTTTAGAAAAAGAAATAAATTGATTGTCATCTTAATATCGAACTTTTGAAATATTCCTTTCAGCTGTTTATTTTTTTATTATTACAAAAAGTATTTATTTTTTATGTAAATTGCCTAATTTGTCTAGAAAGCTGGGTCAATTGTGATGAAATTTAATAGTGTTTGCGGCCTGGATAAACACTGATTCCAACTTGAGGCAATCATTTGCTTATAGTCATCTAAGGGAGTGTAATATTTATTTGATGCTTCATTGATGATAAAAATATTATGATGCAATGAGTAGGATCCACATTATCCACTGAATGATTCATTGATGTGTGGGTGAATCTCAATTCAAAGATTAGTTACATATAGGTATGATATTTTAACTAAAACTATTCAACTCTGTTTAAAGCAAGGCTGCACATTATATATAATTTAGTTTATTTTGTGGATAGCATGCCTAATATAACATCAACAGATTTGCCCTTGAATCAATTTGTACTATTTGGTGACTGAAAGAAACATAACAATAATTTCAAGTTTAAAAATTTATATATATAATTACCTGCTTTTTCTCCATCTTGGCTTTGATATCTCTCGCCAGAGTGAAGAATGCATACTCAACATTAAGAGAGTCTTTTGCTGATGTCTCTACAAATTTTATCTGGTACTCTATAGCTAATTGCTCTCCTCTTTCTTTTGAGACCTTGAATGTAAATTTTATAATAGTACATATTAATAACATTGTTTATTTCTCACCACATAAGACAGGTAAATAACATGAAAATATGATATCTATAGTATATAGCATGAGATTTTAAACTAGTTTTTTTAAACCCATAACAGGTTTAGAGGTTCACTGAATTACATAAAGAAATTTTATATGTTAATAAACAGCCTTTTAATTGCTTATTTGTTGATATGATCTTGTAAGTAATACAATAAAAAAGTCTACAATATTGTTAGTTTACGTATAGGAGTGTGTGGGCCAGGATTTAAGAAATCTGATTTTTATAATAAAAAAAAACAATCATATGATACATAAGAAAAATGTATACATAATAAATTTTCATCATTTATTAATCAATTAATTTGTGAAATAATCTTTATTAATCAATCATTTATAAATCAATTAATATGTCTATATAGGAAATGGTCTTTTTAAATATGGTTTAGGAGTTCTTCAAATAAAACTGGTTCAAACTAGTTTATGGCTACTTGAACTAACTAATTTCATAATATTAAATATTTGGATATATACATGTTTAAAATAAAAAACATTATTTAGATCATTAACCCTGGTATATGTCCCCCATAATTAAGTGTTCCATAACAAAATGATTTACCTGTCTTTTTGAATCTAAATCACACTTATTTCCAAGAATCATTTTTTCTACATCTGCACTAGCATTCTCTTCAATGTTTCTAATCCAATTCTTTATGTTTTCAAAACTCTTCTCATTTGTAACATCATATACCAACATAATGCCCATAGAACCACGATAATATGCTGTGGTGATGGTACGGAACCTTTCTTGGCCAGCTGTATCCCTGAAGAATAAACAATTATGACATTTACTCATAAAAATTGTTGCAATGAAATTCATTGACATGAATCATGTATTTATCTATTATAGTTATAATTGTCACTGTTCATATGAATTTAAAATTTGACTATTCTTTTTTTAAGTTTACTTATCCTGTTGGAATAACATTGGTTTAGTTCTATTTTTCATTAATTAGTAACTAATTAATAGCTATTTCAATTCTAAGTTATAGGAATCTTTAAGTGTTTTACTGTTTTATACATTATGTATTAACCCTTTTTTATTTTGATAATGTTGATCCACATATGAATACTTTACACACTTATATACATATTATTTTGAAGTAGTTAAATATCAATAAAGTTGTATGACAAATCATAAAAATTGTTCTGCTGTTACAAATTACATTCTCTTTACATTTATAACGAAAAATATATTTTCAAATTGTTTCAGTTAAATGCAAATAAGCATCCAAAAATTTAACATTACCAACAGTTGAGAACAACAAACATTACATGCTTACCATATTTGTAACTTCACTTTTTTGCCATCTAGATCTATTGTCCGAATTTTGAAGTCGATACCTGGAAGTAGCAATTTGTAACATTTGAGGGTCAATTAATTAGGAAGAATGATGTCATGAAACCTCATTCATTAATTTGATAAGGGCTTCATTATTAGTACGATGCTGCCGCACCCTTCTAGTAGTTACTCCGTTTAACCCATCACACAAAAACAGTTTACAGAACAATGAAGCAAAAAGTCTGTTCCGTGACAAATTACACATAAAAAAAGAAAATATCTGACAATAACCTTTGGTATAGATATGAATTACTTACCAATAGTTGATATAAAAGATATATTGAACGCATCTTCAGAAAATCTAAAAAGTATAGACGTTTTGCCTACTCCTGAATCACCTATTAAAAGTAATTTTAATAAATAATCGTAAGTTTTTGCCATTTTTCAACACGATCTGATTAGATGAGTACTCTACATTGGCCATTCATCTGGCATTTTTGAGAAATGTTGCCAGTGTAGTAAGTAAGTACCATGGACGTAGTACTAATATGACAGGACTCGTAACTGAAAAATTGTAATTTTCGAAAAAGAACTTTAATTTTACTAACTCAAGTGTACCTTCATTGTTTCTTTTACAGAAGCTATTCGGAGCCGAGAGAAGTACTCACAACGGAGGCCGCGTATCTCATTCTTTCATCTTGCCATTGTAAAAAAATATCGTAGACTAAAAATTGAAACTACAATAACCTTAGTGTTTTGAAGTCACACTATTGAAGTCACTATTTTAAAAATTAAAGACACAATCACATTAGTTCCGTTAATATGAAATTATTACAAAATGTAGTACTAATTATTATCAAGGTTATTTGCTAACTTATTTTTTACTGGTATCCCTTTTAAGAATCATGGCAGTGACATACTAGGCATCATAATTTACGCAAATTATTGCTACGTGTTTGGGATAAAAATTAACGCCAATTATAATTTCACACTTCAACTTTACTATTTCACGTTGCTAATAACACTTCACAACACTAAGAGATCGTTCATCGCACTAGCTATCGCATCGAGTTTTGCTTCCGATCGCTTTTGCTTTCAGATCACTTGAACACTGAAGAAAGCCGAGACGGGTAGTCCACCGCGTATTTATAGGGGCCAATACCACATCTAGAATGTTATGGGTTGGTCTCGGCCCTACCAGTGTACTCGAGGCATTACCAAAAAGATCTAGAACGTCCTTTTCTTACCGACCCGATGTATACTAATATTACACAGGTAGTCTCAACAGTGCTAGCGCGATTTATTGGTGTATATCGCTGTCTACTAATGTGCAGACAATCACGCTGCTGCCCTCCGTAATACTAACCCCACCTTATCCCCATATGCTGAAATGAAATGAAAATATCTTTATTCAAGTATACAAGCACTTTTGAATCGTCCAAAAAACTTTTTTTCCCTACCACTTGTTCAGGACGTCTTTTAGCTGACAAGAAGAACAAGCGAAAGAAACTTACCAGCTTTTTATCATAAGTTATGAAATGACATTTACATAAATCATGTCATTACCAAAATAATATGTATTATCACAATAGTAAATACAACTTTCAAAGTCTGTAGGACATAGGTTGAACATATAATTAGAACAAAGCGAAGGCTATTAATTCCATGCATTGCGATCCTTAAAATAATCATCAACTTTATAATAGCCTTTACTCATAAGTATATTCTTTACATGAATTTGAAATTTATTTATGGGTATGTCAATTACATTTTGTGGAACTTTATTGAACATAGCAATACATTTACCCAGAAATGATCCTCTGGTTTTTTGAAGTCTGAAGCTTGGAACGGCAAGTTTATCTTTATTTCTTGTGTTAAGATTATGAACACTACTTTTTTTTGTGAAGGAATCTCTCTCTGATCTTCAACCGAGTCCTTTTTATTTCCATGTGACCTCCAGAGTACTCATCATGGTATAACTAGAGCAAATCTGATATCTCGATTCTAGGCACAATCACCTGAAGGTGAAAGTTATTTCCACTTTTAAAGTTTCTCGCTGCATTGTTACATACTTCTAATAACGGGTATTAGTAAGGTCAGTGTAAAAATCGCGTCTAATACCCGTTATTGAAAGTTATTTCCTCGGGCATTTTCCCATTTATGGAATCTTGCATAATCAGGCTATCTCATTGTACTTAATAACTCTTTGTAATTGGGCTCATTACAGCCACCTCACTCCATTTAGGAAACATTCGACGATTGGCTGTTAGTCGTTGTCATCCTTTTGTCTCTTTCACAAGGAATCCTTCAATTCCAAGCAAAACATTGAGGGTGTAGTGTTGTGGACGATCGCTTGCTGATATAGCAACTACAACCACACGATGACTGCTATCGTCTTTGCATATTGATTCTGCTCATGGCGGTGTTAGGCAAGTAATGGACAGGAAATAAATTGACCACCTATTTTATTACCGGCCTTTGCAATCGTCGCTGAACTTCCGCTATCGTAGATCAAACACGTTTACCACTATACCATCGAGCTATTTACTTAATTATAAAGTAGGAATATTAAAATATCTTTTTGTCAAATTGAATATATTTTGATTATTTGGTAATATTATTACCAGACCATAAGTACATGCATATGGAATGTGCGTTTCGTGTGCATAGAAAATAAAAATATGTTTATTCTAACAAAAAAAAAATAACAATTTTCTTCAAATCCGAGAAGATTATTGTAAAATTAATATATGTATATATCTATACATATATTTATGAGAAATAATTTATTGGTGTATATGCGATTTATAACTTTGGTTAGCAAAAATTTTTAATCAGCCCTGGCTTGCAGCTATATACGCAGATGAGGTAATAAAATTAAATATCACTGAATAAAATTCAATAAAAAATTAATTTTTAATTATTATTTGCCAGAATCCTCGAAGGACATTATCGAAATATTGTATTAAAACATTCGAAATTCTTATTATTATTCAAGTCACATTGTCAAATATCTTATTGCTGCTTTAAATAGATTGAGGTTGGATTTTGAATAACACATTCATGAAATGAAGCACAAATTATAATAATAAAATATAACAAAGAAAATTGGATTCAGTGCTCTCTAAGTATTATTACATTTTAGCTTATGCAGACTACGAAAAATTAGTATAAAAGACCAAGAAAAAAAATACTTTTAACATTTTCAATTGTATTTTATTCAATTAATATTTTATTAAAAGTAAGTTTCTAGACACTTGTAACTTTCGATATTGATTTATTTATTTATTCAACATTTCGATATTTTTGGACATCTTTATACTATCTGATAAGTATCTAAAATTTCGATATATCGCTGCTAACCAAAGAGAAAAATAATACAGACTGCTAACATATGCTCAAACCTTTACAAAAAAATAGGAATAAACCATAGAGTAAGGTAGAGTGGAAATATTTTCTTTGGTTATATAAATATCATGCAATCTGAAGTTGACATCAAAAACATCATGTTGTCTTTTTTTAACTAATAAGAAGTTTCTTTAGTAAACAAAGATAACACTAGTGTGACAGTTCAAAATTTTTTACGTGACGTCATGAGATATAGCTATCGTACCACCTGTCAGCCATTTGCAAATTTGCTTTGCGTATTCTCGGAAGTAGTTCAGCTGTCAGTGTTATAAGTTTTGTGGTTATTTTCATTTATAACTTTAATTTATATAACTTTCATGGCAGAAAATTGTAAATTATTTATGCAAAACAATGCCTAGGTGCTGTATAATTGGTTGTGCGTCATCAATATCCCGCAAACCGAGCAATATTACGTTTCACCGGTAAGTTAAACACTTTCTTGGAATAACAGTATTTAAAACGTAAGTAAGTTATTCTGAAAATGATTGCGTGTATAAATCGATACATATCGTATTTTGGCGTGTTCTATTTATGCTATATTGCTCTTTTCGTTTATATTTTTATAATATTTCGGTCCGTAAATAATATTGTTTACATGGCTAGTGTCGTTACTTTAACATATGGTTTATATCGATAATTTTAATATTTAAAAATATATTAATTATTTTAGATTACCAAAAGATGAAACAAAAGAGGAAAATGCCGAGTTACATAGAAGCAGAAAATATTAAATGTAATGAAAAAGTTACTTTTATCTGCTCACTTCATTTTAGGGAAAGTTGTTTGAATCGAACTTTAAATATAATAAAATTACGAGATGATGCATTGCCAATCAAATACTCTGGTAAGAATTTTTGACAATTGCTTTTAACTTATTTAAAAAAAAATGTCTATTACACTTAGTTAATTTTCATTTGATTTTACTGATTTATTTATTTAGTTTTTTATATAGTCATTTTGTTATTCTATAAATGTACCTTATTTTTAGTCTTGCGGTCATATGACGACTATTTTAATTGAAAAAAATCAGAATGCAATATATAATAATATTAAAATATAAAATTCTGATCATAATATACTCCCAGTAAAATATACAATAAAATGAGTTAAATAATTTTAATAAAAATTAAAATATGCACACTTATCAAATTAAAGGTTTTCTTTGCTGTTCAATAGTATAATCTTAATACCCAAATAATTATTTTGCGGCGTGGATGTTTATTTTGCTGATGCATCATAAAATACGCTACCTTTTTGAATTTAAATTGCTGACCGTTATCATGATTGTTCACAGAACATGAATTGCAGACTGTTTTAGTGCTGAGAAAATATTTGTATGCTTGCCTATTAATCGGCTGTTTTCTTCTTGCTAACCAAATTTTTAAATAAAATGCCAATTGTTACTTCTTTAATAATGTTACTGTTATGCCAATTGTTACTTATTCATCACCAACTTTGTTTTCTTTATTTTCTCTTGTTTATTCATCAAAGTTTACAGTATTTTTATGTTCTTTTACCAATAATATAATACAAAGATTATGTAGGTGTTTTCAAGTTTTCTATGTTTACTACTAAACAAGATGTTCTGAACTAAAATTGTGACACAGTACGCACGGTATCTCACTTAATGAGGAGGAAGCGAAATTTATTCAGTAAAAACAATTTATTGAATAAATTTATAGACAAGTTGGCTTACTAGTTACAAGCATATAAGAAACTCGAAACTCTGTGCTTATAATTCGTAAATCTATTACGGGAAACCTTAGTACCGAGAAAAGAAGAAGGGGAACCGGTAAGAAACTGCAAGTGCTGCTTTTGCACCCTGTTTAATTTACTGTACTGTACTGAATAAATAAAATAATTACTTCATTGCACCAAAACGTCACTTTCCACTATAACAATTAAAAAATATATAACAGACAAAAAAAAAAACATAATAATTCATTCGTCAATCGATTAATTTAAAGCTTATTATAGTTACCGGTGGCAGTTATCTTGGACAGTGGTCACACTTCCCGTGGATGCAAAATAAAACTTGTGTTAAAAAAATCTATTTAATTATAGTTGCAAAATATCTACTTTACAATATATATGGAAATAATTAAAAACCACTATTGATATTATTGTTAAACTTTTAAGATATATATTTTGGTACTATAGTTCTTGAAACTACGTAAAATTGTCTATATTAGAGGAAACAGAAACATATTTTATCGAGGTACAGATCATATTATAAAATAATATTTATATAGTATAAATGTGAAAGTTTGTGAGGATGGATGTTGGTTACTCTCATGCAAAAACTACTGAACAGGTTTTGATGAAATGTTGGATTGTGGGAAGCGCCATCATACGCTGGTAACATAGGTTATAATTACTATACTGACGCAACGGAGTCGCAAGAACAATGAGACTTTTTAGATGTCCAACAAAACACGAGCAAAAGTATGCTTAAAGATTTATAAATAATTGATAAATTCACGCCACTTTTAACAAAATATTATTTTCTTAAAACTGGCGTGAATTTATCTATTTAATTAATAATAATCATAAATAGGATTGGTACGTAAGTGTGAAACGAATAGAAGTATATATAGGTAATAGTTTAGCCATGCCCCTAACAATGGATATTATATTACTTTATTTAATAAGTAGTTGTTTTGTAGCAATTTCACGAAATACTAACTTTTATTTAATATGACTTCAATGTCGATACAAATATCGATATCATGGGCCGTGCCCTATGACAGTCCGCCATCCAAAAATTTGCATTTAAAGTTTAGGCATATACGCTTTTTTCGTAGGTATGGCCGGTCCTCTTCTTTTATGTCTATGGAATAAACGTAATCGTAAACGTCATATCTCCTTCTTGGTCTGTGGTAATGGTAAACGAAACCAAACCAAACGGTATGAATGTACTTAATTTGTGTTGTTTTAAATGCCGATGCGGTTTTGCTGCATAAAAATCACAAATTGTTTAACAGACAATATACTTTACTCTTGAAAAAAATATGCACTTTTGAATGTTAAAATGTTTTACCATGTAAGTTGTGTAAATAAATTGAATCACAAATACGATAACCTTATTTGTTTGTTGTTTACATTGAAAATATAACTTACAGTTATCCCTGGAACACGAGATTCTATTGCATCCTAGGTATTTCGGGCCCCAATTGTTAGATACAGTAAAACAAAAACTTTATACAGAAGTAGAAGGAACATGCACAGGAAAGTAAGTACCTATAAATCTATTTCTCAATGACACATTTTAATAATTTTGTACATAAAATTACTAAAATATATGACTTCTATATAACAATATTTCTCTTCTTGCAGATATGGTTTTGTTATTGCTGTGACCACCATCGATAGCATAGGCGCAGGGCTAATACAGCCCGGGCAAGGGTTTGTGGTGTATCCTGTCAAATATAAAGCTATTGTGTTCAGACCTTTCAAAGGTGAAGTACTAGATGCAATTGTCACTCAAGTGAATAAGGTAACAATAGTACATAGTTTTTTCAATGCTATTTATTACTTTTAAGTGCATAATTTCTTGATAAATCTTTTATAGTTCAAGCCACCCATTTCTGGAATGAGTTGCCTGAAAATATAAGATGTGTGCAAAAAATAGATAGTTTCAACAATCTAGTCAAAGAGCACTATCTGTCATTATGAACTTTTCATTACATATGTATATAGTATGTTTATGCCATGTACACTTAAGACTACCTAATTTAGATTTAAATTGTCCAAACTGTAATGGTTGCCTGGAAGAAATCGCTTCTCAGTGATAAGGCCACCAATTGTACTATTTCTTCTTTATGTTATTGTTTCCTATTATTGGTGTTTATGTACAATAAAGAATTATTCATTAATGTATTATTATACTGTAGTAGAAAAAGTAACGAAGTGCTTGAAAGATTCGTCAGTCCTGTTAGGACCTGGGTAGCTCAGTGGTTAGAGCTGTCGTCCGGATTGCGAAAGGTCGTGAGTTCGATTCCCATCTCAGGGTGCCAGAAACCAAGTGGATTTTTTAAGCATTTTGTATTAAGAATAATTTTCAGTGTGGCATTGTGAATGCAAAATTAATCAAAAATATATCAATCATGTTTCCTTCCGCAGAACTGCCCTGTCAAGCCAAAATACTGTAATGCAGTTTTTTTTACTTACAAAATAAACATTAAATAACCATATGAAAAAAAAGCAGTTGTTGAGCTAAAACACTGTAAGTTGACTTGCTGACTTTTGCATTGGCATGGCAGTGCCAAGGATACAGGACACTATAACATTAAGTTACATACCAATATCTATATATTTAAAATCTATAACATTTAAATGTTTGGAAACATATTTTCATTTCTAAGTAGGTTATATACCAAATTGATTTCATGATAAAATATTTTCCTATATTATAGGTTGGAATGTTTGCCCAGATTGGTCCACTCAGCTGTTTTATTTCTCATCATGTGAGTAAGAAATTTCTTCTAATAATAAAAAAAAAATCAGACCATATTAGTAACACTAAAACAATAGGGGTGTAGACAACTTTAATATTTTTATTTTATAGATATACTTATATGAAATATATTTTAAAAAATATGATTCATATAATAAGTTGAAATCTAAAATAAATTTAATATTCAAAATTTCATGTTTTGATATTTTATAAACTCTGCTTTTTGTAAGATAGAAGTGAAAGCTCAAGTTAAATAGATTATTAAAACTGCATTTCATGACATGATGTAAAGCGTTAATCTATAAAGATGTCTACGTATCGCTGGGAACTGTGATCGCCGCTTCTTGGTGATCGATGCTACCTTGAAGCGAGGCAACCACCAATCAACGTAATGTCGTTTACATATGAGTGAATTCGGTCTAACCTTAGAACGTTATGGATAATAGACAGTTATTGTAAATCTGTGATCGCTACTTCTTGGTGATCGTGAAATCAAAGATTAACGTTATGGTGTTGACATACGAGGGAATTTGGTTTAATTTTAGAACGTTATGGAAAATAGATAGTTATTATATAACTGAATCACTAGTGATCGCGGTTCAGGCAGATCACGTTTTACGATTCTATAGATGTAATGACATTTTATAATATATAAGAATCAACTAAAGCAGTGGAAACACATATATTGAAGAGTCTGTTAACGCGCGCGCCGCGGCCATAGATGGTTCTCGGTGGACTCGGTGTGTAATAAAGCTCATTGTTTCTAGTTTTTTGTGCTAACCATCGCGTTACTCCAGTCATATTTAGGGTATGTTCCGATATACACTGCGACCACTGAACAGTATGACGTCAATTTAGTATACGGGAAGCCCGTTCCTTTATAGCTAGTTATACTGGTGACTTTTTAAAACGGAACGCAGTCCAGTATACTGTTAATCCTATTTTTGGCGCCATTTTCAAATTTGTTAATGCAAGATGAATATAAATATAAAGGATTCCCTCTTTTCAAAAGAAAATATTATAAAATTGGAAAATTGTATAAAAAAAAATATTTATCAATCAAATCTATCTTATAATAAACGTAAGTATTTTATTTTATCTGTTTCGACTGATCACGTGGTCAAAAGCACTGCGAGCACTGCACTTCGAAATCCCAGTGCTCACAGTACAAATATGGCGGCAATTTATGACGTCATAAATTTCCCTACGGTACCGTAGCAGTATACTGGCAGTCCATAACGGAACGGATTTTTCAGCAGTAAGACCACTGCGCAGTGCTCGCAGTGTATATCGGAACATACCCTTAATTTGTAGATAAAATGAGAATAATTGCTTTTTATTTGCTGGTTCTAATAGTCCTATACTCTAGGACCTAAATTTAATACTTGCTGAATATCAAAGTTTTGATGTTCAGTAAACTCATGCTAAAACCTCAAAACTTTGTAGTAGTTATTTATGTGAGTAAATTTGACACCGATTTCTTATCACAATTTCACGAAGTTAATAGACACAATATTTAGTAAATATTAATTCATAGAATCGTTTTTATCCTAGTGCTGGTGGGCTAATATCAGCCCAGCCACAGTCATTTATCTTGGGAATTGCGTAATTTGGATATTTTATATCGACTGGGACTGATAAATTTGGAATTTGATATTTAAAGCATTATTTTCTATATCTAGATAAATAGACAACATCACATATCACGTCTTCTACATTGACCTGGGACCAGGAATCGAAACCGGAACCTCAGAGTTGGCGTCACCTTAAAACCAGTGCGCGAGTCTCTCAGCCATGCAGATTAACATGGTGGCACTGCTGGACTGACAGACACAGAGACCATGATATCAGAATTCCAAAGAAATCATTTCTAATTACATTGTTAAATATCTCGACGGCTAAATTTGGTTTTTGGCCGCCACGACCTCACCGGATCGCCCGCAGAGTGCGCTCGTACTCTTAAGAGGGGAATGCACTAGACGGGCATACCCGCGGGTAAGACCTCGTTACTATAGTCTGGGTAATGACTGCAACGTTTCTACACTAGCCAAAACGCCCGTCCTATAGTAACGAGGTCTAGTAGGCATGTCTGCAGACTTGTCCGTGGGCATGCCAGTCTAGTGAATTTTCCTCTTAAGAGTATGATTTTGATTTCCACCAGTCGCTTCACCCCCGTGGTGTATATAATTTCTTGACAAAACGTTATTCCCTAGTAAACCGATTAATGGGATAAAAAGTATCCTATGCTAATTCAGGATTAGAATTATCGAGATACCAAATTTCATCGAATTCTGTTCAGTAGTTTTTGCATGAAAGAAAAACAAACATACATAAACACTCTCATTCTCACAAACTTTCACATTTTTTTAATATTAATAGAGTTATGGGTCTTTAGAGTGTTGTACAAAGCGGAGACCTTGTAAAGAGAAAATATACTGGCTTGCTGATAAAATACTAATAATATGATTTAGTGAATTGTAAAAATAGTAATGATTCTTAGTGAAAAATGCTTAAAAAATTCAGGACAAAGTGGATTTTTAAGAATTTTAATTAAGTAACATTTAAGCATTTTTCAGTATAGCATTGTGAATGCAAGATTGATCAAATATATTAAAATAGTTTTGATGTTATTATTCTTTACAGTCTATTCCAGCGGATATGGAGTTTTGTCCTAATGTGAATCCACCTTGTTACAAGAGTAAGCAAGAAGATAACGTTATCCAAGAAGAAGATGTCATCCGGTTAAAAATTGTAGGCACAAGAGTGGACGCTAGTGGCATCGTAAGTAGATAATGCGTTTCTGACATGTCATGTCGTCTTTGAAATGGTGTTTGTTCAATCTCAGAGTGCCAGGGACAAACGGGATTATGTCTTTACCTATGAATTTGCTGTTTTTCATGAAATAAATGGAGCAATTTTTTATTTCTATTAATCAAAGTAATCAGTCAATGTATCTTTGCCAACGCATTGGTAGCTTATTGATGCTCTTCTTGAAGAAATCAGCTGGACGAGAGGCAACAAATTCTTCAAAGAGATTTTTTACTGCCTCTCGGGTATTGAATTTCTTTCCCGCCAAGAAGTTATCCAAATTCTGGAAAAAATAGGTGTCTAGGCGCATGGTTTGGTGAATACTGTGGATGACGGAGAACTTCCAACCCCAGCTCTGTATAAGGTCGCGCGTTGTCGTACAGGAGCAGTGGAACTGAACGATTGACCAAAGCTGCGACCTTCTCCATCATCGTGTTCAGTTCTTTACAGTATACACCTGCAGTAATGCTCGTCCCGTTTGGTAAGAAGCTGTGATGAATTACACCCGCGTTAGACCACCAAACAGTGACCATCGCTTTTCTAGAGGCAAGTTTTCGTTTAGGGCATTACTTGGGTGCTAAACCAACTTGCTGAGCGCTCACGACTGTCGAATAGGATCCATTTCTCGTCACAAGTAATAATGATATTCAAAATTCTTTCATTTGTATGCCTGTTGAGCATTGCAAGACACGTCTCGACGCGTACTTCGCGCTGGCGATCTTTGGGCGTTCGTGGAGTACCCATTTGTCAAGCTTTTTTCCTAGACAGTTTAACGAAAATGAATCAATATTGTTTTGATGCTAAAGTCGAAAGCTGCTGCTAATTCAGCTAATTCAGCCGTAGATTGAGTTTCTCCAAAATCTGCCAAAAAAATATTTTGATTTGAAATGCCCAGTATGGCATAACGGCAATTTCATAGGTATAAGACCTTTTATATATTTTAACATAATAATTAACATGTTCTTGTTGTTAATGGAAAATCCCTGGGACCTAGTGGATTTTTAAGCATTTTTCATTAATATTTTTCAGTGTATATAGCACTGTGAATGCAAATTGCTCAAATATAATAATTTTCTTGTTTGTTTTTGGCCGTGCTAGTTCTTCCCTAACTATGTCACACTTCAGTCCTTGTGTTATGGAAATCTGAAACAACGAAATTACCACAATACTCACATACAATAGGAAAATTTATTTTATATTTTGACGGATTAGTCAACCGAGATTAGAAGCGACGGGACCTCAGATTTGGCAGCACTTAGAGACTGAAAAACTTTGTCTCGAAGTTGAGTACGAAGAAACGCTAGCACTACCTGTCGCTGTACAGGGTTATGTGAATGAACCCACCAGGCAGCTTTACCACTAAGGGCTCTCAAGAGATATATCCATTTAAACCCTAGCAGTATCCCCGGGAAGTGTTGAATCAGGACTCGACCTCCAGTAGTCTAGTCCCTAACATTAGTCAATACTTAAACATATCTTACAATAAATCCATTAATTTTTTTCAGTTCGCCATTGGAACACTCATGGATGATTATCTTGGACTTGTGACGCAGTAATAATTAAATAAAGAAACCTATTTTATAAGATTTTGATGTTAAGATAAATAAATAATTGAATTCTTTATTATCATTTATTTGGCATTCTAATAATGGGGTAAAGTTCCATACATAAATGTAACAAAAAAACAATTGATCAAAAATAATAAAATATTTGGACATTTTCAGTCTATTTGGGCAGTATGTGGTGGTATTAGATTAGAACGTTTAGATTCTCATTTGCATTAACTTTCTACACACCCTTAATTATTATACACAAAAATGGATAGTGTAATTACTTAATCAAATTACACAATAATGATATACTTACAATTATTTGAAATGGTGTTGCGAAAAATGAATTTACTGAATGCCAAATGTTGAATAATAGTCCATAAATTTAGCTCTAATGATAAAGAGTATTTCACGTCATGAGTATGTATATTTCAATCTTATTATTATTGTTATAATTATTATGTACACAATATAATTCAATTGTAAAAGAAAATAAAATTAAAGTAAAAATATCCAAAGGGAAAGTTTAAAAGTCTTTGGTTCACCAATTATATACAGTCATCTAATTAAATATATAAATAAGTTCTAACCAAATGTTGCTTATATAACACAAAATTATGGCATCTAAATAAATAATACTCAATATGAGATCAGAAACTCAAAGATAAGCAAAATGTGATCGTGTCAGCACCAAATAAGTCTAAATAATAATTTTAACTATGGCCACCTCCTTGCTTATATTATCCAAATTTAAACATATTTAAAGATTACCTAACGGAGGTAGCAGAACCTTCAAGCTTCAAAACATGTAGGCAATATTTTTTTTATGCCTATGTTATCAAATATATTTTTATAATAAAATATGGAGACATAACATTGTGCAATATAATGTACTATGCATGATAGAGGATATATAGTTTATTTAAAACGATGAGTAATTATTTTTGCAGTTATAATAAATTTGCACGAATCGCTCACTGATAATAATTAACAGTTACGCTTGTAATAATATCTACTGGCTCTAATAAAAAACTAACTCACATCAGCAATAGATAATTCTCTATTCAAATATGAATTAGTCTTTTATGACATATCCAGCAACATTATTTCAGCTTACAAGGCACAAAATAATATTTTAGGTATTTTATTGAGGGTGAGATATTTCTAGCAACATATTGGAAACTAAAGGACTCTACAGTTCTATTTGGAAGGTTGCTTATTATATCACGTTGCATATTATGTATAGGGAAATAGACTTAGTGGTATGGTCTTAAATTAATTAATTTATATCGACATTTTAATGAAAAAAAATAATCAAATAGCTAACCTACTCCACTCGTAACATTAATGTTGTAGTAAATCTAATTATTGTGCTAATGGGTTATATGAATTCTATGGAATCGGCCAAGCAGAAAATGTGAGTTTATATTTAATCACAAAAATGTCGATATAAAACAGATCTTATACGTTAACCACAGACTAGGGGAGGATAAGATTGTTTATAAGATATCATTATCTATTTAACCTGAAACATCTTAATATTTAACTTTCAGTGAGACTAACCGACAACATGTAACATTAATTTTTAACAGCAATAATACTGACAATAACTTTGAAGTGTGATGAGCGGTATGTATATTTTTATTATCTTAAATATTTTATTTAAAACTGCTGTAATGTTCACTATTGACTATATATGGTTTACTTTTGCTTCCCCGTCTTCTGGCAACTGAAAATCGTCCATCCTTGCACTCGGAACCGAACGCACTTATATCTGACCCATTGTAGTGTTCTGATTTAAAGCTTTAAATAAATAAATAAAATTATGATTTGAAAAGAAACGTTTTGATCGTTACCATATCCTTTGGCGAAAACGCAACGGATTTCTTTTCCACAAATAACATATTACATATGTTGGGCACGACTACACCATTCTCTTTGGGCGCGAGCGAACTTTTTAAATAATTATCTATAACTTTCACTTTCATAAATTATCTAACGGCTAAGCACCGATGTTATAAATTATTTAGGATCCATAGTTTGTTCACACTCACCTAATTAAGGTATATAAATTTCTAAACAGTCTTCTGTGATCATGTACTGGTATAAATATACCTTTTTTATAAATATCCAACAAAAGTTTAATATTTATAACTAAACTAAATATTTCATGATCGTTTTGATTATGTCAGATTTCATTTAATAATACTAACAAGAAAATAAAGTGATTCTTTATTCACATGAGAGTTTAGAAATTTATATTTGTTATCAATCGCTCGCGTCCAATCTCTCTAATGTACCCATTGACCGAAACAACAGCGGCTAGGTGACCAGTTATTGGCCAATTTGCTATTGTAGGCCGTAGTAGCTTTATTATAAAATACGCTACATAGGCATCTATAAGCTCTAGACTTGCGTTAGGGAAAATTCTCATTTAAAAATAGAGATGACTAGGTAAAAAAAAAAATTAAATTCTTTTTAGTCTGTCAGTCATAATAATAGAAAAATATTAGACACGATTTTTTTTACTTTATTTTAAATGCACCAAAGCATGGTGACGTCATGCGGCATTTTAACTCAATTTATCGCCATAATTTATGATTACGAAAAAAAAATACGTGTTTCATATTTTTCAACACTACCAAATGGACAAACAAAAAAAAAAAAGTCGTCAGCCCTATTATATTTCTAAATAATTTAGATAATCGCTAAGAGATTAAGCTAAATTTGTTATTGAGAATTCGCCCTTACGAGTCGTCATCGTAACCAGGCCACTAGACGATCAAAAAGCAATCACACATTATTTGACTTCTGTCAATACGCAACATTGGTATGATCACTATGTAGTTTGATCGCCTAATGTCCGGCTAATAGTGGTAACTAGCCGCTGCCCGGTGGTGGGTAGACGTTCACTGGCCGACCGTTAGCGTTGACGACGCTGCCCGTCCGTCCGGGCTAGCGTGTAGCCGCTCACTGCCTGACGTGGAAGCACTGGCACTAGGCGTGCGGATGTCACGAGGCGGCCGCGGCCGGCGGGGGCGCTGCCGGCGACACGGGCCCGCGGACCGCCTCGATGTAGTCCTTGATCAGGGTGGCGATCTGGTATGCCTGAATAAATAACAACGTATGCATGGTTAATTGGAGGCCTCTTTATATCGAATAGCTAGTAATACTACTGGACGTTTTTTGTTGATTTATGATGTGATTGAATAGGTCCTCGATTTGTTTTTATTATTACGATTTATACTTCAAATAAAATATGTTAAACGATTATTAAACGTACATTTATACACATTTGCTAGGAGAGAAATTATAGATAAACATGCATTTAAACATAGTTATTATGTACACAATATCGTCAATAACATAGTTTAGCATTCAAGTTACATTTGGTGTACAGAGTGCTTAGTTTAAGTCCCACTAACTTAAACGAACTTGATCGGTTAAATTTGTAAACACGAAAGATATCGAGGCGCATAATTAAAATAGTATATGTGTACTACCGCGTCCATCGAGTAGACGCGAAACGGATCGAACGTTGAAAACATGCCAGTTTGAGTTATAATCACACAAACTATTCAATTTGCCTTAACTTGCCGTGGGAAGTGAACGTTTGTAATAAACCAACCGCATTAATAACTTGTATACATTTATAACTCACTATTTTATGTTCATTTGTTCTATATTACTTATCCCTAGTATAAATCTTCGTGGTTTTTTGTTGAATAAGGTTATAAATAATTGATAATGTATGATTCAATAATAAATTAGATAAAAAAAAATTGAATAAAAACCTGATCTGTGGAGAGCACCAGTTTGGCGTGCTTGCGGTCCGCGCGCGTGACCAGCAGCAGCGCGCGCGGCGCGGGCGACACCGCCAGCAGCTGGTCGTGGTCGTGCGACACGAGCGCCGCGCGCGCGCCGCGCCGCAGCAGCGTCAGCCCGCGCGCGTCCACCGCCAGCCACAGGGCGCGCGGCCAGTTCGACGTGAACGATTGCTGCAGAACGCACGTTATAAAACCAGACTTACTATCATATTTTATTTATTTAATCTTTATGCCTATAACATAGCAATGGCGGACTTAATGCCAAAAAGGTATTCTCTACCAGTTAAACCGATGAAGGTGTACAGAGCATTCAAAAGGCGGTATCATTAAAAGAACAAAGTTACAATTTATAACTAATAATACCAACAAATTATATATAAAATACACAGTGCCGGTTTTAGCACTACTGGCGCCCTGGGCGAAATTTCTTCGGCGCCCTCTAACTGCAATTCAATTACAATCAGTTACTACTACATACTACAAATCAGTTACTAGTCTTTTTTTTCGCCGACCCAGCCTACTTACTTGTAATATTCCCTAATTTTAGTTAGATTGTTAAGTTGGCAGCATTAGAATGGAAAGTAGTGTTCAATCGGTTTAATTTCTCGGGAATCCCCAACTTTCCGACCATACAGAAACAATGTGTTATTCTATAATCGGGGATTCCCTAGATCTATCTCTTTTAAATTTTGGCGAAGAAGAACACAATCAATAATAGGGATGATGACTAATTTTTGTTTGTTTGTCCGTCAGGTAGAGTGTTAAAAAATATTAAACACGTATTTTTTTATTTTTTTCGTAATCATAAAATTACGGCTTTACATGGAGTTGAAATTTTGCATGACGTCACGTTAGGGTACGTTTTCTACTCAACTGCGACGTAGCGAGCCCCCACTCCTCAACTTTAATGCCTGTTATCTAAGCTATTTATTGTTAAATTGAAGTAAAAAAAAATACGTATCTAATATTTTTCTATTATCTGACTGACGGACTAAATAGAATTGCATTTTTTTACCCTGTCATCATCCCTATTATCTTCTTGCTCGACATAAGTGGACGCTCTTAAAACAATTATTTGATTATTTTAAAACAAACAAACACAGTAATTAAACGTTTAACGCTACGTTACGATGTTCTTGTTCCAACTATATAGTGACATTAATTTTATTTAAATTGCGTATAAGTAGCTGATTCATTTTTGACGGATCACATCATTAGGTAAGTACAGATTCAATTTTACCCTAACAGGGTGTCACATAATTGTTATCTATAAGTTTGTGTAATTGTTGTAACTTTGTGACAGTGAGTTTGCAGTGGGCCACTACTTATTATATAATCAATTATTTTGCTATTTCAAATAAGTGGACAAGTAGCTGGATCCGCTATATTCGGGACAACAGTATCAACATCATCTAGTACATGTATTTGTTGTACATCAATAACAGATTTATCTTGAGCAGCATCTGTAATTATAGCACAACTTGCTCCCTTACTTCGGGATTTTTCATCCACATCTCTTGAGTAGCTATTCCATCTGACTTGCCAGACAAAGGTTCCACTGCCGATGCATTCGTTTGTATTGCAGCATTTTAGCTTCAGCTTAACGTTTAATTAAACATGCTCAAACGAAAATTTTCTTAAATGATTATGGTTTATAATGCCCACAAGTGTACGTTATATTACCTAATAAAATACATATCTTCTTATTGGTAATCGGTATGTTGTTCTGTTTTACCATAATATAACATTTTTCTTGTTAAGTTTCCTTTCAATTCATGCTGAAAGTGAGGCAACTTGAATATAAAAAAAATATCCTCAAGGTTCTTGTTCCTTTTTCGCCGACCCAGTAGGCCTTGTTCAATGAGGAAGGGAATTATAAGAGGGCGTCTGTGGGAAATGAGGAAGTATTAGAAAAAAACATTAGTTCCCGAAATCAAACTAGATGTTGCTACGGTATGTTCTTGATTTCTCCATGACAACCCTTCCGGATTTCTTTCATGTTTAAAAGTAAATTAGTTTTCAAAACTCAATGAACAACTCATATTCTATTTGTACTTTTTCGTATTTGTATTGAGATCTAAGTTTCGAACATTTCAAATTTCAGTTTTTTAATATGTTAGTTAAAATGAACGGAAATGACTGTCTTTGTTCCATTCGTTTCCTGCAAAAATCAACTTTTGCTAGAGTCGCCATCTAGGTGGAGGTATTTTTGTAGTGCTTTCGTTTTTTTTAAATACTTCCTCATTATACAGAATCAGAAAGAAGCGCCGGACGAAAAAGGGGCGCCGCGGCCCGCGGCGCCCCTTTTCGTCCGGCGCCCCTGGGCGGTCGCCCAACCGCGCCCTACCCTAACGCCGCTACTGAAAATACAAATATATACATACACACTATAATCTTATATAAAAAATATATAAACATACATACATAGAATATGACTCTTGATTATAATGGTACAGAGACCCTGCTCTGAGCCAGGCCCGGATTTAGGGGAGAAAGGTGCCATATTCATCATTCACCTATGTACAGTTAAAAACTGTTCATACATCATTCTAGGCATAATATAAAATTCGGCTTCACAAAACGTTAGAGTCGTCAGAGAAAGGGAATACGAAGGAAATACGAAGTTACTGCCACGGCTAAAATAAATCGTAGATCCGGACCTGCTCTGAGGTATAATAAGTCTTTCCCTCAAACAGATTTCGAATCTTGGTGTATTTCGAGTGTACCATACCAAACATTCACACACACAAACACATATACATATAAATATACACATTCACTATTACATTTATTTTCTTATTTTTAATGGTACGTAATTTATATCACGTGGATTGTTATGTTCTCATAAGACGGTAGACAAAACTGGTGTCTGAGACCTGAGAAAGAGGTTTTGTATATGTATAACTAAGGGCTACTTAAAATACTCGTACGAATTAAAATAACACCTGAAGACTTATTCTATATCTTGAAAAATGAAATTCTGATTTTTTCCCTAATACATACTTATACAACAAAGAAACGTTTATTTTGATAATATATGATGCAACGTAGGTAAGAGCAGACACTGATGTCTCTTATACACAGACAATCTTTCGAAATTCTCTAGAGTTTTTGTTCAGGGACAAATAGAATAGGCTCTCAGAAAATCTATCACAGTCACTTTGAATTTGAAAATATTCACGAACTTCACGCTACAATTATTTTAGATGTGATAGAAACTACGATCACAACCTTTTTTGAGCTGTACTGAACGATACTAAATGAACTATGAAACGTTTTATGCATTTATATTTGTATATACATAGGTAAATAAAAATAGAAAGTATATTTACTCCGTCAGACAGATAATAGAAAATTTGAGAACCGTATTTTTTTTACGTCAACAAGAAATCGCTTAGATAACACATTAAAAGTAAAGGAGTGTGGGCTCGCTACGTCACTGTTTAGTAGGAAATGTCCAAATGCGTGACGTCATGTGGCCTTATAAATTAATAAATCGCAATAATTTAATGATTACGCAAAGAATACTCGTCTAATATTTTTTAGCAATCTACCTGACGGATAAATAAAATAGTATGCTATAATATGCTATGTTAGTACGGTAAATTATAATCTTACCATGACATCGAAGATTGTGGCCCTGGCTAGTGGCCAGGAGGCGGCTAGCGTGAGTGCTCTCTGCATGGCGGCGTGTGCGTCTGTACCGCGTAACGCGAGGTGATGTAACCTTTATAATATCAAGAATAAACTTACTTGGTTATCTTGACAATTATTTACATACCTTAAAATACTCTCTGCAATTTTTTTTAGATAATTATTATATTTGATCAATTGCCTGAACATTGATGAGAATATGCTCTGTAATAGCGAAAAAGTAACAAGTGCTTGAAAGATTCACCAGTCCTGTTAGGTTCGGGTTAGAGTACTGAGTGAATGAAATGAAAATGAATGAATAAACGAATGATTGCGCCCGGATTCTGAAGGTCATGAGTTCGAATCCCATCTCAGGGTGCCAGTTTCATTAAGAATTTTAGAGTTATATAACTGAAAAAAATATCCCTCATTGAAAAACTAACATAATGTAACTTCGTAATTGATAAAATAAAATAACATCTACGAGCCCTTCATACACCGGAGTTATTGGCACGCTTGTTGTGACGTCATAGTCTACGACCCAGACGACGCCGAGTGGTATGACATTTCCGGACTTCAATGTTATGTTTTCGATAATGTCCTTCAATCAATCTAACTTTTTATAACATTACAAATCTCTATACGTAGACTTTGTCATCGCTCTGATAACATTGCGATTTAGCACGTTTTTTCACATTTTCATAATTATTTTCCTTCCGAAAAAAATATTACATAGAAATTATATTAAAACCATAATGTTCATATTAAGACTCATATATTATATAAGCTAAAACCACAGTTAAGGACGAGTATCATAAGTTGCTAGTATAACATGTAGACTTTGCTCGCATACCTGACCGCTGGCGCGGGTAACGCAGGCTGCGATAACCGCGCGGGCAGCACCGCCCCTGCCGCCACCGCACACTCCTCGCCGCCGCCCAAACAGTCGCCGTTCACTACTTGTGCGTGAAGAGCGGCTAACATCACCTGTTAAATGTTACATTAGTTATAAATAACGTTTGTAAAAATATTTCTTTCGGTTGTGTGAGTATTGACTGAACGCTGATGAAATTACGCTCACTAGTAGTGTAGTCCTGTTAGGTCTAGGGTAGCTCGATGGTTAAAGGAGTCATAATACAGTCATGGAATAAATACGTAAATTGTTTTCTGCTGTTAGTTAAAGAAAATATAACCTTAAGAGCCTGTACACGCAACATTTTTTAAACGCCCTACCAATGGGCATTTGTAACGATACAGACTAGATTGTGACGCTGCTTCTGACTCATGAGTTTATCGCGTCTTATGCATAGGCTCTAACATAAAAGACAATGATCCCGCTCGAAGGACCACTCGAATGAAATCAGTATAAATGTTCAGTTTACGTAATTTCACGAAAAATAACGCACACATATATCAGAGAAATAAATAATATTCAGAATATCGGTCCATGTACAAATTATTAGCGGATAAGTTTACACAATACTATATACTTACCGCTTCGTCAGTTTCGATGGGTAGGCGGTCATGTCGTACGGCGTGCAAAACTTGATAATAAAGAAGTTCCATTTCGGCCGCACAAGCCGTATGTAGCGGCCTCTCGCCCAGGAATAGACGCTTTTTGAACACCAACCTATGCATTAAATAATAAATAAATTTCCATTACTTATCCGTTTCTCACTATCACAATACATATCTGACAAACTAAGTAATTTAATGAAAATTGAATAGATGATGAGAATTCAATTATAATAGCGTTTTACGATTCCTCAATCACGACTCATCTTAATTCTTTTATGAAACTCGACTTAACAAGCATGCATTTTAAAAACTGTACATATATTTGCTTCCATATCAGCATAAATACTTAAATAAATTGATACAAAATTATATTTATGTAATCTCTATGACGAATTAGTATCAAAATCCGGCTCGAAGGATCACAAAGAGATTGAGATGAGACCTACTCTAAATCTATCGATTATTTGATGGTTAGCAGCAATCCCTTAGGAAACTATCAATCCAACGCAAATGATTATGAAAGTTGAAAACAACATAAAATTAATTACCTGTCAGTACAAAACATATCAGTTTTTAAGTTAACCAACTTGAAATAGCCATAATAAACTTTCAGAAGAGGGAAAAATGATAACCAGATTACTACAAACACTTTTTTTTATATGACACTAGCTGTTTATAAGATTTTCTCATAATTAAATAAAATTTAATATTACCTACCTACATACAATATTATTTTTACGATTCAATGAAAACAAATAACTATGTCACAAGGTATTTCATTAATACGAATAAACAGCTTTTTATATTTCCTTATTTATACTTAACTACCTAACTATAAGACAACTTTGTAATTGAGATACAGAGAAATAAAATTTATTTATTTACTTTTCCGAGTAAATTATAGCCGCCAGCCTCTTCAATGCAAACAGATCTCTCTTTTTTATAATATTAGCATAGACGATCTACCTACATTGTGCCGTCTCGCAACTGTATACGACACCGTATACGTATTAACACGTACCTGCAGGCGGCAGCAGTGGCGCCTGCTTTCTCCCACCGAGCGAGGACGTCACCCACACGCTCGCTACCCGCCAGAGCTCGCTCCCCAGCACCAGTGCCACCCGCCCCCGCGCATACCTCGTATAGCGCGTAACCTATATACCACCACACCATCAATGATTATATCGTAGTTTCTGACTTTCTAAAATATCAATTAGGATATTTTTTTTAATAAAAATTATTAGACGTCTGAGGTTACACGTTGTATATTTTTAACTAAAAAATAAAGAGATTTAAAAACGGAATATTTTAAAGTACAACATGATGTTTAGCATGTGGGCTAGTATTATAATTACAGCATCCCTACAATATCTCATTCACGAGCTGTTTCTAGTCTCTAATTTCTTCATGCTACGCGTTTAGTAAATATTTCGGTAATATTTTCGAAAGCGTAATCTTCTGGCAGTCTGTTTTTAACTAAGATTTTTATTTTATAATTTTAGCTGTTGGGAAACCATGTACATAAATAAAAAAATAATGACATACCGGTGGCGGCATCGGAGAGTCCGATTTTCTCGCGCAACATCGCGCCGAGGTGGTCGGCGGTGGCGGCGGGTCCAAACACGAGTCCGTGTTGCTTCCCGTCTAGTAGCAGCACGCGCACGTGCATCGGTCGCCGCGCGCCCGCGCATAACACCTCCTCCTTAGACGGCGCGCCCAAGCGACGCGGCACTTGCGCGGTACTCAGCGCCACCTGGCACAAGTCACAACACATTGTCACACAAATAGCACAACGCAATTGAAGAACCTGAAACAGTTCAGATCTAGCTAATTAATGTGTTGTTATCGATTGTGTGACTTGACGATGTTTTTTTTCTGTTAACGAACCAGTGACGGATTCTGTGTGAATAAGGCGAAAAAATGTGTATAGAAACATGATTTTGTGTTAAGAAATAACCGAACCAGATCTGTACATTCATATTTATAGTTTTGTAGGCAGAAAAAAATTTGAAATTCTATTTAGTCCGTCAGTCAGATAGTAGAAAACATTAGATACGAATTTATTTTTGCAAAAGAAATGACTTAGATAACAGGACTTAAAGTTGAGGAGTGGGGGATCGCTACTTAACAACTATATAGAAAAAGTACAATGGTGTGATGTAATGCGACATTTCAACCCAATGTATCACTATCATTCATCGTAAATCAAAAAAATAAAATTAAAAAAATTGTTTAAAAACACACTCACCTGTTCAGCTCTTCGTGCAAATTTGCCGTCCTCGCCTGTATGTAGGGCTGCGCCCCTGTATCGCAGGTGTGCTAGTAGCAGTCTCCGCACTGGCTTGGCGGGCGGCAGTGCTGCTCCCACCGCCGCGCACAATAACGCCCAGTGACGGCCCGATACACGAGACGACGGCTCCGGGTGATCCGTCGTCTACGGATCAAATCGTCATCATCAGCCTATTTCCTCACTTCTGGCGAATCACCAGAAGAGTTACGTTTATTAAAAATAGAAATAATTTTGGTTCTGACGGGAAAATAGTTTCCATCTCTCACATTCTATCTTATTTGTATGGCTAAGCGCTCTCACGCCACTTTTTGCTGATAAAAATCAAATACTAGTCACTGAAAAAATTTGGATCTCAAAGAGATTACGTACAAAGCTCTTTCGCTTGGAATAAACCAGGTTTACCTTACTGGGGTTCTCATGTTGAAAAGATTCCGTTTTGAGAGTTTTCGATATAGTGTATTTGATACTATTAAAATAAGTTGTGTATTTTGGTCATCCTGTTAGATAATCATTTAATAAAGTTTATTTCTTTAAATCTGCAGACAAAATATGTTTAGCTTTAATAAAATAATATAAAGAAAGAGCAACAATAAAAAAAAAATAACGACGAAAACGCCCTGTTGGTTGTCATCGTAACCAATAACAGGTTCTGTTTACCGGCATATGACGTCATACGTAAATATTTATTTTTATTAGAGATACGCAACATTTTTATTTATATATACAATTTGTAGTCCATTTCTTTAAACAAAACCAGAGTAAATACAAATACAAAACAACAAAAATTTATCTTCTGTAACTATTTGTTTACTTTGTAAATAAATTATTATAAGGTTAAGTCGCCTTGACATATTTACTGGCATGTAACGTCACCAATACCACGTGATCAGCGCCATTACATGAGCAGCGTTATTTTTTTTTGCGCGATTTTGGCTATTAAAACTTTAACAATTATTTTCATCGAAAATAGAAGTTTCACATGAAATATATTGACAGTGTGTTTATAATATATCAAACAATAATTTAAAAGAGTTTTCAGAAAAGCTTTAAATGGCATATTGCCTATATTAACCAGTATTTATCGCACCGTTCACAAGCCCTGGTACTAAGATTTGTCACACACTGGGACACAGAATAAATTAGACATACCTACACAAAATAATAAAGAATACTAGAAATTTTAAAAGCAGCTATGCTCCAATTAGTGGATTACTTATCTTTTTATTGTCTTAACTAAACATTTGCAAAATCTCCCTTTTATTAATTTCTTCAAATATTGCAACCTAATATTTTAGCTTATTTGGTCCTATATGAACATCAGCATCTCAATTTAGACATCATTGGATTTGTAATTTTATAATGAGCTTTAAGTCATTACTGTTTATATATGTAAGTGGGTCATAGTTTTTGTTGAATTATGAAATAGAAATGTGAATCTAGTGATAAATATAGTAGCCCACCAGATTTTCAGTATTTTTAAAGAGAATAATAAAAAAAAACACCTTTTTTCGGGTATGTAACAACTTTATTCAAAAATTATCTCGGTATATTGTTATAAAACAATTCAGTAATTTTAACTACACCGTGAGTGTCCAGTGCTGTATAATATCATTGTCTGCTTCCAATTTTGTGGCAACTGTCAGCAGGATATTGTTGAAACTACTCATTCTCAACAATAAAAAGAGTTGATACGTTTTCTTAACACGTCCAATGCACTACCCTTTTTTAAGTTCGTAGCGATCCTAAAAAAGATACGCGACCAAGACTGCGTCTAGTTAATTAAGTAAGTACGTACCCGCCAGGCGTGTTCTGTGGCACAGGTTGTAGTAAATTTCTTTTCCTTTCTATTTATTGGTTTCAATGTTGAGTTTTAGTTTTTCTGCATTATGCTGTGCAAGAATCGAGATGATTAAAATAGTGAGATTCAATGTGGATTTTAGGTTGAAAATAGATGTATCAGTAAAAATGGCATATATTTTTTTAAGAGATAAATGTTGAAAATAGATGTATCGGTAAAAAAATATCATGTTTTTTTTAAGAGATCATAACCTTTTAATTAACCTTTAACCTTTTTCATAGTTTGTAGTTATAATTGGTGTGATTTTGGGAATAAATCTATTAATAGTATCGGAAGTTCTGATTTAGATAATGTAACATTTTGAATATTGAAAAAGATTTACTGGAATATTATACTATTCTTTCGGACAATCGATGATTATGTCGGAGTTTCTGATTATCTAAAATATCAGTGAGGATATTTTTTTCTGATTAAAATAATAAGAAGTTTGAGGTTACACGTTGTATATTTTGAACAAAAAAATAAAGAGATTAGCATTTTTATCACGAAACATTGAAAAAGAAACGGCAGATATGTAAAGTACAATATAACCAGGCGGTGCCGCCTTTAGCATGTGGGCTCGCATTATAAATACAGCATCCCTACAATATCTCACTCACAACCTGTTTCTAATTTCTCTAAATTTTTTCATGTTACGCCTTAAGTTAATATCTCGGTAATATTTTAGTAAGCGTACTCATAAATTGAAAATTAATACATCTTCATCATGTGCACTCACTTTAATAATTTGACATAGTTAGTGCCAATTCTATTGGTCCACTCTTGACTAAGCTTAATTAAAAAAATAAAAATATTTGTTATAACCAGTGGTCGGAATTAGGTAGAGTTATTCATGTACTTACACTGATTTCATACAGCGAAAGAATAAAGTGGATATGCCTCAAATCCCAAGATTAATTAAAAAGAGCAGAAAAAGTCCCGTGATTTTTGTTGCCAAACTTACATCAATAACATCGGATGTCCAAAGATGTCCAAGATTGTCCATTGCAAGTAAATAAATAACTCTACCTAATTCCGACCTCTGGTTATAACATTAGTCCGTAGCCGTATGTGATTAAAGAAAAAAAATTAGTCCTTTACATCATACTCATATCGTCTTAGTAATCAAATACACAGTTTGATAGGACATAAAATAAATTTAGTCTAGATTGTAAAACAGAATTGATACCAATGTGTAAAAAGGTTGACAAACGAATAATCTTTTTATGTTAACAGACCTTGAGTGATTATTTATCATTCCGTCCATCAGTTTGTTAAATAGGTCTTTTTATTTTTATCGTCATACCTGTTTGATGAGTTGGACGTATAGTTCGCAGAGCAACGTGTCTTTCTGGAGACAGCGCTGTAGTAAGGACTGTGCGAGTGAGACACGGTCGTCGCTCTCGCTCTCCTGGCTGCTCACGCTGTTGTTGTTGGCCAGATTGTTTGTACTACCCTCATTGGTGGTTAGACCCGCGTGGCTCATTATGTCCTGGTAATAATGATTTACATATAACGGGGCAGTGAGGAAATGACTTGAGGTTGTTCTTTCCTATATTTTATACGATAATAACAAAAATAGGTACCTCACAAGGCATACGACTGATAGATATGGATAAAAAGTATCAACGAAAATATACTCTATTAGTTTTGATTTTAAGTCTTTTTTCCCCCGTTGCGTACACTTAACGCAGATAATTTTTATTGCCATCGTATATTCGAAGTAATTTAACTCAAAGTTAAAACATTAAAGTAGGTATCTCAGAAATTCGACGTCAATACCATGGAAACGCGTGACGACAAATGATTTTTTCTTGGTGCATTTGTTCTTCAGCAACGACTTTGGGTAATAACATACATAAATGTGAAATAAAAACAAATATCAAAAGTTTTAATAAAACTAGACGCTCGAATTGCGTTATTTTATATTACTAGGCTTGGATTTAACATAACCTTATTTCAAGTATCCTCCTTGCAAAAAAACTATATTTCTATGATATAAGTTAATAAGAGACAAGCAAGAATGTGGAGGCTACCTTGAATATCTGCATGGCGGCCACTTCCTCTGCCTCGTTGAGTTTGGTGAGGCTATGAGGCAACGAGCGAGACCAACACCAATACCCTGCCGGGTATCCCTTGTAGCATTCGCCTTGGCTCTCCACCGTCGTATCTAAGCGAATCTTGTCCAGACGGTGCTTGCTAAGCCTATTTGTATAAATACAAATAATTTTTACACATTTATCTTATAAAATTTAATAAATCTACAGACAAACGACTGGATTTGTATATTTGCATATTGTACTTCTTTCTCGCTAACCGCGTACTTGTGTCATTTAATTCATAGCCAATTTGATCTCTATTGACTAAGTCACAACAATCAAATTCTTCACAACTACAATAACTTATCGTATGGAGACCGCCTGGCGCTCTTATTCTGATTGGAACGATTACGTACAGATAAAAAAGTGCGATCGAGAACTTTGTTTTTCATTGTCCAAGTTTGCAATGACCTTATACGAGTAAGATTGTTTAAATGTAAACGTTACCTTCTTAAAGTGTTCCTTAGGAAGTTACCAGTGGATAGTTCTGTAGGCCTTCTTAGCATACCCGAGTCGACTAGGGCTCTTCTAGCACTCTTCAAGGCACCGGCGAGCCTTGATCTCTCCGAGGCGGGCGCAGCCCTACGAGGCGGCTCATCTGCTAAGCCGTTGGCTAGTACAGGACTGTACGCTGCCATTAACCACGCCGCTTCGTTCTTTTGAGCAGACTCTAAGACTATGCATCTACAAAGTATTAAGTTATATTAAACATGTTTATCTAACTCCTCTTTATTGAAAAAACGAAAGAGATTAATAAATTAAGTTTGAGTCATCGCAAGCGCAATCACCCCAACACGCAGTTTTCGGTTCTATGAACTGTGACGTCATTTTATAGCAGGATTCACTGGCTGATAAATATCAGCGGATATATATATCGATTGATATATACGTAGATTTATATCAATTGATATTCATAATATTAATTGTTATTTTGAGTATTGAATCTCAACTAGTAAATTAACCAACCCGTCGTGATGCTGGCAACGTTGGCCCGAAGTAGCAATCGTACTTACAAGAAATTTCGGGTTTTTCCCTATACGTTACTGAGAATCCTCGCACACATACTACTTTTAATTATTTTAAAATAAGTAAACATATATTAAATAAAGCCACTAGCAGCCCAAATATCGTAGCTTTTGAAATGCATGATATATATTTGATATATATCGGATATTTTGATAATTATTATAAATATCGGATTTTCGAGAACCCTGTTTTAGAGTATGTGAAATTTTGGTACTTCTTTAATATAGTTGTAAATCACTAATGATTATTAGAAAATACGGAATATTTCTAGGATTTCATTTAAAAGTAAATTAAAAAGTAACTTTTAAAAAGAGGTTCTCCTCTAATTACATTTATCTTCTTTTGTATAATACCTGTGACCGTCGTGTTGACCGTGATGTGTAAGACTGATCGTGAGGCCATTATCCACTGGATCCATGAGCAGTGCCGCGATATTACTATAAGGATATTCCGCTAACACCACCTTATCGGATGGACGAACTAGCACTACACCCTCAGATCCAACTCCCAATAATACGTTTGGACCTATAAGAATGAAGATATTTTAATAATGGTTATATTCATTTCAATTAATCTTTCAAGCAACTAATATTTTAATGCCTTCACTTTTTGAGCATACGCTATTCCAAATGCAGGCATTTGATTTGATAGTTTTAATAATCTTTAAAGTCAAGACCCTATACCGACCATGTGCCCAGTATCCTTTGTATGTGACAGGGAACAGCGTGACTCCGTACAGTGGGTATTGCATCACACAAGACAAGTATAGCGCTTTAGCAGTCAATTCTGCGCGACCGGCACCATACTGGCGATGTGCCTGCGCCAGGATTGTGGCCTGTCAACGGAAAAGAGTCTTTAAGATTGAGAATGTAAGTACGAAAGCTAAATATATTTTACAATAATGTAGCACGGAAGGTTGGATCGATCGATCATTGCACGTCCTTGCCTCTGGGGGGGAAAGACTCGAAAGTACCTAACAGTTTCCACGTCTGCAAAGGGGTGGGACGGCAAAGTATACGGAGTACATTTATCTTTGTAAAAAAAGTACAATTAGGCCAAATGTATAGTTAAAAGTTAAACACGGCTGCACGTTAGGCTACCATAATATGTCAAACTTCGTCCATTAATTTTCAACTCTTCTTCTTTTCACTAGACCGATGGTCCCATTTACTTGATGTGTGTCCTCCTCATCCGCATTTGTCACCGAGCACGGTTTTGTGTTGCGTCTGTATCAATATTCTCTGTATCTGTATGAATTGATTTTCAACTCTACTTACAATATCATAAGGTTTAACATCGAGTAAAAATATTTGTAGGACCGGAAGGTGGTTACGGTCCTACTTAGATGTAGCAGCTGGCTAGAGAGACTAAAAGGAAATTGTGTCCCTAAAAGCTTGGTGTTTGGAGCTCGAGGCCCTTGGTCCTACCGATGTAGATCGGAAATTGTATTTGATCGTCGATTATTGTAGCGATGGTTGCGCTGTAAGTTAGACGTCACCACAAATTTGTCAATTTTATTTAGCCTGACGGGCTGTTGATTGTAATTAAACAATTTAAATAGTGTTTGTTTCTTAATTAGTTGACTGTTGCCACTGTTGAAAGTAAAACAAAAATGAATTATTATAACTAATTTCTGAACGTAATGAACTGGTAACCTGAATCAAATTGAATTTAACGTGTTTGACCGTCAAGCAAGCAGAGACATTGCATACTACATTTCCCCAACGACACAAAAAGGCGTTTATTTCCGCTTCGGGAACAGTAACTCACCCACTGGTGTGGCGGACGGGCTCTAGCCACACGTTGCGGCAGGAACTGTTCCGGATGTGCGTAGTAAGCCCGCGTGTGAGGCGGCATGGGACTGGGCGGCGGCTCCCCTAGAGATACTTGCGCCTGGAGACCGGCTAGCTGCAGTGCCACTTTCTCTGACACGGGGAACTCATCCATCTGGGTTATCAAATCAATAATTTACATTAAAACCCAACAAATATGGCGTTTCTTACAAATTTACAGACCCCTACCAAATCCGACAATGACCGAACGATACGATTAAAATTTATAATAAGCTTTGTTTCAATAACAATAAGATCTATACTACTCATTCGGATTAACAAGACACTTGAAGTCTATTCTACTTCTTTGAAACATTATTTTGCTGATTTCGACATACTAATACGACTACAAAGAAGCGCAGTTTTTGATAATATATGATGCAAGTCCTAACACTGCCTTTGATAAACAGATAATCTTCAAGGATATGATTTTAATGAAATTTTAAGAACGATTTAAAATTATCTGAATTTTCTTTCGAAGACAAATAGAATCAGTTCTTAGGTGCCATGTTAAGTTATACTTTAAGGGGGCCTACTCCTTTTACTTACTGCTAATTAAAAACTCACCTTGACTACGCTATGCACGGCTTGAGCGTAAAGCAATGCCACCTCGACGGGGTCGTGGGGCAACTCGCGGCCGCCGCGGAACAAACGACGTTTGAACACGAAACGGTTGTCGGCTGATCCTCCACCTGGACCTTGTTGCCTAGAAAATACAGGTTTTTATACTTTGACTGTCTCATGAAATATTGGTAAATATATTCCGAAATAATATAATTTAAAGACACAAGCAAAAAATCACGTTTGTTGTAAAGGAGCCCAATTTTTATTTACTATTTCTTGTTACAATGTCAACATTGATAAGTCATCTGTGAGAATTTTAACTGTCTAATTTTTTAGTCTGGTGTTAGACGTACGAACGAATAGCAGAGTCATAGTAATAAGGTCCCGTTTCTTACTGTTACGAGGATCAAGCATGGCTTTTATGTTGTCCAACGGGAGTCCAAAGCAAAACTAATTTTAATTAATATTATTAATTTATTGAAGGCTCGGTTTCCAATTGCGCTATCGTCATGCAATAGGAAACTATGTTGAGTTTTTTAAATGAACTAAATTATAACAGTACGCAACTCTAACTTTGCAACGTATACTCACATTTCCCAGGCGGCGATGACGTCGTACAGGTACTGCGTGGCCCTGACGTGTTCCTCCTTGCCCCCCCTCTGCTGGTACACGGCCCAGCCGGTCCGGGAGTGGGGCGCCAGGCCGAGCTTGTCCGCGAGTCGCGCGGCCGCCGCCGCCGCCGTGTCTGCCGGATGCACGTCTATTGCCTTAGTGCGCCCGTCCAGGAAGAAGAACCGACATACTATGGTACCTAGACGTCGCATCGCCTGTGGTAACACAAAAGAAACAGTTCATGTAAGTATACTGATACGGAATATCTTAAAACGATACTAACCTAATGTGCACGTTCGAAAACTACTTTTTATTTGGAGTTATCATGTTCCATATCCTCGGGATAGTGTAGAGTAAATGACACATGCATTAAGAGTTATTTTAAGTGAATTAACATTAAAATTAATTTACCAAAAACATTAACGTGAATAAATTATTGTCGAAGAAAGCATTATCGGTATCATAAATATGTTTTAAGGATATCAATGGACAATAAATATGTATAATATATACTGACTGCAATTTCCACAGTGCTCGGCGGCAATTGCCTGGGCGCAGCACCCCTGCAGTTATCTAGACACCACTGTGCACAGTGTGCCGCTCTAGCGGGAGGAGTCTGTCTCGCTCTCGCACGTAGCCAGCTGCAGTAGTGACGAGAGAGACCGCGACTAGGCTGCCACGCCACCGCGCATAAACACAACACTAGCCATAGCCTTTCGGCCCAGTCTTCTACAGGGCATTCAGTTATCTAAACAGAAAATAAGAATAATAATCAATCGTAATTATACAACCAAATTGAAAAACTGTATAATATCACGAAGTGTAAAGGGTTCATTGAATTTCACTGACCTGTCTAACGCATTGCACCAATATTTCGTCTCTCAACTCTTCTCGTTCCAAGCCTTTTGCAATTATAGACTGGATCACTTGAGTTTCTTTATCTGCCGTTAATTCTCCTCTCATATAACGGCATAGTTCCTGAAATATAATGATAAAATGTCACTAGGCTAACAAATAAGCTATTTGACTGTTTTGTTTTTATAAGATCAAACATATTAAATCACTATCAGATTTATTTTATCAAATGTTATTTAAAAAGGAAAAGTGTTTTTATTATTTAATTTGAAATTCAAAATCAATCACTCACCTGACAATTGAGCTGTGACGTCACATCTCAATAAATATGAATATTGGTTTTATGCAAAGATGTTGACGTTCAGTTTATTAAAATGTGACGTCAAACGATGCTTTGTCATGGTCATCGATATTGTTTTAAAGTTTTAACTACTTTGATTACTTCTTATTAGAAACATATAGACGAGACTACATGCTTTTTTGATATTATTTCAAAGTAATTAATACACATACCCGGAACATATTAACGGCGGCGGTGACGCTATCCGGGTCATGTAATTGTATGTGGGATGTCGGTATACTGTTGCCTTTGTAGTACGTGATCATTTCCTCTTTAGACAGCATCTCCATGGATTTGCTCTTGCGAGTTAGAGTTGCCATTATTGTACCTGATACAAAAAAGTTTAAATGGAAATCGTATTCTGTATTAGTTTCTTCTGTGCGTCTGTAGCTAGTTTATGACATCATATACGGGTAAATTTCTACTTTTTCCAACCTTGATTTTGACGTTAGTTTTGCGTTAATTATTGTTTTTTTTTTATTTGCATCAATATTTGTTATTTGAAACTGAACATTGTATATTAATATGATAAAAAAAAAAACAGTCACCCTATTTTTATTTTGTTATAATATTTTCATTTACTATGGAAACTGATAAGTACACTTCTTTTTATATTTAATCTGTACTAATCTATGGTACAAATTTCCATCTTACCTTCTGGTGACCTTGGGTGGTCATTGAAGTATAGTTTGGCAAATTCGGAGAGATCTTTGACGGCATCTGCGGGTGGCGTGGTGGGGGGTAGTGCAGTGGCGGGAGGCGACGCCGCCACTTCCATCTGGTGGAGGCGACGTTCAACACGCTCTTTGCGGCGGGCATTGCGTTCTGTACTCTGTGAGAGTGTATTAAGGCCTATTTTAATACGCACTGCTCTCATTTCATTAAAACCTTAAGCGTACATAAAACGATATTCGTTTCAGAGTGCTGCGACGTCATAGCGAGCGTGACGGAAGTGGCGTATTCGCGGGAAATTATATGTATATATTTTTTTAATTATATTAATGATATCTTCTTAAAATTTTTTATTTAATATATTTAATTCAAATCTATAACATATATAAAAAAGTTGTCTACACCCCTATTCTCACCAAAAAATTTTTATCTCGAGCTACTCCGTGCTTCGGAAGGCACGTTAAGCCGTTGGTCCCGGCTGCATTTGCAGTCGTCAATACCCTCCAATCCGCATTGGGCCAGCGTGGAGGGTCATGGCCCATCCTCCTTAACCATCCATAAGGAAGGCCTGAGCCCCTGCAGTGGGGACGTAAAAGGGCTTGTGTCAGGATAACAAAAATCGATAAGTATAATTGTAGAGACTTGCAATTATCGTTAAATTACGATCGCTATGAGTTTGCGAACGAATTCGGTAATATTACGATCGCAAACACTGTTGAGACTACAGCCCCAAGTTACTCTATTAATATGGTGTATTTATGAAAATATCAGTATTAGTAACCAATTGCGAATGTTGTGAAAAAATAAAACGGGTAAAGATTATAACATAAATGAGATTATGTGTGTAACTTACAGTCATATCTCCGTTAAGTGTGGGCGGGGGGCTGACGCAAGTGTCCATGGGCACGGGGGGCGGGGGCGGAGTGGGCGTCTTGTTCCTGAGCGAGGGCGGGGGCGGAGCGGGCGGTAACGGTGTATCATCTGCTAACGCTGACTCTTTATCGAGTAAGCTGCGAAGGAATCGAGTATTATAATTTATTCGATTCGATATATAAATTAGAAATGGATGTTGTTTTTTCACATGAATATTCATAGAAAATTACAGAAAACTCGGCGTGAAAGCACTTCTATTTTCTGCTTAATTATACATTAAAGGAATTACAAATTCGTCCTATTTCACAATAGGGAATATGCACATTTTTGGAAAATGGTTTTATATGATAATTTACAATATATAACTGTAAAAAAATACCCGGCACCGAAAAACTAACATTTTGTAACATAAATAATTGATGAAAATAAGTAATAGCTACGAGCAGTTTAAACGCCGGAATTTTTGGCGCGCTCGTCGTGACGTCAAAGTACACGACTAGAGATATGACATTTTAAATCAATATAGGTTATGAATGATAGATTATTATTCAATTACCTAAATCGTTTAACAAATTATCGATTTTTTAAAGTATAATAGACTTTTTTAATAAATCTTATAATTTACTTAATTGGTGAAATAAAAATGAAAGCCTAAAACATAATTAAAATTGTAATCAGTTGTTTATTTTGCGACATAATACATTGATGTTATTGCATCGATGTTAACTTTTTGTAACAACGACATCCCTATACGTGTACATTTTCGTCACATCCGCTCTGACAAGTAGCATGGCGTTTAAATATTTTGAAGTTACCGCATTTATTTTGCACTTTTTAATAATTATTTTCAAGACGAAAATGAACTAATATTGAAAAATATTTACATAGACTTTATTCTGAAGTAATAACGATTGTAATAAAATATATTTAACCTTTTTTTGAATCAGACGCATATTCCCTATTTCAGTTAAACTGGTCATAGATATTTTTAATACATTAATATATTTTATTACTCATTATTTTCCGGCGGTGGCGGTGGCGGCGGAGGCGGCGTGGGTAGAGTGACTTCTTTGGCATTATCTTTGTTGGTTTGTTGGTCAGCACGCGGTATGACTGCCTCGTAGATAGGCTCTTTGCCGTTTATCACTGACAATTTGCCGTTGGGGATCACGCCGTTCGTCAACTCCGGCGGAGTAGAATCTGAGGGGGTTTTGTTATAAGTGGCAGTGAAATATGTTTTCGTTATCTATAATTAAGGAAATATTTAAGTGAATAGTACTGTACCAATGCTGGACTTGATTCTCGCTGTAAAATATCAAAACAACCCCAAAGTAAAACTACAAACGAGATGGGGATAAAAGCAAAATTAGGCGTTTCCTAGTTAAGCAATGCCTTGTTCTAGGTTAGTGAACACGGGTGTTAGGATCTTTTATAGAAGCATGTACTGGTTATGCTTGCGATCCAAAGATCAATAGAAATTAAATTTTATTTGTAGCAGAACAGACAACTTGAGAATGTTTATTTTATAAGTTAAGTTTTTATTTAGAAAAATGTTGAATATTAAAAACCAAAAGGATTGAATTTTTTGTAACCACGTAAAAAGATTGAGTATAAATAAAAAAATATATAACAAATATCCATTGCTCTACTCATTTCCAAGGCAAGTACCATATCCAATACAGACTGTATAGGGAGGTTACCTTTCTGTGTCGGCGGGGGTGGGTGTGATGGCGGGGGCGGGGGCGGGGGCGGCCCGCGCGGCTCGGGCAGCGTGCACGCGGGCGGCGGCGGGAACACCGGCGACTGTTCCACGCACGCCTCCACCACCGGCGGCGGAGGCATCGTGAGCGATGACGTCATCACATCGCCAGTCTACCGAGTACACGTACGTATACAGGGTTATTCGTCAAACACTAAAGCAGCCAATGACACAGAGTATTTTTATCATAATATTATGTCTTTGTCAGTTTTTTGCCTGCTCCAAGAACAATCTATAAAATCATAAACGACCGTTTGATGATCGAGTTTAATCATAACTAGATACATGTTTTTTCTTTCAAGTTTTTGCTGTACTGTCGTGATTAGTTTATCTTCATGTTACACTCGAGCGCTGTTTTAAATGTATTAGATACTAGATGCACTTAGTTATTAAAACGATAACTTCAATATTGTTAATATAAATTATCAAACAAACATTGTTATATGTTATCTATGTAGTTATGTAGGTTGTTGGTGCTACACCAACTTACCCTGTATAAACTATGTAGTAACTGTAGAGCATATCGATGATCTAATATCAATACTCTACTTGAAAAAGTTTTGTGTTAAGTGTTATCCCCAAACATACACCCCTTACATTAGAATTTCACATATCAAGAAAAAAATCTCGAGGCAATTTACGCTCAAATATATTGTCTTAAAAAATATAACATAAAACCGGCTAATGTATGTATGAAAAGAGCAATAAAAATGGACGAGGCGAAAGATGTATGTAAGGACCGTACTTTGTGGCCTTCATATCGCTCTGCCTACCCCGCAAGGGATACGACGCGAATATAGATATATCAGTTAACAAAAGTTTTTATGCTTTTGAGCACTATTCAAGATCTTAAAAAATCCTATATTTTAATAAAATAATCATAAAATGTTGTCTCACCATAGCAACATCGTCGTTAGACATCGGTGACGTTCCGATGATAGACGTTGTCATACCGTTGGTCATCGATGAAGTCATAGAGGGAGGGAGAGAAGGTTGGAGGATGGTGTGGAGAGGGAGGGAGGAGGGTGGGGGAGGGGGAATAGCTTCGGAGGGAGCACCGTCCGGCTTGCGCTGTGCTTCAGTGTGGGACATGCCGAGCTCATTCATTTCCGCTGCTAGAACATGCTCCAACTGGGAATGAAACATAACATTATAAATGAGAATAGATTTTATTGATTTGTCTCATTATCATCAGTCTATTGATCTCTACACTGCTGACTGGCTACTGGCTTTCTCCATAAAATAAATACAGCGAGAACTAGCTATAATCCATCATTGAAGTACAGTGTGGCTTGTTATGGAACGGAGGGTCATGGTAATAAACATGCGGTCACCCATTCTATAACCAGTCTCAGCGAAAATTGCTTAATCTCCGTGATCGGAGACCGAACGCATTCACCACTAGGCTCTGGAGGCCCTATTTATTTATATTGAAATAAAGATAACACAACATACTTCCTGATGCAGATCGTCGGCTAGTCGTTCCATGGAGGCGCCGATTTCGGCAATAGTTGGCTGTCGATCCGGCTGACCGTCTGGCGCGCCACGTTGAGCTGGTACCTGCATTATAATAATAATAAATTTATTTGTACACACTGTTCATGTCAGGTTACTATAATATGTTAAAATTCTCTAATTGATTTCAAACCTTATTCTCAAAACAATAAGGTTTAAAATTAAGTAGATACATTTGACAGATTGTCATGCTGTTAAATATAAAATATGACGAATGGTTGATTTTTAACTATTGACAATGAGCCTTCTTTTATAACTATAAGATGTAAAAGACAACGCATTAAGAGTACAGTCCATCTCTTTCACTCAGTGGAGGTCAGACTACTTGAACATTGATATTGTTCGAAATTTGCAGAGCTTCCATATTGAGCCTTCTGCGCAGGTATATCGATGAGCCACATTAATTGTTACATACTGTATGCGTAGACAAACTAGTCACGTGCATAATATGACGTCATAGAGCCACTTGAAATGTTTGTTTTGTTCCATTTGGGGGGTGTTATAGTGCTAGGAACCAGTATAGTATTGCGAATGCGAAATAAAATTATTAACATCATATAATAATAATTTTATGAGACTCCGCGGGCCACTCGTGATGCTTCCAAGGACCACTAGTTAAGAAAAACTGGTCTAAAGGATATTTTTGTTACGTTACTCTATGTTTAATACCTCAGCTAGGAAATCGAACAAGTTGTCCAAGTTGAGCGAGTCCGCGCGGCCACCGTTCACTCCGCCTACTGCCAGACCGCGCAGTTGTTCCGCCATCGTTTCCAACTCCGCTCGTTCGGCGCACACTTTTTCTGCTAGACTGTTGAAAGAAACAATAATGTTTTGTTAATCTTGATTACAAGTGTTGCACAATAAAATTTAAATAAACATTATTATATTTTTGAAGATTTTTATTCATAAATATTGTTATCGCTCCAATGATAAAATTTTTTTTATCTATACTAATATTATAAAGAATAAATAGGTATTTGACTGTTTGCATCAAATAGGCAACTACCTGGATCGATTTTAAATATTCACGTACAGGTAACTACACTATACGGGGTTGACAAAGCCAATAATTAAATACAGCCAGTACTTTATAATTTATATTTTTTGTATTTGGATTCTCAATGAAAAGTATTCTGAATATTGCCTAAAAAACACTTTTATTTTTTCCATTGGATTGCGCTATCGATAAGTGTAAACAAGTCTGCTAGGATAACTGATGAGTGGACATTCCTAGATGATATGCCTGATGCGCGACAGAATTTTGCACCTTGTTAAGAAAAGTTAAATCTGTATGTACTTAGATTTTTTTTTTATATTTTTGCGAGACTGTGGTGAACATTCGATAAAATGGCTGGAAGGTATAGTGTAATGAGTTTTTTATATGATATCCCACCTGTTCCTCTCTTCTCTCAGCTTGATCTCCTGATTGACTCTCTTCATCTCCCTGAGCGCGGCTGCCACTTCTCTAGCGAAGGCTCCTCTGAGATGTCTCTGTAGAGTGAGCGCGGCCCTCCTCAGCCGCAGGAAGGCGGCGCGCTCCTTCCATCCTCGCCACGCTGACTGCAGAACTATCACCGCGTTGCGCCATTGGAGATATTGACGACGTTTTATCGAACCTTTGTACCACTGGAATTTGGGAAAAATTAGTACAGTGACTCTGCAAGAGCGACATCTATCTAACGCAAGACGATGTCATAGGTCATTATGATCTCCGCTTCTATTTTACGTTCCAAGCATCTGATAATAGTCTTAGTACTGTAAATAAACCGTACGTATACTCAAGGTCGGAGAAATTGACCGACAGTTTCTTTATTGTTTATAATAACACAATGAACAAAAAAAAAATCCTGATAGAATCTATTTGTCTCACAGTTATAAGGAACCAAAAATTAAGCAATATTTTAAGTATATCAAATAAAATATTGATATGTATGTACCTTCTGAATGAGCAATGCGGACGATTGAAGAAGGAAAGTCCTTTTAGCTTCGAGAGGCGAGTGTATGGAGCTTCGCATGAAAATTTTAGTGTGGCCTATCTGCCAGTCATCATTGGATGCTTGCACTACTGCCATTATTGTTCTAAAACAAAAAACATGTTTTTAGTGCATATCATTTGTCTGTGTTAACTTAATTGAAAAAAAATGACGAAAAGATATAATGATATATGTCTTTATGGCATCCAAGATTGAGCCTTATATAAATGAATGAATGATAATTTTATTTGCAATAATCACAGCACAACATGCTAAATACACACTGACATAAAATATAAAAAAAATATAAATAAAAAAAATATAGTTAGTGCGTTTGGTCGATGCAGAATTTAAGCAACTTTCGGATGGCTGCTCAAAATTTATTATTTTGGAGTCATGCTTAGACAGACACGTTAAGCCATTGGTTCTGGCTGCATCTTCAGTTATTCACACCACCAATCAGCACTGCGATCGCATGACAGACCATGGCCCATTCTCCTTTTTGATTCAAATAATTCCATAGAAAAGGTCTTTCCCCACAGTAATGACAATAATGATGTAATTGGCTATTCGACTCTTTTGTGAAAATTATTTTAAAATGTTTATATGATCATATTAAACCACTATCACAATAATTAACATTGTCTCACGAAAAAATCACTTATTTCGAGGCGTGACATCACATTTCTATAAACACGAGTACTGGTTAAATTCACAACAAAGACGTTGACGTTTACTTTATTGAAATGTGACGTCACACGAATCATGGCGGCCCGCGTTTCGGTCCTTGTAATCCACATATTCTAAAACGCAAATGAAATTTGTAAAAATAAAATTAAACTGACTAAAATAAGTTAATGTTTATATATAAGTTACTATTTCATAATTTGTTGATCTTTGCAAATAAATATATAATAAAATTGTAGTGTCTTTTTGTAATGTTAAAATAAATTTGTAAGTGTAAGTATACATGTAAGTATACACGTTACATATACCAAAATAACAATATTATTTTTTGTCTGTCTGTTGCGGTTAATCTCTGAAACGGCCGGACCGATTTCGACGGGACTTTCATACAATTTCACAGGGCCCAGTTAGTTTTAAATGGGCAGGAACTACGGGAGGGGGGGGGGGGAAGCGCTGGCCCTGGACGTCAGAGGCAGGGGAGCGCCAACATCATCATTATATAATACTTATTAACAGTTCAAAGAAAGAACGAGTTTCAAAATTCTTTTCATACACGTTATACTAAACATTAGGCTACGATGAGCTGGCCTATTGAAGCTGGCGGTAAAGGAAGGGCGCCTTAACAAAAACCTGGGTATGAGATTCAAAAAGAGAAACACATGGATAACTGACTTGGGGTCAGGAGCGGCAGGCCTCGGGTGGGGCAGCAGGCAGCGGTACCGCGCCTGGAAGTGTGGCGCGGGCAGGTGCACCGGGTACCCGTCGCGGCGGATCCGCACGATCTCGTTCATGCCGAGGTATCGCAGCTGTTCCACCACCAGCTGGTCGTCGTACTTACCCGCCTCCTTGTTCTCGTTAGGTTTTATGCAGCGGACGTACCTGTTAAATGTATTAGACAGTAGTTTTCCTTAAAGACTGTAACCGAATGAAAAAAGCATTTTCACAAAAAAGTGATGTAAACGAAACCGGCGTCATGAAGCACATAAGTTAATAGATAATGTATATGTGAAAAAAATCCAAAGCTGATACGTTGATTATTGTAAACCCCGCGTGCGTGGGAACTTTAGCACTACCGGTCGCCGTAAACCGAAGGTTAAAAGAACAACATTAACAAACAGAAACATTGAATAAGAAACTAAATACTGTCTACGGTGCTTCGGGTTGTACTAAACTCGAACTCATTTTAACTGTAATGCATTAATATAATAGTTATCATCAAAATTAGTTGCAGAAATTTCAATTTCAATGAGACAATAGATACGCACCATACATCGGTAGCTTGTAGCATGTCTACTAGTGATTGCAGTTGAGCCCTGAAGGTGTCGACAACTGTGGGCCGACCTTTGGAAGTACCTCGCTGGGTGGTGCCAGTAGAATTAGGACTTGATAATGAAATATCCTAAAAAAAAACAAATCACCTATACTGCACGAAGGACCAATCTATTATATTGAACTTATGAATTTTAAAATTGGAAGGTGGTGGAACATGGATACCTATGTGGATATATGGATTGAATATTATGTAAGTGCAAAATAAAGTAAGTTTTTTTAATATAAGCAGGTAAGTTAGCTAAACTAGAAGCTAACATCGCCAGGAGACCTTCCTTAGCATATATTCAGGATTTCCTTAGCTTAGCTTTCCTTACCACAGCTGGAAATAAAAATGAAACATAACACTCACATGACCAGGAGGCGCCAATTCTTGCACATAATCAGCCAGTTCTCTAACGAAGGGATTGGCAGATCTGCTCAGATGGTCAATGAAGGCGTCCTGTTGAGTATCCCTATTCTTATCGACGAAACCCTGGACGCTATAGGTGACGGCGCCGGCGTAATGTTGGACACCGAACTCTTCCTCCCATTTCCTGCGGGAACCTTTCACAAAGCTTTGGTGTTCGCCGAATTCACCTTGGATGTTAGTCAGGTAAGCACCATCAGACCCCTGACGTTAAAAAATGTTGAATATTGTAAGTAGTTATATAAACAAGAAAATAATAGTAGACTTATAGAGCACTTGCTATTCGCATAAAATTAGGTAAATCGACACCATATCAGGCACTAAAGTGGTCAAATTTCCCCAATATATTTGAAGTCATATTCAGTTAACATTACTTTATTATATTATTATGATTTTGGCGGATGGCTGCAGCTAATAAATTTACCTTAGGCATGTGACACTGTTCGCTAAGTAGCTTCAATAGACTCCGGGGAGGTTTCTCTAGCAGTTCCAGACAAGCCGCGTTGTCTGTGAACTGGATTTGGTTGTACACTATTCCTTCTTGGCGATACTGCAAATGAGAGTTAAAATGTTTAATCTTAATTAGTATTATAAACTTCAATCGATTTCTGTCCGATATACAATGATGACATATACATAAAAAAAATATATTGGTTATATCTTTTTTTAAAACGACAATTATTTTTAAAATTGTCCTATAGCTGACGTGAGAGTAGAATAATTGCTATATGCTACATATATATATGTATACCTTATATTTATCGAGTTCCCGATATTTTGGCGCTGTTGCAATCGCCATGATCACGGAGTAAGTTACAGCTAATATTTATTAACAATTATTCTAATGTTACATAATAATTTATTAAATGAGGAAGTATTAAAAAAAACGAAAGCATTAAATAAAGCACCTCCACTAGATGGCGACTCTAGTAAAAGTTGATTTTTGCAGGAAATGAATGGACCAAAGCTTGTAATTTCCGTTCCTTTTAACTAAAATATTAAAAAACTGAAATTTGAAAAGTTCGAAACTTAGATATAAATACAAATACGAAAAAGTACAAATAGAATATGAGTTGTTTATTGAGTTTTGAAAACTAATTTACTTTTAAACATGAATGAAAACCGGAAGGGTTGTCACGGAGAAATCAAGAACGTACCGTAGCGACATCTAGTATGATTTCCCATTCAATCAGGTCAAATAATTATGTAATTTAATAAAAAATAAAAAAAATGAAATACTTACGATTTCCTGTTCTAACGCGAACACGTAATTATTGAAGAACATATGCAACTTCTCGTTGGCGTAGTTGATGCACAGCTGTTCTAGCGAGTTGCACGCGAAGTTCTCGAAGCCGAATATGTCTAGTACGCCGAGCGAGCGCGGCGCCTCGCGGCCCGGCGCCGACGTACTGTTCACGTGACGCACGAGCCACGCGAACGTGCGCGAGTACAATGCTCGCGCCATTGCGTGACGATTCTCACGGGCCTACCGTAGTAACGGGATATTTTATAAACCATGAGCCTTTTTTATTCGAAAAACTAAATAGGGTTTAAATATCATATAGGAAATTTTCTATAGTTATTTCAGTTATTTTGCTCGATTTTGCATGCACAATGCTATACTGAAAAATATTTATAACAAAAATGCTTAAAAAACCACTTTGTCTATAATATTCTCAATGGTATATTGTAATAATATTGCGTCTATACACTGTATATAGATATAAAAAAATAAATAAGATATAGATAGACATAGATGCAACGCAGTCTATGTCCAAAAGCAATAATAAAAAGATGATTTTGGTGTTTGAAACTTAATACAGACATCATTCAGTCGAGAATAAAATTTGTTTAAGTAGCCCATTATCAATGAAATTAAATGATTAAAAAGCAATACTCAGAAGATTTAACTATAGAGGAGGTGGTTACTGAAGTTATATATGAAATGAGGTGATTATTTATTGATACAAAATTAAACAAAATATAGACGGATAGGTCCTTTATTAGTTAGTTGCACATACCTCGGGTAATCGCAGAGGTATATCTGTGACATTTCCCCGCACATTGATCTGTCGCTCCAGCAACACTCGCTGCGCGGTGGGTGGCGCCAGCCCTAGCAGGGCTGCCACCGCGTCCACCGCTTCCGTGTCCTCTGGTGCTAGAGTTGTGCGCTCACCGTCTATATCCTTTTGTAAACAAAAACACTAAATTAATCAATGATGTTATTATTCATTTGTATAGTATTACACGTTCACTTTGCAAGTCTGTATGCAATACGTTAGTTTACTTTTTCTGAACGCTATGCAAAGAAATTCATGAGAGTTTTGAAAATGAATAAAATCGGAACATCGCCGCCATAATTTATGCAAGGTTTGATAATATCTAGATATTATCTAGTCCTATGGTATTTAGCAGCATTTAAATTCCAGAATAAACAACTCCTTGTATTATTTTTCACATACCTGAAATTGTATATTGCCGAGCCATAAAACCGCTGCAAGCACTTTAAAAAGTCCCTCGCACATATGCGGAGGCACTTGCAGCACGGTGAGGGCTAGCTGTAACGCTTCGAGCTTGCCTTGTTCGCTGGCGCGACCTTTGCGGGCATTGTCTTCTTCGGGCCTCAAGTATTTGTACTGAATGTCATCTCGCAATCGTAATGTTGAACGCAATTCTGCATTGTGCTGTGAATAAAGATCAATTACATTTTTATAAGGAAACTAACTTTCCGCCAGCGGCTTCGCTCGCGTGGTGCGTTTATTTGGATATCGATTCATATCATGACACGAATATAATTACAATGACAAAATAGTAAACAATTATTACTATGGTGACGTGTTAATTCCCTAAACAAATTTCCACTCTCATTTTCATCCCTCTATTTGCTGTTTTTCAGGATAAAACAGCCTATGTTCACCGCATATGCTGTAGCTTTTCATGGATGATAGAATTTTTGAAATTTTCAATCGGTCCAGTAGTTTCGGGAGCCTATTCGTTGCAAACAAACAAACGATGAAATCTTTCCACTTTATAATATAAGTAAAGATAAGTTTTAATAACTTAAAACACACACGATGAATGGAGCAAAGAGGATAGACTCAGAGTAATGTATAATGTATATGACATCTAATATTTATAAAGTTTCAAGTACTTTTAAACGTGTTTGTATACTCAACAGCTGCATATGAGCTCATACAACATTGATAAATGTCACCAATTAATTTTAGACCTTGATACAGTAAACAGTAAAGTCCAAAAACAATATTCTAAGTGACTTGACATACTGGCGTGTGACATACCTTAGCTCCCTGTACTAGCTGATAGAATACGTGATAGTTAGTCTCCCTGGGTGCTGGGCCTGTAATCCTTGCCCTCTCCAATAGGAAGTCCCTGAGTACTGCGCCCTTGATACCACCCCTGTGGTCCAGGCGTACTTCTACGAACTTTCCGAAACGGGAAGAGTTGTCGTTGCGCACTGTCTTAGCGTTACCTGAAAATGAATGGCAAAAGGTCATTAAAACTGAATATAAAATAAAATAGCTCAATCCAGCTACCTTAGTACAAATGAATCTGCTGAATAATAATTCAATAAATAAATAGCTATTAGACAACATCACATATATTTCTCATATTTCAAAATGCTGAATGTAGCTAAAGCTTATGTATTAAGGAATATCTGTGACAACGAAGGTAACGCAACAGACACTAGATCATATAGAAAAGTTCATTTTCTACGTTGCCCCGAATGGGAACAGAATCCGGGATTTAAGAGATGCCGGCACTTTGAAAACCACGTTCGAATTAATGACTCTCTGTAAAAACTTTTGAATAGTCTATCATGACATTTATCCATTCATGATGGCATCGTTTGGTAGAGGAGGAACGGGTGCGACAAGGTCTAAATAGATCTCGAGCATTTTTCCGATTATTTAATGATTAAGAATTATGACAATACCTATTCCAAAAATCCATGAAATGTCGTATATATGTCATTGTAAATTTTATAATCAGTCCTCATTGTATTATTATCGAATATTGAGGACATATACAGAATATAACATTACCAAAAGCTTCCAAGACTGTGTTAGCTTCGAGGATCTGCTGTTCAGCCCAGGAGGCCTGTCCCCCCGCCGCGCACAAGTATTGCAGTATCAGCTTGGTCGTTTCAGTCTTGCCTGCGCCGCTCTCGCCTGATATCACCACTGATTGGTTTTTCTCACCGTTCTGCAATGTTCATAAGTCATTTGTTATTCTTGTATTAGAATTAAAAAAGGTCCGCTAAACAACTTTAACTGGTGGCGCTAATATAAGTAGTTAATTGGCGCCAATTTGAAAAATAAATACTAAATCATAAATAAGTAATGAAATACTAAATCATTACACATCTATAAGTTCCTAATTCGAAATTTAAATACAGTTATTCTCGACCTTATCTTACTCCGTATCTTACTGGTCCATTCTAAAAACTTCCAGCGTGAACCACGTGCGGTTTTTTTTTAATAGAACACATGTTTTTTTCTTATTATCTTGGCAATATGTATATTAGAAAAGTATACAACATTTTTCTCATTTTGTTTCTACTAACAGAAAGATTGTATAATATACAAGAATTTGTTTCGAAGCAACATATTTTCATTGGTTGATACATGAACGTAAAACCAGCATTCGTGGGGTACATTTTCATCAGTTTGTACCGCGGTTCATTTATATTGATCAAAAGGGCCCGCTTACGGATTATTTCGATCAGTTAGTGGCTGTTATTGGTTTATCGACCAATGAAATGAATCCAGAGACATCGTCCGTACTCCATATAGCGGCTTTTGTTAGTGTAACGAGGTGTTTGCAGAGTCTAGTTATTCAAGGCTTAACGCTATAAGGACTCTAAAGAATGAACTCTAACTTGTAACAGATTTCATATTATAGTAAAAGTCATGGCCAAAATTTTAAATGTCCTGTTTTATAAAATGTTTGACTATTAAGAAGGTAAAGTACGGATTTTAGAGCAAAATGTCCGACCGAAAATAGTTCAAAATCAGGCTTTTTATACTTTAGAAGATGAGGATATCTTTAAAGTTATTTTATCGCATGCGAGGAAAACTCGAACACTATTGACTGTTGGCTTTCATTAGTGGTTATCCCGAGTTCCGACTCCGGAAAAGATTCGCATGAGTATATCAAGAGAAAGTGAGCCTGTAGTTAGTTACCTGTAAAGAACTATATGCAGATTCAGCTAACGCGAACACATGTGGTGGGAGACTGCCGAAGGCTTTCCCCCGGTAATTTTGCATGTGTTCCTGAAACATAATACAAAAGAGATTAATAAAACAGATTCTAACACTGTAATTACTTGAGAAAAGCTTATATTTTTAAATCAATATACGAAAACTTTTAATAAGGTAAGAACTGTTAATAACTAATAATAAAAATAATATTCAAACTATTAACAATTGTTAATTTATTTAAATTCTTGTTTATTTGGTAAAATGTCTCGATTATAAATACGAAGGGACGAAGGTAAGTATTTTACGCAGTAATGTGAGATTATTTCTTTGCGAACCTACCAATATATATTGAAAATACTTTAATACTTTAATAATTGTGTAGATTTTATCAACAAATTAGAAAAAAAAAACAATTAAAAAAAAGGATGCAGATATAGATGGATACTACAAACAAATTAAGAATTCTTACCGTTGTATAGCATCCTAGTTCCTTGTAAGGATTCACTGCGACTAGAATAGAACCGGTGTACGTCTGTGCATTAGTTAAGGAAAACTTTTTATCGTCAATATAGGTATAGTACCAATCAAAACAAATGAACAAAATCTAGCTACCAGCTCCATATACTTTGACAGTGTTATTAATAAATACAGTTTTATTAATAAGGTTTAGCGTTGGAGTAGATTTACACTGAGACAGCACTTAGTATAAGTCAATATTCATATTATTAAATAGAGACTTAAAGGTTAACCTATTACGAATTTTTCCACGGGTGTAATATTTACTCGTAGGTTTGCTTATTCTCTGTATATTATGAATTCGGGATTAATACTAAAATTGCAATTTTAGCGTAAATTTACCGTGACGCTTAACTTTGTTTATGAATAGCACTGCTAGATACTAAATTGCTTACTTACTTAAGGAATTTGATTTACACATTTTTTGGTCACCCATCCTATTATCGGCCTTGAAAGTTACTTAACCTCTGCATCGTATAATGTACATGTTAACATGTATTACTCAGATAAGTAAAAAATTACTCCAACGCTAAATAAACTACTAGTTTATTGATAACACTTTAAGTGTGTAAATTGTCCGGTTCTCATCGGTTGACTGGTAGAGAATTCTTCCTGCATTAAGTCGGCCATTTGCTATAATTTGACAATAAAGATTAAATAAATAAATTGTACCTAATAGATACAATAAAAAGAATACCTACTGGAGATTAGGCAGCCTAATAAAAAAAAAGTATGAAAATGAGTAAATAAAGGATACGTAGACGAGGTCGTGTCTGTAGCGGCGCTTGAGGTTGTCGTTGATGGCCAGCTCGGTGATCTGCGGCATCATCGTCATGTCGGGCACGCCCGGGCCCTCGTCCACCTCGCGCTCCTCCATACTGACTGCAGAACAAACATACATACGTCATCATTAATCTTAACAATAAGACCGTTACCAATATTATTTTTTGTGAATATGAATTAACATATGTATGTATTAGGAAAATTAATCTTGAAAAGCTCGATTGGACAAAAAAAAGTGTCTCAAGTTTTTTTTCTACTTTTCACAAAAAAATCCTTTATCAATAATTGTATTGTAAATGTATGTAATATATGTGTAAGATATATCTTATCCCTTCTGACTATTGCACCCAATACCCCATATTTTCCCTTTCCTTTTATTATTCTCCTCCATAGGTTGCCTGGAAGAGATCGCTGTTTAGCGATAAGGCCGCCTTTTGTGTACTCTGTATTGTTTACCGTGTAATTTCGTTTTGTTTTCCTGTCTGTATGTGTGCAATAAAGATTATATTATTATTATTATTATAAAGCTATATATCCAATTACAGTTCAAAAGTTTGTTAAAGTTTATTTATTTATGCTTTGTTGCATAAAATATAACACAAAAGGCGGACTTCATTCCGAAGGCATTGTGTAGTAACGTTGTTTCATACAAACTTTTATCCCCTTATTTACCCCCTTAGGGTTTGAATTTCATAAAATCTAGTCTTAGGCAGCACCTACGTCTTAAAAAGAACCCACATGCAAAGAAACTACTAGCACTTGTAGTTTCTGAGATTTCGTGGTGAGTGAGTGAGTAACCTTTCGTTTTTATATTTAGATTATTTCTATAATTGATTATTTTTTCACATCCCTACTACCCAGTGCTAGCGTGCGTGCTATTAACAACCCGTTATGGATATGAAGTGTAGCTATAGTGGCGTTCAATTTGACCCGGGGATAGTACCCTATTTACCCCCCATTAACATGCCGTGAAAGCACGAAAAGTGAGCAAATGTTAAAGTATATATGTGGGTACAATAAGTATTCTTTGAAATGTTTCTTAGTTATTTATTGTTATTAGATCACGCGATGGCGGGGGGGAGATCATTCCACCATCGTGACGCCACAAATCTGAAGGAACTATATCGCAGTAGTTTAATTTTGATATGTATTTTATCAGATATCACCTAAATATTTTGATGGCATGTTTATATCAGCAAAAAACAAAAGCATACTTTGCATTATATACTTAATGTACATAGATTTTTTTTTATACATCGATCACATTTGTTAATCGAATCATTCGTATTATGTATTTATTATGTCAGTCAATTTGTCTTATTTATTCTTTGGGTGTTTTGCACCCGATCCTCATATAACTTCAGCTTTATTATTATTTCTTATGTCAGTAAATAAAAATTTCAAGGCTTTTGTTGTTAATATAATTTTTTCGCGTTTGTATTTAGTTTGAGGTGTTCACACGGAACTTGTAAAGAGTCAGAAACATCATAAAACTAAATACAAACGCGATGAAAACGTTTAAAAGTGAGTGTATCCATAAATGAAACATCATTTATGGATAGTGCGCGTGAAAACATGTATAAGAAATCATAATAGGAATAATTTATTTGAAATAAAAAGTATTTAGTATCACTAAAATAATTCTTATCTTAAAAGCGGTTATTTTTTTCAAGAAAAATTGAAGTTTATTTAAGTCCAAAAAACCTCAGACTGGCTTCAAAAATTAATCCCTTTCTTGAAAAAATTCACCGCTTACAAGATGCCGGTTCAAAAGCCGGTTTTATTTTTTGAAAAATGTTTTTCTAAAAATGAAAATAATTCTCCATTATGTTACACGTCAATTTTTCGCTTGGGAACTTAGGGAGATATATTTACACGAATTCCGGGACATCTCCCGCTCGTTCAGATAATATTTTTATAGCAATCGAAGCTCATAATATGTAACGCGATGATCGTATATGAAATCAGAGATCTGGGGCGGGCACCCCTACCGACAAAGGGGGATAAACATGTAATTTTAACGTTACCGATTCTGACTACATTTTTTATTAAGTATTTCGTGTTATGCATAAGCCACGCACAACCAACTGTATGTACAATCTAATGCAGGGGTGGGCAGACTTTCACTAATGGCGATCTATATCAATAAATTGAGACGACAAGCGATCGACTTGCAATAAGACAATATTTTTTTATGTTAAATCGTTTATTGTAGGTATTGCGCACATATCACTATTTAAATATACTTTTATTTACAATTAAAGAAGTACAGTTTCTTATTATACAAGTTAATAACTAATAACTACTAAAAATAAGTATGAAGCCAATCACATGAACTAAGAGTGTTTTTATCAGTTTTCGGGCCTCTCTGGACTGATTTACTTAGAGGTCGATGCATGGCACTGCGTATTTTCTGCTAATTTCTCATAGGAAGGCACGTATTTAGTAAGTGCCAAACGTAAACAGGAAGACAAATGTTCGTCGGTAAGTCGATTGCGGTATTTGGATTTAATTATTTTCATTTCAGAAAACGCAGATTCGCACAAATACGTCGACCCAAACAAAGCAGTTAATTGCTGTGCGATTTGTTGGAGACTTGGGTATTTTTCTTGGGTCAAAAGAGACCAAAAACTGATATCTGTTGCTTTGGCTTTTAGGTGAACATCTGAAATGATCTGTATCATCTCGTTTTCGAGAGAAGACAAATCCATGTCAAAAGTGTTCGATATTTCAGAAGCAGTAATTTCAACATCCACACAAGAAAAAGGATAAATCATGAAAGTAACAACGTTCGTCAATTTTTGTAAGTCAGAAAAACGTCTTTCAAACTCGCTGAGAATATTTCCAAGTTCTGTTTCGTATTTATTATAATTTATTACGGCGCTTGTTTTTGCTTTCAAACACGCAAAATTTTTCAAGTCCTTTTTTTTCAGTTGGTTGATCAGAAGCTGCAATTTACTTTTAAATGAGTTAATTGTGCTAATCATGTCCATAATAGTTTTATCTTTCCCTTGTAGCTCCAGGTTTATAGAATTCAAATGACCAGTCACATCAGTAAGGAAAGCCAAATCACACAGCCAACTTTCACTTTTAAGAATCTCCGTGTCATCACCCCTTTGATCCAGAAAAGAAATGATTTCAGGTAGTAATTCTTGAAACCGTTCTAAGAACTTTCCCCGGCTCAGCCACCTTACGTCTGTATGGAGCAATAAATCTGTGTGCTCAGATTCGCTGGCCTCCAATTGCACTTTGAAGAGGCGTCGTTGCAAGCTTCTGGCTCGTATAGAATTTACGATCTTCATAGTGATGCTCATCACATCTGCCATGTTCAGTACTTTCGAACACAACACCTGCTGATGAATGACGCAATGAAAAGAAAAAAAAGATGGGAAGTCTTCATTAGCTCTGCACAGTGCCACAAATCCATTAGTCTTTCCAGTCATTGATGGTGCTCCATCTGTTGTTATGCACACTAGTTTATACAGAGGCAGCTCGTAGTTTTTCGCAAAACTTAGAAAAGCATCGTATATGTCTGAACCGCGAGTGGTTTCTTTCAAAGGTATGATTGTTAAGAACTCTTCTTTAGACGACGTATCTGGAAATGCCATCCGAATAAACACACATAGCTGGGCAGTGTCAATCATATCAGTGGATTCATCAAATTGTAAAGAAAAGAATGAACATCTCATAATATCACTTTTTAGCTTTTGCTCGATATCACTGTTCATGAGCTCAACACGTCTAGTTACAGTCCGACGAGACAACTG